ATCTTTAGAGCTGAATTCTCTCTTTACCCTCTTTTCTTTTTGTAAAACCTCCTCCAAGAAGGTCACTCCAGGGCAAGGGTCTCCCAGGCCTTGACATAGGCGATGCATTTTTGAGGTTCACCTTCTGGGTGTCTTTGAAGCATTTAGATCGCGACCAGTTTTGGAGGCGGCAGAAGAACACCCGTTTTGGGATGCGTATATCCGACATCTTGAACATTCATGTTCAGAATGCTGGGTAATATGGCCCACCAATCTAGCTGACCAGTTACAAATAACCCTGGCTTCAATGCTTATGATGTCTGCATCTTCCAGGACACAGATACATTGTATGTGTCTGTCGTCCAAAAATAATTCGAGGATCCATTAAAAAACCTGTTAGTGGAATACCTATCCGAAACCTTAAGAGTGTATGTTTGGTCCCGGTTTCCGAGCCACAAAAGAGTATTGATAGGAAAACCGCCTTGTAGACAATGATCTTGGTGTTGGACGTAGGTCACGATTATCAAGGGGAAAAACGACGAGCCTTTTCCTCAGTCGACCGAAGGCCTTACCAGCTTTCACTGAAAGTTAGCTTTCTGAGTACGGGAAGTGCTCCACCTTTTTGAGATCTCCGTTGATTCGTACGTAAGGTGCAACAGCTGTGCCTGGATGAAGCGGTTACGTCTCGATAGTCCGAAGTACCATTGGTCCGAAGTACCATTGGTCCGAAGTCCCATTGGTCCGACGTCCCATTGGTCCGACGTCCCATTGGTCCAAGTGGTCCGAAACATATCCTTACCCTAACCCTAACGCTAATCCTATGGGGCGTCGGACCAATGGGACTTCGGACAAATGGGCGGACGGACCAATGGGACGTCGGACCAATGGGACGTCGGACCAATGGGACGTCGGACCAATGGGACTTCGGACCAATGGTACTTCTGACTATAGAGACGTCCCCGGATGAAGCTGGCTGAAGAAAGATCTTAGCTTTCTTGAGATTGAGGTTCAGACCAGGTCTTCTATATCCGTCAGTAAAGACATTATTAGGATTAGGATAGCCTGCAACTTCTCGGAGGTTGTTCTTTGTGTGTGTCTACTTATTTTGCACTTTGGTTTGTTTTGTTTTGTTTATGTTTTTTTGGGGGGTGGTTAAAATGAAGTTGTTGGCATAATGTGTGTTAAATAACAACGAAAAGTTTTGGAATGATCCCGTTTTATCTTTGTAATTTCTTTTGCCCACCCCCACATTATGAAATGTATCGCTGCCTCCGAAACAGGAAATTTGTCCAAACTACTGTGCGTTGCAACACGTCACTCTGAATTATTATTTTTTTCATTCGATGCAAAAAGTCTCAACACACTACTCTCTTTGGGGCTTATTCATCCAACTTTTGGCTCATGTGGAGTTAGATTTTTTTGGCATCATGTAGGGAAACCCTTTGTAATAAATTATTTTACATTAGGGAGACACTTATGCTTTATCTACTATTTCTAGAACGCAAAATGCTTAAAATATTTGTTTTAGTAGATAATAGAATAATTAAAAAGTTTGGGAGGGGGAGTATTCTCAAATGGGTTTATGGGAGGTTTCTTTGTGACCGTCACTCGGACTTAGACTCAAATGAAATGACTCGTGTTCAGACTTTCATTCAGAGTCCAACCTACTCAGGACTCGGACACGAACTCACCAGAGTAACTCGAGACTCGCCCAGACTCCACCTAGGGAATTGGCGATTGAGCACTTCCCCTCGAATATTTCTAAACTGAAGTATGCATAAAACGCGACATAACAAGGCCCGATCACATGCTTTTTGCCTGAATTGACTCCACATAAAAGCCGGAACTACTTTGATGTGATCGTCCGGTATTGCGTGTTGGCTTTTCTTTAAAGCACGCAATCTAATGACCTCCAACCCCTCCCCCCCCCCCCCCCCAAATACATGTACGGGGATTGTTTTTCGTGACTGCACGCACTATATTTGTGTTACACTGCCTGCTTTGAAGAAAACAACATAGCACGCAATGCCGGAGTATCACATCGAAGTTGTTCGATCTGTTGCAATATACAACGTGTTTGATTGGGTATCGTATTTCAAAAGTTCGTGTGGTATGGATGGCGCCGTCCGAGTCGCAGGTCACGTGTTGAGTCGAACTTAACACATCCATTGGGCAGTGAGCTTATGTAAAGATAATCTCCCATGCAATCTAGAGTACCTTCTTTGAACATTCTTTCAGCACGTACGAGTGGCTACGCCACTCGCTTGTGTGGTCTTCCGCTCCAGTTGCTTCGCGTTTTCGCCGCTTTGTCTAATGCCGGTAAGTTAAGCCACGATGGCCTTGACGAAAGGCTACTTAAATAGGTACCTTAAATTGCCTTTATATCATAAAGCCCACTGCCACATATTGAGTTCTGAACCTGCTCTGACTCAAACGACATGACTCGTGACTTTCATTCGGAGTCGAACCAAGTGACTCGGGACTCGGACACGAACTCATTAAAGTGACTCGAGACTCGCCCGGACTCAGCCGAAGGACTCAACTACTACAGCCTGTCTAAAAAAAAATGGTACAATCGAAAACGATTTTTTTTTCAATATTAAATCTCAACATAAGTAAGTCGTTTTGAACATCACATTAAAGAAAAAAGACCAGGCTTTCCAGTACTTTTTGTTTCTTTTGTCAATCCAGAGATAACTCCAGTTTACTGCAGTACACAAAAATCGAGTTTGTTTCTTTTGCCAAGTTGCAATCGTTTGTAAGCTTCAGAACAGCATGGCACAGTACTCGAAACAACTGCCCATGCATAAAAGTGGCACAAAATCGATTTTGGTGTATCGCACTAAATTGATTATATCTCTGAATTGACAAAAGCAAATAAGATCAAACAAACACTATTGGAAAGCCCAGTCTTTGTTCTTTAATATTATGCAAAGTAAGAATGACTTATTTTAAAATTTCATATTTAACCAATTTTTTTTCTGATTGTACCATTTTTTTTTTAGACAGGCTGTATATGTAAAATCGTTTTGACGATTGAAAATATTAATTTTGATCGAGGGATATGTCCTCGAATTATTTTTTAAGTATGCAATAAAACACGTGACATTGCAAGGCCCCGTCACATGCTTTTCTCCTGAATTGACTACGTCGCCGGAACTACTTTGATGTCCGGTATTGCGTGCTGGTTTTTTTTTTCAAAGCACGCAATCTAACAGTAGTCTCTCTCTCCCCCCTCCCACACACACACACACCAACAGTGTTCACCCAACATTCAAGACTGAAACGTACATTAGCCTAGGACAGCGTGCCCATACACTGCCTATAGCACTATAACAAAAACTGACATGTAGTGTTTGTACCTATTCGAAATGAGTTCGTTAGGTTGTTATGGAGTATTTGATTGATTACTTGGAAATAAAGAGTCGAGACTCTCATAGTTAAAGTAAAACGGTTGCAATGATTTCCAGTCAAAATTTGGGATGGCTTCCTGCCCACGAATTTGCATTTCCCCCCAAATATAGGCCTACAAGATTACACAATTGCCGTTTCAGTCCACTTGATGGATATTTCCATTGATGGGTCGTAAATGTGTTTTCGATTGACAAATTTAGTCCCTCGAATAGCAGAAAGCAACTCTAAAACGTACGTTTGATGATAACAACTACAAGCAAACCTCATTCTCTTTCAATCCAAAAGACAACTTTGCAACAGAGCCCTTGTTTCAAGATAAATGATTATTTTTGCTAAATGCAACAATAACAAAATTGACAAATATCTACATGTACAAGAAAAAGTTGCATTTCCAAAAGCCAAAAATTGGAGCAAGGACCCTAACTGACTCAGCGAAGCCGAAACTACTTTACAGCCGCTGACAATACGGGGAATTTCAATTGTATGTGTCTCATTGTACATTACATGCCTTGTAAAAAAAAAACAAAAAAAAAACAAGCACGCAATACCAATGGGTATTGCGTGCTTGTTTTGGGGTTTTTTTCAAAGCACGTAATGTACAAGGATACCAATTGACATTCCCCGTATAACTGTTGATATGACAAAATGAATGGATCCAGCCAGCCAGCCTGACATTTCAAGAGTCCATTATCGTGGTCCTTGTCTTAACCGGAATAAATTTAAGCAGACGAGATTAGTTTGAGCATAGAGCAAAAGAACAGATAGCTGGAGAAACTTACCATTTCCACATTTAGACGGGAAATGATAGGCCTAATCCTAGTAATCGGTAAACGGTAAACGGAAAACAAAAGAGCAAGAAACAGCAGCCATCAATGGACATCATTGTGAAAACAAGGCCTTTTTTTGCAATACTGAGCGTGTTGGCTACACTGATGAGGATGAAACCATTAATTAAATTGATATAGACCCACTACATGTGGACATATACTGAACTCTTTTTTTTTTCGAATTTGGGATTTTGTCTGTTACGAGATATGTTCAGGTAGACCTAGACTTGACTATTGTGATATTTATAGGCCCCATGCTCTTCAAAAAAATCGAATTTTGTTTTTCTCCAAACCAATGTTCAATTTATAATTTTTATGCTTTGTTTTAACGAAAACACCCACTCTCTTTCGATTGCCCACCAATAAACTAGCTTGAGTAACTCGAGCTCTAATGCCTATCGCTAATGGCATTAGAGCTGGAGTTACTCAAGCTACCAATAAACCTGCCCTGGCCTGCGAGAGCTGAATTAATCATTGTCTGGCATCAAGCAAATACATGCGTCGGTGGATTTTTTCGTTCGATGTCTCATTCAAAAGCGAACCACTTTTTATTGCAAAGAATTTTCCTAGCAATTGAGAAAAAACACACCCAAAATCTATTTTTGGAGGATAAACTCGAAAATAGCATAGGAACAATTAATCATTAAGGTTTATCACAAACCAGAATGTACACCGTAAAGAGCATTGTAGTTCCACTAACTGGGGCGTATAATTTTTTTTGAATTTGGGATTTAATCATACCGGCCGATTATCCTTATACGAGTAAACGATTCGACTTACGCTTTCCGGCTGTGTGACTTGCATCTGAAGCCATTGCAAAAAAGGCCCTTCGATTTCCTGGAGAACGTCAAGCCAGCTAGGCGTCCTTACTCGCTCACATGTATCCAAGCCATCTAGAGTTATGAGGAGTCTATCAAAAGACTCTCGATCCAGAATTGACAATGTCTCCCAAAATACGTTAACCAACCGGTCTTCTCGTCACTCAATTACAAGACGAACTACACGTATGCCATCCACGACTTGCCGAACATATTGTGCATCGCACACTCTCCAACGTGGTTCATTTATACCGGCGCTTGATTTGGGGGAATCCCCGGACTGTTCACTGCGAAATCCTGCCACGAAGGATCTACAACATCAACACTTCTACGTTTTTGTAATCACAGAGAAAAAGATCTACCCAAATAGTGTAGAGAAGGGCGATTTATTCACTAATATTCACATTTAGCTGTTTGTGCTAGGCACATTCAATGAATTAAGGGGTTTTGGTGCCATACGTATAATTACTCTATATTATATAAAAAAAACTGCTCCGCACGATTTCTCATCGGGGAAAAACCGTACCCTGCAATATCTAATGTGAACGACCACAAGTGACCTAGCTGAACTTGTACTTGCAGCCGTGCAAATACATGACATACATGTACATGTACATGTCAATGTAGGCCGATAGTACATTTTTGTACAAGGAAAGCATTTATGTAGTACATGTGTATATATTCAAGCCTTTCATTTATAGGCGTATTTAGTAATAAAATGTAGGCCTATATAGGATATACATGAATTGATCACAAATTTCTTTCAATTTCCAGTGGACATGCAGCAGACCCATTCTGAAGGCCTGCTTCTTTGCTTTGCTCCCCAAAGTAAAAGCTCCAGGGCGATAAAAAAAATATTAAAGTTGCACATTCTTCCAGAGATCAGCGAGCATTTAGTGTTTTCAAGAGATAACTGTTGGACATTGGCTGGAAGGTTAGCGGAAACACCACGTGAATATCACGTTGTGTTTGTAGGGCTCTGCACTGATACCCAGGACACTTAGAACTTGTCAGATAGGCCTACCCACAATAATTGTATGCATATCTTGTAAAAATTTAGATGCACCTTTTTCCTTGGCCAGGCACTTTTTGAATGAGACATGGAGGGAAAAACTGCCGACGTTTATTCAGAGAGTAACTATTGTATACGCATTGTGAGTTGCATGTGACCTCCAACAATTAATTCCGGTATTTTCTCTTGGTTGCAGACACCCAGTAGGCCTATGGAAAAAGAAGTTTTTCCTTATATTTAACATACTAATAAAATATTCAAATGAACTAGTTATCCGGAGGTCACAGGTTGAAGCCCGCTCCAGGCAATTTCTTTGTTTAACTTTTCAAAAACAAGTTAAGCAGGCCAAGCCAATTTGTTGAAGTGCATGGACGTAGCCCTGTATCTTGCCGATATTTTTATGACACAAGGTAAAACTTGTTGTAGTACGCATGCTAGCTGCCCAATTTGGGCATCAAAGTACACGTACATCATTATTGATGAACAAATTCGTTTCCTAACATGGTAGAAAAGCTAAGGGCAATTGGGATCAGGAGGCGAATTAGTAGGGGCTGGGCGAATTGGTAATGGGCGAGACGTAAGGAGCGAGTTGGCCTGAGGCAGTGTGGCCACTCTGTTTTTTTTTTTTCAAGATCGCCATCTAAAATTTTTCAAGATTTTTCAAGCCTATGTAAATTACTAGACCAGCCAACCTGTCCCATTATGCAAAGGGTTTTTTGAAAGGATTGAAGCTCTTTTCAAAAAAATGTGCCAATTTTTTTTTTCAAATTTGCTGTTAATTTTCTGTCAAAATACTATTTTTGCAGAATCCTGCCAGAAATCTGCCAAAAAATCCATTCTGTCAAATTTTCTGTCAAACTCTTATTTTAACAAAAAATCTGTCAAAGTCAGCCGAAAATCGGCTAAAACGGTCACAACGCCCTCTTGTAATGAAGCGCGCGTCGCAGTGCCTAGCCTGAGCTTACATACACCACAGGGTCTGACCGTAAGAACATGTATAGCGCGCCAGTGCTAAAAGAATTACAAAGTAAAAATAAAAGTCGCTAAAAAGCTCGGGTGTTCAGTGGAAAAAGTTGTCAAAGTTTTTACAAAACATATGGTTTTGTACTTTTAGTTGAACATTTTCAAGATTTCTTGCTTTTTCATTTTTTTTTCAAGTTTTCAAGTTGGGTCTCAATTTTTCAAGATCTTGAAAAAAATTTCAAGTAGTGGCCACACTGGCCTGAGACGAGTTGGCAAGAACCCGTCTATCACGTCGGCTGGAACGGTCTATAGAAATTACTGGGACAATAGTCACACTAAAAAGGCAAATTATGTTAAAATGAAGCCATGACAATGAAAAACTCTATTCACATTTAATCTCTCCTGATACAAAGTATTTTTAATATGAAACCATACGGACGTGACTGATATGTACTACGCATCAGTACTAGCAGATTTTACAATAAATGTGTAAGTATAAGTGGACGGAAGTGCAACATTATAATATTTCAATGAGAAAAAGTAAATAAGAATTGGAAGACACACAAAGTTTCCTTGTACAAAAAAACACAAACAAACCCAAAAAACTAAGAGCTAAAATAACAGTTTACATGGCGTAGCCAGGATTTTTTTCAGTGGGTGGGGGTGGGGGTGGGGGGTGGGGGGGGGGCCGGAGCAGAAAATATTTTAAAATGTTTTGGTAGCAAATACAAACTGGAAGACACACACTTTCCTTGTAAAAAAAAGAAAAAGGAAAGAAGTGTAAAACAACTAGAATATATACACACCAGTTTATAGTCTCACACTGTTCGTTGGTTATATCTTGGTCCTTCATGTGAGGAAACGGTCAATAACTAGCTTGTACATAACAGCCTGTCTCAAAAAAATGGTACAATCGAAAACGATTTTTTTTTCAATATTAAATCTCAACATAAGTAAGTCGTTTTGAGCATCACATTAAAGAAAAAAGACCAGGCTTTCCAATACTTTTTTGTTTCATCTTATTTGCTTTTGTCAATCCAGAGATAACTCCAGTTTACTGCGGAACACAAAAATCGAGTTTGTTTCTTTTGCCAAGTTGCAATCTTTTGTGAGCTTCAAGACAGCATGGCACAGTACTCGAAACAACTCTGCCCATGCATAAAAGTGGCACAAAATCGATTTTGGTATATCGCACTAAATTGATTATATCTCTGAATTGACAAAAGCAAATAAGATCAAAGAAACACTATTGGAAAGCCCAGTCTTTGTTCTTCAATATCATGCCAGGTAAGAATGACTTATTTTGAAATTTCATATTTAACCAATTTTTTTTCTGATTTTACCATTTTTTTTAGACAGGCTATGAGGGTGTTCTTTAAGGACTACCTGACAATATTCAGTACCCAAGGGTGGAAATGAGAGAGTATGATACTTGTGCAGAATGGTACAGAAATACTAATTTAATGAAAGAAATCTAGAATGCAGTAATGTGCATACTCTGCATGAAGCAATAATTTATTAAGGGAATAAATGTGTGCTTGGGAGGTGTTAAACACTATGTTTAAGACTAACTCGAGCCTGGAATGCTGATAATTAAACGAGACGAAACCGAGGGTATCAGCATTCCAGACTCCAACCAATCGTAAGCTAAGTCTTTAATACCGACCAAATATATATTTATTCCCATTCATGAATACCTTTTCGGTACAAAAGTCAAAACAAGTCAGTCAAAAATTAAAAATGTCCAACGCTTTTGTTCGACAATTTTACATTCTTTTTTTCGAAATACCCCTCTAGCTATATAATGGAGTGTCCAGCTCGCGAACATAAACAACTCCTTTTATGCAGATTGGTATGCACGTCGCGCCTACTGCACGGTGATGTGCAGATGCAGCTGTGGTGAGTGCGTTGTGAATTTAGGACTGTGAAATACTGACGCGCTTGTAGTACTAGTAGTGCGCATGTAATGCCTACGTGAGGATTGTGAACGTTCAACCAATAAAACTCCCACGAAATCCAGTGCCTTTTAACGTGTTATTGGTTGAACGTTCACATTCTTCACGTAGGCGAGCGCAATACTACCAGCAAATCAGTATTTCATGGCCCAAAATTCACACTACACTGACCCAGCTGCATTTTGCGCGACATCGCACAGTACGCGCGACGCGCAAGCCTATCTCCTTAAAAGGTTAGGAGTTGTAGAGGGACATTCCATATTATAGTCAGTGGGGTGTTTCATAAAACATGAAGTAAAATTGTTGAACAGAATCATGGGTTCGCAACGTCTAGTTTTTGACTTGTTTTGATTTTTGGACCGAAAAGATTCGGTTTTTTTTAGTGAAGATATTTATGAATGCGAATGAATGTGTGTTTGGTCGGTATTAAACACTCTGTTTAAGACTGGTTGGGGTCTGGAGTACTGATAATTACCCTCGTCCCCATCCAGACTCCATCCAGATTTTTAATACCTCCGAAACACACATTTATTGCCTCAATTAATGATTAATGAACTGCTACATAACTTTAAATTGTTGTTTTTGTTAATTTCTATGTATTTTTAAACGTGATACAGCTAAATAGGGCTGTACTGTTTGAATCTTTAATAAAACAATAATAATAATTAATAATCATCTATTCTTTCATATTTGGTTTAACAGAAAAAGCAAACGGACATTGAGGGTGGATAGGCAGCAATAACCTGGTTATAAAATTTCAGGACGAATTAAAAACAAAAATATCAAATACAAATGCTTTTGTAAGTCAATTATTAATCAAATTGACAACTATAAAATACACTAGGAAATACAAAAACGTTAGGAAATTGCAGTCTTCCCAATTAAAAAAAAATCTGATGTATTATGAAAAATAATGTAGACTCTGAATGAAACTTGAAGACAACTTGAAGTTCACCTGGCCGGATTTCATACATTCCAAATTTCAAACAATACCAGCCTAATCTGAAAAACATATATATTATTGAAGCCTGCTCTAGCTAGATCAAATGATGCACTGTTAAGCATTAACTCTACATGTACATTCACCCTAAACTTCCCAACTCCATCAAAATCCATCCCCCCATTTGGGGAGATCATTTTGCAGATAAACCATGTGTACCAAGTCCATCAAAATCCACCTATAGCAGTGGTACATATGTTGTGGATTTCAATGGATTTCTTACTGAAACATGATGTGAAGCAGATGCAATGATGGATTTTGACGGACTTGCTAATGTTTTAAGTCAAACTCAGTAGGGTGTTAAGGTTTATATCAATTTTTGTCCTTTTTTTAATCCTTATCTCATCCAACGACAATCCTGATTGGGTAGGCTCTTTCCAGCAGTGAGTCCAAGGGCTCTATTTTCGTCACAATGACAAACAGGAAATGCTTAGTGCGGTGGTCATTGAAGTTGTTTTTACTGTACTCTGGACCGTCTGAGTCCTTGATGAGATAAACGTACCTATCAGGAAAATGACAAAATGAAATATAGTGTCGGATAGGACAAGTGAATCAATATATTTTTCATACAGAGAAAATCTTGCCTTTATTCTATAATAGCCAATATGGTGTCACTACAGGGTGAGTCACAAAAAGCGGAACCCAAACCCCCAAAATTGTATTTCATATTTACAACAATATGTAGCACCAAAAATAATAATGAAGGGAAAGCCAATTTCATAAAGTACTTTTAGATGAAAAAATTACTAAAATTGCTCAATCCGTTCAAAAAATATCACAATTTAAACACAATGACCCTAAACTGAAACCTCTTTCGTCCAAAAATGTGATTTCAAGAATCGTCACAATTGTCTTCAAACATCACCAGCGATGAAAGCTCAGATTAAAAGTTAAAAATATTCAACAAAGTTCTTTTGAAGGCCCGTCTTTATTGCTTTTTTGGATGAAACAGGTTTAGGGCCATTTCATTTAAATGGTGATATTCTTTGAACGGATTGAGCACTTTCAGTATTTTTTTTCATCTAAAAGTAGGTTATAAAATTGGCTTTCCAGTCCTTTTTATTTTTGGTGTGACACATTTTTAAAAATATGAAATATATTTTGGGGAGTTTGGGTTCCACGTGTCTTGACTCACCCTGTATTATCAATAACACGCTCCGAGCAATTTTTAAAAACATGAGAGCACTTTTAAAGACATACTCCTTTCCAGCACTTTTGTCAAAAGTAACATACATTAAAAAATTCATGACACAAAACAAGGTCATCACTTAAATTTCAGCTATCCATCTCATTAACTTTATTTGGAAAATGTACAAAACTGGAGTCAATGTCAGGGTGCTGCTGAGTAGGAACATAGCTTCACAATGCTATATGCCAAGTACAGAAAATCTGGCAAGAAGAATGCAGTCACAAGCAATAGAATTTGTATTTGGATAAAATGCACCCGATGTGTCAGAGTACAAGCAGCTACAATTGAATCAAGGCTTACTTTTCGTTCTTGATAAGCTCTTTTGACATGATATCCTCCATGAATCCAGGATGAACCTCGTCAAATCTCTCAGTGCACGTCTCAAACATGTCCACTTCAAGCATGTCTAAGACAAGAGGCTTGCCATACCTGCCAACAAAACGGAATTAGAGGACCCAGGATATTATACCCCACAAAATGGGTCTGAAGAACATGTTTTATTGAGTGCTGTTTCATATGCATAGGCAAGAGAATAATCACTTCTTTGTGTTGATATGTCACTCAGTTTGACTTCCTGGTGAACTCATTTAAAGACCTTATGCAGGTGAAGATATTGAGCGTTCCGTATGATTTCCAATGAGCAGGATAACCTTAAAGTAGCTCTGGCAAGTACAGACTCTTTTTGTTGGGTTGGGTAACATTTGTTTATCATTTAACCCTTTATTTAATGCTTATTAGGCGTATTGCTGGAAACAATATGGATTAACCCTAAAGGGGCCGGGGGGGGGGGGGGCAGGGGGCACGCCCCCCTCAACTTTTTCCGCGATAGCTTTAAACAAATTTTTCGCGACCCGAGCTGTTGTGACTTTTTAACCTCGATAAATTTCCCCATATACATAGTGTACACAGAGCAGAATTATCATTCATGCATATGAATAATTAATTAGCCATAATTCCAAAACCCTTTGGACCTATAGTCATGAAATTTCTTGGGTCTGTTCATGATAAGTTGTTTTATGCATGTACCGAATTTCAAAATTTTTTGTCATTCGATGACCGAGATCTTAGGTGGGGGGCGGAATCCGCCCCCTCCCGGCTGAGAGTTGGTCAAAATAGCCCGGCCATTTTAGGGTTAACATGATTTGGATGATGCAGCTGAAATTGTGGCTACATATTGGTATGTGTATAGGAATCACAGTCTCTGACATTCACAGCAGGTATCATACACATCAATGTCAGAACTACGAATAAGAAGAACTACTACTAATCAACAATGTCTGCTTACCTGATAGCCCCAAGCACAGCCATTCTAATGACCTCAGGTTGCATGTGATTGGGATTCAATGCATTGATCAAATTGATGTCTTGGTATCGTAGGAAGGTAGATGCCCGGCCAGACGGATCAATTATAAGTGGCCACCTGCAGCACATAAAATAATCCACACATTATGTCTCATGAACAACTCAATGACTAGATATTTGGGACAAAGACTTCTGCTTGGCATTTCACCTGATATATGATTGCTTATATACATACCTGTGAAGGGCTGGTCAGCTCAGCTGGTCACTTTAGAAGACAGAAAATTCCTTTTAAGTCTTGCGCTCTAGTAGCAGTGATCACCAAAGAGATTAACACTAACATTTTAAGAGGGGATCTAAAGCAAATCAACAAATGTGAATGTGGAAACATTGCTGACCATACGATTGTTTTCAAAGATGACATCAACTAACAGGCTATGAAAGTAAATTGGTCCTTACAGCACTATCCCATCAACAATGAATTACCAAGTTCAAGCCGGGTTTATTTTGATATGACCAGACCCAGGCGTGAGATTAATTTTCACGAACCTCGATGCCGGACGGGTTCAGACCATGATCTGCGGGTAGCATACTGCGAGTGGGTCATTTACAGATATTTCCGGCCTCGCTCGCTGCGGGTTTATCAGTCATCTGATCTGAATTTCGGAAAACTTTAACTTGCATATATGTAAGTTAGGCATAACCTATTTCTAGTGCATCAATAAAACTGCTACGAAGGTAACGAGTACTGTGTTTTCCACAAACTTTTTTCATGGTCTTGTCCTCGAGTCAATAGTAACAATACATTTAATATAGGGAAATGGGAATTCATATTTTTATTATAAGTAGAAAAACTGTTTATGAACACTGTTAAATGGTTAGATACGTCACTTCAGAAGTTCGTGAACATTGTTAGACGTTGTTACCGTTTTAACCGTTTTTAGCCGTTTTACTGTTTGGATATTCAGCTTGGAGTCTTTCTTCAATGGTATTGCGGAACGCGTCAGAATCTGTGAGAACTCGTTGTACACCCATTGGTAAGGAAGATCTTACATTATAATGTTCGTGAACATTGTACTAACACCTAAGTAGTTGTCATTTGATTGGAGGATTGTAGGTCACGTGGCATTCATTAATCGAACCATTGCACGGCCTACGTCATAACCGTGCATTATTGGTTCCATTCACCTTGCTTTTTCGTCCCATCCCTTTTGATGTTATGCATGCTAAGATGCACAGCGGCCCGGCGCGCGCTATACATTCTTCGCGCTATTAAGACCATGATAGTACAAAACATGCTTTTGAAGTTGATGCAGTTGCATTGTTTTAAGAACTTACAAAGTTAATTTTCATTTTGTTTCAATGATTTAACTTTTAAACCTTTGTTAGCCTTGAACAAGCTGAAAATGTAGCGGATATGCTACCATTTTGTGAGTTTGGTTGTTCTTAAAGTGTTATCCTCCAATCGAATGACAAAGATCTACTTGTTGTTATATCAAACAAATAACGAATGGTTTGCATTCATGCAATGGTGAGAATATTTTCATTCGTTGAAAGATGGAATGTTCCATTCAACGAGGCGAAGAACATTCAATCTTTCAACTCAAGAAAATATTCTCACCATTGCACTCCTAAACATTCATTATTTGTATACTATTCAATCAAGGTGAAAGAATGACTGGCACAATTCAAAGCACCCATCAATGTTGACTGGTGACAAACCATCCTAGGAACTGATAAGCAGGCTTGATCAGCTTGAGCTTGCTCCAATGATCTTGCCTTAATTACCTGCCGTCATTTTTGATCTTGTCTCCCACATCTCTCATTAGAACATCATGGAGTTCCTTGATGTTGGCCTTGACGCCAACCTCTGGCTCACCCTCAAGCCCTACAAAATAGACAAAATATATCATGATGGAGGACAGAGAGGCATTACCTGATGTCAATGAGTCAAAAGAAGACTACAGAAGACTGCAGCAGGAGAGTTCTATAGAGATATCTGCAGCCGATTTCACGAAACTGTGCTTAGCTTGCGCCATGTGCAAGACTTACGGAACAAATTTGTTGCACAGCTGTGCAATAAACTTACGAACGATTTCACGAAACTTGGTGTAGTTGTGCAAGGATATTGGACAAGGACAAGGATAAAAACAGCATTTACGATGGCTGTTTGTGTGTGAATTTATTCTTTCGCGAAACAGTCGTTGGATCACCGCAGCCCGCCATTATAAAAATTATTTTGTCCGACTTTCTTCGGAATCGTTCGGCAACTCGAAAAAATATGTTACGAGTAAAATAGAAATTTATTTATTTCACACATAAAGTTGTGAGTGTCTTGTATCAATCTTGATAAGTTGTGCAATAACAAGCACTACGACAGTGCCGATTTCCTGGTGAAATATGTCATTTTCAGTCACTATGCCCCAACTTACGCCACCTAAAATCAGAGATGAAACTGGCATATGGCAAAAAAATTGGAAAATACGTCTAACAAAAATACGTGTCCGAAATCGGGGCCGCACTGCAGTTACACACATGTACATGCATGTACAATACACTTCATGCCCAATTTCCGGACACCAGCTCATGCTTAATTATATTCAATTCCGAACAAAATTTTACAATGAAAAAAAAAAAAGGTCAATGTTTTCATTGCATAAAACGCCTGAATTACCGTAAGAGTAATGGAGTCATCAACAAAGAAGTTCACTTCTTACTTTACAAGTCGAGGAAAAAGTCCGAAAGACAAGGGCATCGTTCATGGTGCTTCAATCATGTCCATGATTCAACCACACAACTCCACTACTCCACTTGCATTTGTACGTGGGGGAAAAATCAGGCATTATTGTCTTTCTCTTTCAACAAATGCCAGGGTTTGACCTTAACTTTTTTGTTCACTAGCCAGCCGGGCTACAGAAACAGACTCTTAACTAGCCTGCGGGCATTTTCACTAGCCGCATGTTTTCTTTTTCTTCCTATCCTTCCATCTTTGACGTATCCCAATAATGTTTTGACTCGCCAGCCGGGCTACTTAAGGAATAGTTTGACTAGCCCGCCGCTGTTTTGACTTGCGTTTGGCTAGCTAGCGGGCTACCGCTAATTTCGAACCCTGAATGCCAGTGAAATGTTTCACTAATGCTCTCTTCGCTATCCTTGAGATAATCATCATGATTTTTAAAGCATTGCATTTTGTACAACTTAATCTGAAACCTTCGAAAATTGCACAACATAATGATTTTATCCACTGGATCGTTCATGAGGCCGGCTATCCGTTCCCGACCGGCCCTGTGCTATGCGCTAGCGGACGGTGCGGTACGTACGCTGGTACCATTGCATTAATCTTTGTGCATATGCACGCACGTGCGACACAGTGATTTTTCCATGTCACCTGTCAATGTTTAACCTTTTGTCCAGCCGGAAAAGGCTCTGATCAGTGTTATGGCCTGTGTTTCTACCGTTGAAACACTCCAATAACGCTGGTGAAAGAGATTACAACTCGTTCGCGATTATTTTAATGTGCCATTTCCATCAACTCTTCATCGGCTTTTCTTCGAAATTATGATTGAAATAAAATGACATTTTGTGAAAAAATCATTACAAATTCAAATTTTGTGGGACTCATTGTAAGAAAATCAGAAATTTCATTGGAAAATTTTAAAAGTCGGATTTCCGATTAAAATCGGAAAAGTTTAATCTCTGTAAAATGATTGCGCTAGTTACGCCATAATTTATGGCGCAAGTCGCGGACTTATGCACTATCCGACTTTGGTGAAATGTGTCATAAGTGAAATGATGCACAGCGTGAAATGATGTGCAACTTACGCAATAAATTGTGGTGCAAGCAGAGTTGCGCCATTGCATTAGGTTTCGTGAAATCGGCTGCAGGATGTGCATCTGAAACTGGCTTGGGAACAGTCACATTGGTCATGGTGTTGAACAAATAGACATTGGTAATGACATTTGTTGCCTATGTAATATGTCCCGAAGGGGACAAAAAGGTTGACCAAGAGGGCTCCATCATCCATTGAAATTGTGAGACATACAGAACGTAGTGCATCTACATCAATAAGTCACTTGGCAGATGGCCTAGTGGCATTCAGTTCAATATATTATACCTCTGGCCGTCTTCTGCTGCTCTCTGATCTGTAGTTTCACATTGGCCAATCGTTCTCTGGTCTTCTCAGCCTCCAACTTGGCAATCTCAAGATCATGCTCTGCATCTTTAACAACCTGGCATGGAGCAAAAGGAAAATGTCAAATCTATGTCTTATATTTATTCAGAATCTGATCTACTTATTTAGTGAGACATGAGTATATTTTAATTCTTTCTGTTAATGAAATTTTTAGTGACTCGATTCGACTTCCGTCTGCAAGGGTAAATGACTTGTCTTGACTCGAGTCACTGTGAGCAAATTGACTTGACTTGACTAGCCTTCGCTCAAAAGACTGGACTTGAATCAAGCGAAGGCTAGTGAGGCTTGAGTCCCAAAAATCAAAACTACTTTTTCGAAAAATATTTGCAATGACTTACAAACAAACAACGTGTCACAGACTCCCACCTCATGGTTCTGGAACACACAAAATACTAGCCACAAACTGGATTTAAACATATTTTGTTCAATTCGTTGTTTCATCATTGGCTTTGGCCGATTCCTTATAAAGCTCTTGGATCCGAATGCCGGCTAAATTTATGCCCTCCTTTTAAAAATTAAATAGATGCATGCCAACTTTTAAAGAGGTTGTGGAATGCTCAAAGACATTTCCGTCATTTTTTGGGTATATGTAGCCTAAGGTGTGATGAAATAAAAACGACTATTGTTTCTGTCATGAAATGAGTACAAAAAGTACTTTTGAGAGCTGTTTTTCAAGTCCTGTCATGCCTGTTTCGACGCGAACGTGCAATCTGTGTAAAAGTCGTCGTTGCGGGCAGCAAACAAAACACAGTAAATCGTGACGTAATAAACAGGACTCCCGATGCAGAGTAGCATAAACGAGTCCTGTTTATTACGTCACGATTTACTGTGTATTGTTTGCTGCCCGCAACGACGACATTTACACAAATTGCACGTTTGGGTCGAAACAGGACCTGAAAAATAGCTCTCAAAAGTACCCTTTGTACTCATTTCATGACAGAAACAATAGTCGTTTTTATTTCATCACACCTTAGGCTACATATACCCAAAAAATGACGGAAATGTCTTTGAGCATTCCACAACCTCTTTAAATAATCAGAAACAGTTTTGTAAATAAATGCAATTTTGTTTTGATGTTATCAGCGGAAATTCTAAACACTTTCTTGCTATCAGTTTGTAAACATGTTGACATGCTACACATTTTTAGCATGAGGTGATAGCAAGAAAATGTGTTTAGAATTGTGTTAACTCACAAAATACATTTTTGTAGGCAAGGCAAATATCCACACAGAGGCAATTAGGCTACCTTTGTCCTGGCAATGCCTAAAATTGAAAACTTGGTCCCATGGTCAATTTGACCTCTCTTGGAAAATTACTCATAACTCTGTCAAAAATGTTCAGATTTGGACGTTTGATATCTCATTTTAAAGTGAAAAGGTGTATCCTTCACACCATACCTATATTATCTATATCGTTTCGGTTTTGCGGTAACACCATGTGGTAATAACTACTGCTTAGAAGATATTAGTTCTGAGAAGAACTTGTCCTGCTTATTATCAACTTGCTAAGTAGTTTTTTTGTTTGTTTTTTGTTCTGTTTACCGACCGAAGAAGCATGCCTCGTAACCAAGTCGATACTCGAACAGCCAACTCACAGCCAACTGACACAGTCGAGCGAGCTCAGCGGGCATCCCTCAACACAATGCCCATGGCTCACAACCAACTGACACACCCGAGCGAGCAGGGCATGCCCAGCAAGCACTCCTAATCCTAACAAACCCTACTTAAGGAGTAGCATCTCCAACTTTCTTCAGTCTCCTGACGATGACTAGAGCAGGCTAGTCGAAACGTTGAGACCAAAGACAAGTTCTTTTAGAACTTACAGCAGGACTGTTCTAAACAGAACCAAAAAAAAAAAAAAAACTACTTAGCAAGTTGATAATAAGCAGGACAAGTTCTTCTCAGAACTAATATCTTCTAAGCAGTAGTTATTACCACATGGTGTTACCGCAAAACCGAAACGATACCGATACCCCACCATGCAAAGCCTCAAATCTTATATATTATCTATGTTGGTTACTCATTCTATGTCTGGCATTCCGTTGTATTTTGTTTGCATTTTTATTGATACACACAGTATACTGTTCAAATATTCGAGACTCAAATTGACTTGAGCTAAATATTTGACTCCACTCGACTCCACTTTCTTGACCTAATAACTCGACTAGACACGAGTCACTTCTTAAAAATAATGACTCGACTCGACTCGAGTCTCAAAAATCAGTGACTCGTTACAACTCTCAATAAAGGAAGCCTGAAGAAATCTAGAGGGAACAAACGATGAACTTTTGAGGGGGAAAAATCACAGAATCAGGTAGGGATTGAAACCAAGAACATAAAGTGCTGTTGCTGGGATCCATACCAGGATGACAAATGTACCGCTGTGCCAACCTGACTTTACTTGATACCTATATACTGATGACAGTGGGCCGCAGCGGATCCACGTTGATAAAAACGCAGGCAGATATAAGAAAACGGAATGCTGCTGTGCAGCCCTTATGTCTTTTGACTGCCTGCATTTTAATCAACCTGGATTGGCCTCTGATGGGCATTTACATTTGTTTGCATAACATAGGATTTTCTGCAATGACCAGGACCACCATGTGTGGGAATGTGTCCGACCACCTCCCTATTCCCCTCAACAATATTGTAATCATTTCACACCTGCAAGGTAATATCTGTCTTCACATTCTGAGCGGTGCATTTGTCATGTTCTGTGATACGCTTGTTCAGCTCACAGTAAGCCTTGTTGAGTTGCAGCTGTCTCGTATCATGGTCTTTCTGTGCCTCAGCAAGTTGGTTCTCTAACCTGAATATGACAAATTGAAACCACAATAATGCAAGCAAATATATGACACAAAATGGAATGTCTAGTCTGTCTACACCTCAATATATTGAACAAATAGAGACACAGCCTGTTCAAATTTGTTAAAATACACTGCGCAACAAGATGAAGTCTGGTTTCCAGGAACCAACTTTTGGTGTTGTTCAGTGAGAAACAACTAGCTAGCTAGTTCTCCAGTGTTGGGTGCATGAGCACCATGTTCTCAAAAGATGTGTTCCAAATGTAACAAACATGAATGCTCTTACTGTTGAGATTGAAAAATCTATAACCAGTTGACAGTGATAGGAATCAGAGTTTAAAAATGGCCTTTCAAAAAGTGGAGGATAATAGCTGAAAATGTATACATGTATAAGTAGAATTGTGAAACTTGTGGAGGCTTTTTGGCACATCAGCCTGAACAACTGATAGAATGTTAGGATTTACTCTAGAAGTCATGACCCAATACTGGTAAACTGGCAGTTTGGTGATATAATCCAAATATGCATTAGCCTGGCTTTGGCTTCATAATTTTTTATGTCCCCAACTTGATTGGGGGGAGGGGGGAGGGGAGGGGACCTCTGGCCCAATGTGGTGTTCTCCACCAGGATCATCAAATGTTAATATCAAAATGAGATCGGGGGAGGAGTAATTACATTTCAGTTTAACAGTTTTACTATTCATAAGATGGAATTTGCATCGGGTGATGTAAATTTATTATTAGGTTTTGCCCTTCACCGACATTTAAACACTGTATACTCAGTGAGTTACCAGCCAACCGTTGGAATCCCGACCAGCCAACCGATCCCGCAAGCTCAGTGGTCGAGTGTTAAGACGTCTGCACTAGAAAGCAGGAGGTCGTGGGTTTGAGTCCCACCCGAGTGATTTTTTCTCACTTTCACTCGGGGGGTAACACACTGAGTAAACAGTGTTTATACGTCAGCGAAGGGCAAAACTTAATAACAAATTAACAGTTTCAATTATTCCTAAGCCAGATATGAAGACCAAATTCTAAAGAAAAACTCCTTACTTTGCCATCTCTGCCTCTCTCCTCTTCCGCTCTTCTTCCTTGCGCTGTTCTCGTTGTGTTTCCATCTTGGTAATCATGGTGTCAGTCAAAGTGATGTCCCACTCTTGCAAGAGCACAGTCAGTGGCTCATGAGCTGCCACCTGCTCAGGCGTGGCACCATCACTAGCATAGAGGCGAGGGTCTGCACCATTCTGGAGGAGAACCTGAGCAGCTGTTAGGTGACCAGCAAATGCAGCCCTGAGGTGAGACAAAATATAGACTGCTGCCTAAACAACAGCCACATGAAGATGCTCAACTCTCCCTCAATAAACAGTGCAAAACCAACTTTTTGCTCAACAGAATTCAGAAACTGGGCTGAGTGAGGCCATGTAAAAAGATTTTTGTTTTTGGAAGGCCATTTTATTGACATTCGAAGCCATTTTTTTCTATTATGAATTTCATCCTTTAAATAACACGTAATTTCCAATCTGATTTGAAATTTTTTTTTTTACAGAATTGTTCTCTATCTGAAAGAATATATACATAATGTTGACACATCACAAATAAAATGGATATTTTGGACCGCATTCCATGCGTCGTCACCAGCTCATCAAATGTTCAAAGAGAGGTCATGCATGGAATGCCATCTATACAGCGCACACCAAATGAACGGCTTTGCATTTGCAGTGCGCTGAGGACTGACTAATTATTTGCAGTCGGCAGGTCGGCCAGCGGCGTGGTGGGGTTCGACAAGTAGGAGTTGTTCCATGCTAGCCGTGTGTATATAATTACTATGGTACGCGCAGTGAACTGTGCTTCACCAGTGAAACATTTTTGGCCCATGCCCCGACGACTACTTTTAGACAAATGACAAACTTGATTCATTTTTTTTTCAATTATCCAGTCAAAAAAGTAATGTCTTCAGCTACGAATACCTGCAAAATGACACAACTGTTATTTCACATTCTGCATCCACTTTAATGTAATGACATGGGAAGGACATAAGTTTTACCTACATGTACATGCTGCATACCTGCATCAGTTCACAATGGCAAGAACAAAGGAATGTCAGACAATTCAACCATTGAGACAACTTGACTTGGGACAGCTCGACTGTTGAGACAACTCGACTGTTGAGACAACATAATCACGTTTCATTATCCGAAACCTACCGATCTCTTATGTCATGTATGTCTGCCCATCCCAAGTGCCAATGAATGGGATAGCGCCATCATTCTCCTCAAATAAGCCAACCCCGTCCAGCAACCTCAGCCCAATCACCCCGGCCCAATCCGACCGGGCCAAGCATGCTACCCCAAACCCGTACCCCACCATCCGCGGCTGGACTCACAGCAACAAAATCCCAACGGCAAAACAAAAAACTTGGCGTCTTCCAATCCCTTGCCCCCAAGAGATTGGAAAACCCCAGCATAATGGGAGTCCCGGCTGAGCCAAACTCAATTGTATCCTGTCAAGCAACCCCAACCCAATGATCAAACCATCCCGGGTAGGGCCTTACTAAAAATATTCCCTACTATCCCCCGAAACATTGCGAGTCGACTTGTCTCAACTGGCGACTTGTCTCAACGGATGACTTGTCTTTCCATTTAACGCACATACGGTCCAGTTGTCCCAACGGTCAAGTTGTCTCAACGGTCCAGTTGTCCCGAGTCGAGTTGTCTCAACGGTCGAGTTTTCTCAACGGTTGAGCTGTCCCGAGTCAAGTTGTCTCAACGGTTGAGTTGTCTGACCCTTGAACAAAGCCACCCAGTCTAAAGTCAAGCTATTCAAATATTAAAACTGTGACCCAACAAGGCCTTCCTTTTTTTTATTTGTCATCCCTAAAAACTGACAAGTGATTTGACTTGTGACTTGTGACTCTAGTACCCTGTGTCACAGTTGGAATTACCTGTACAACGGAGTGCGCTCAAACTGTCCCCTTGAATTGACATCAGCCCCTCTCTCTATTAGCAGTTTGATGGTGTCAGCATGACCCCCACTGGCTGCCTCAGACAAGGGTGTGTTACTATTGGCATCTTCACAGTCAATCATCTCTAGTTGGTGTTTGGCCCTGAGGGCCAGGCCCATGGGGTCTGTGCCTATGCCCTGCTTGACGTCATCATTCTCAACCTCAAGAATGAAAAATGGGGATTTGGCAAAATGAAACACCACAAGCAAATTAAGTGCATGCCGAATTGTAATCAACCCTGTTGGAGATGAGCAGTATTCAAGTTTCAAAGGAAATTGTTCAAGAAAGTTTAGAAAAATGTAGCTACCAATTTTTAATTGACCGTCAATATATCTTTAGTTTTTTTTATTTTTTTATTCTAAAGGAAGCACACGTACATAAATGTGCATGTAAGCTGCATTGAATATCCCTTACTGCCACAATACATGTACATGTGACATTGTGGGCTAGGCAATTGTAAAGTGTGCACAATTCAAACACAAGAGTTGACATTACCATTTGGTTCATAACTTTGGGTTGCAAAAGCGACCTGAACAGTCCACACACTTAAAGCCCATCACAAAGTTAGAATCAGATGTCACTGACCTCCTTAAGTACCATGAGTATCTCATCATTCTCTCCATCAAAGGCTGCCTCCAAGAATCGCTTGATCCTCTGTTGACGTAGCTTCCTCCTTTGTCTCTCCTCCATCTCCTTCCGGTGTTCCTCCTCTGCCCTCTCCTGCTCTCTTTTCACCATGGCAACAAAGGCCTACAGGATTAGAATCAAGCATTTTTGAATTCTGAGACTTTTGCCAGTCACACTATCCCATGACAGTCTGTCGCTGACAAAAGGAACAAAGTCTGCAAGTTTGGAATAGGCAAAAACAGGCATTTGCCACAGATTTGCCACTTTCTGTGTTTTAACAACAAAGGTGGCTAAAACAGCCTGCCTATTTCAAAATACACGTCTCTGACTTAAAACTTAAAAACGAACATATTTATAAAAGATTCATAAATAAGAATCAAACTTAATAGAGTGGCAACCCAGAAACAAGTGCTATGCAAATTAGCTGAGAATCACTCACACGATTGAGCTGATAACTATTACTGCAAAACTAGTCCGAAAATTTGGGACCCTCAATACTGTGTATGAGCATGGAGATATAGTTCCATGGTAGAGTATAGCTCCATGGTATGAGAGTCCCAACTACTTAAGGTGTTAAAAACATGCAATACAAGAGGCTGGCACCTAAAAGGACCAGTCCAACAACCCTTCAGCACTGTATCAATCAACTGTGCCAAAAGAAACATGGCATGTCTGGTATTAGTCTCTTTTTTTCTACTCATTTCTGCATAGTCAGCCATCAGACTAATGACAATGAATGAAGATCAGAAGTCAGTCTTTTCAAACAGTTGGACCACGGTTGTACATGTGCCAGTCTAGTATTTAGCCTCATTTTGAAATCACTTGACTTCCCTCTCATGTGCAAAATATTGAAGAAAAGACTTCAAAACTGGAGTTGCGTCTTCAAACTTAATTGGTTGGTGACATTTACAGAGGACCCTTTTTTTTGCCCTATGAAATTTTTGGAGAATTTTGCTGGCTAAAGAGTGAGTACGTACAGTTGGCCTGATTTAGTTTTGCATGTTTTTCAGTACTGGAGGTCCCAGTTGTGTTGCAAAACTTGATACTCAATGAAAACTGAGAAATTAAATGAGTGCACATGTACATGCATCTCTTCAATGCAGAAGAAGACAGAGATATGGAAGGACACAAATGCTCAAATGCCATTACATTGTACCGTACATGCAGTGGTGCTCAATGACACTGTATTAGGGTTTATGCACAATCAGAAAACTAGTTGTGACATATAGGGCCAACGGTAATTGGCACAATTAAAAAGCATATACACATGGAGTTCCAAGGACTCTTGTGAGTATTCGCACAGAATGTCACATTTTTTTAGAATTAGAATCCACATGTTTATTTATTTATTTAATGTTTATTGTTTATTTATTGTATGGTGTTCAAATATTTGTGACTCAAATTGATTTGAGCTAATATATAATTACTTGACTCAACTTGACTACACACTGTGACTCGACTCGACCTTCTTGACCTAATGACACCACTCGACACAAGTCACACAAGTCACTTCTTTAAATTGACCTGACTCGACTCGAGTCACAAAAATCAGGGACTTGTTACAACTCTGCCATTGAATCCTACATGTAACTATACCTCTTTCTCTAGTTTCTCCATCATGGCTTCATACTCTTCCTTTTCTCGTCTCAGCTTCATAAGATGACCCTTCCCCAGAAACCGGCGCACCCATTTCTGGATGACCACAGCAGCCAGTGTCTCCTTTGATGGTGGTTTGGGCTTTGATGGAGCATTGTCTTTCTTGGCACCAGCTTTTGGTGTGGAGGCAGCTTTGCCGCCAGGCCGGTTAGGTGTCTTAGCTCCAGCTAATGAAGTGTCAATTATGTAACAGACCAATGTTTTAAGCATTTTCTAGGCCTAAGGCCCCAAAAAAACAGCTTCCAATTACATGGCATTCGAAAATAAGGTAGGCAAGTAGGGAATTAAAAAAAAAAAATTGGTGCCTTTTTTGGGTGTACGATCATAATATGGAGACGTCTGCGTGTAGTCAAGGGTAAAAGGTAGAAATTGATGGTTTTGGGTGTTTTTTTCTCCTCATTTTTCTGGAAGCAGAAACTGGAAGCGAATTTATTTTTTTGGCCTAACAGCAGTGATTTAAAAGAAAGAATGAATAAGGGAATAAATGTGTGCTCGGGAGGATTTAATCACTCTGTTTAAGACCGCTTGGAGTCTGGGTGCTGATTTCGGCTCGGGTAATTATCAGCAACCAGACTCCAAGCGGTCTTAAACAGAGTGATTAATACCGACAAAGCACATATTTATTCCCATTCATAAATACCTTTTTGTTAAAAAAAATCTAAACTTTATGGTAAAAAAACCCCAGATTTTGTTCAACAAGTTCACTTCATGTTTTTTGAAACACCCCTCTTGCTAAATAATGGAGTGTCCAGCTGGCGAGTAAGATGTAAACAACTCCTTTTATGGAGATTGGCGCGTGCGTCGTGCATACTGCGCGATGTCGCGCAGAATGCACCTGGGGGGTTGCGTTGTGAATTTAGGAAATTCTGACTCACAGGTAGTATTGCGCATGCCTAAGTGAGGATTGTGAACGTTCAACCAATAAAACGGTAAGAGGCACTGGATTTTTAGGAGTCCAAATTTCATGTGATGTTGGAAAAGTGTTTACCAGCTAGCCATGTCTTTATAATCCGTTTAAGACCGGCCACGTGACGGGCTCTCGACCAACAGGAATGGGAATTTAAAACTGTCTTAGGTATTTTTGAATAGTTTTTAACATCTTGGATGAGCAAAGTTGTGAATGAATGTGAAGTTGTGGACCCGGCCGTTCCAATAAATAATTAAGAAAAAGGAAAATCCATTTTTAGGTTATTGAACTCACTTGATTAGTAATTAATGTTGAATGCCAGAAACAGGAAGGTTGTCATCAGATTGATTTTTTTCAGGGAATTTCTTGGGTAAAACTCAAACAATGCAGACAATGGAGTCCTCTAACGTGGCGCACTTTGATTTCCCCCGAATTTCTTCATGTAGAGTTTCCAAACCTCTTTAGTTGACAAGCTTCAAATTCATTCAATTAAAAGCTGGTCAGTTTTGCCTTAATAACACTTACTGTTGAAGTCTTGTGGACAATTTTAGTGTCATGAAAATATTCCAAAATTGAAAAAGTGGGGCATCCTGAAATTTGGCACAAAATCGGCCAAAACAAACTTTGTTAATATTGTGGATTTTCCAAGATGTTTCATTTTCTCCACTCTTTTGCTTAAACAAAATTGTGTGCAAAGGAGCTACAATTTTGTTGAAAACAAATAAAAAGACAACATAATGGCAATTCCAAAAATGTAAGAATTAACAAACAAAAAAAGGAGGAGGAGATAGGTAGTAAAAAGGACGGGAACGAGAAACTGGTTTATTTTTCTTACTTGGCCTTATTTACTTATCTCCACTTACACATCTAATGACATGTTAGTAAGAAGAGTATAAATCTCTTACTTCGGGGAGAATTAGAAAAAAAAAAAAAGGTTCACTATGCCATCCAAATTTGAACGGTTTCTCAGTCCCAGATTCATGTCTTATCATCACTTTTGCAATGACTGACCTTCATTGAGATGATATGAAAAAAAAGCAGCGTCAGGTTGCAACATTCTTGGTTCTTGGTTGGTTCTTGGTTGGTTCTTCTCCTAAATACTCCACGTGGGAGTTTATACAGGAGGCCAAAAACACCGGGGCAAACCCCTTCTCTTAGCGATAAGTCTTTCCTCAGGCAGAATTTAAAACGTGATTCATTCAGCAATTTGATTTGGAATTGAAATCCAATATTAAGCAATAGTTATAGTAGGCCTATGTTGTTTTTTTCTCGAAATATACAGCTGAAGCTGAACTGAATCTTCATCAGGGTAGTTGGGAGCAACTATAGAATGCAGGGCCACGCCGGAAAAGGTTTTTTTTTTTGTAGTTGGATGCGATGTGAGGAGTGGGGTCATTGAGAAGAATGGCACTCTTTTGAGAACAAAGCAACGTTGGTATGTGAGATTCTCCTATGCGTACGTACGCGGGTACGGTATGACATAGATGTATAAAAAATAGAGGGCGGTATAAAGAGTGAATGAGCATGAAGTAAATTGTGATCAATAGAGGGCGCTATAGAGAGTGAATTATTGACAAGTACGTAGTATATATACCGAGTGAGACAGCTTGGGATGTCTTGGATGTCTTGGATGTGAGGTGGATGAGCATGAAGCCATGATCAATAGAGGGTGCTTTATTTACCCCAGGACCCTCTACTGTATTTACCCTGTAAAGTATAAAACCCACTACTTTATTTGCTTATCTAAAACCAACCCCAACCTACCCTCTCATTCTGTCTTGGATGCATGGATGCGCGGATGCGGGGTGGGCATAAAGTAAATTTTAATCAATAGAGGGCGCGTTATTGGAAGCCTGGATGCGCGGATGCGGGGTGGGCATGAAGTAACTTTTAATCAATAGAGGGCACTTTATTGGATGCCTCGATGTGCGGATGCAGAGTGGGCATGAAGTACATGTAAGGGCGCTATAGAAATGAGCGGATGGCATGAAGTTAATCTTAATAAATAGAGGGCGCTCTATTGGATGCCTGGATGCACGGATGCGGAGTAGGCATGAAGTAAATTTTAATCAATAGAGGGCGCTATAAAAAAACGATTGCGCATCCCCACAGTAATGGATGTGCGGATTTAATATGGAGTGGCCCTGTATTCTATAGTTGTACTGGTAGTTGTTCAGCACCCTTCTTTACTTTAGGTTTTGAGCACTTTTGTCATGTTTGTTGCTAAAACGAACAAAATGTACAAATTACAAATGCATAGGCTACCATTGCCTACCTTTAAGTTTAACAACATGTTATCCCAATTGTCATGATCATTATAAGTTCCCATGTGGAATTTGTCAATACGCAGTTAAAAACAACGACCCAGCACTCGAGTGCGATGCATGCAAGAACTGGATTCATAACAAATGTTCAGGTATCTCAGACGGAAGTTACAACCATTATCTTTCACTCCACAGTTTCAACTGGATATGTCCATCTTGCGATGTTTTAAACTTTTCTAGCTCTCTGTTTTCACTTGACCAGCTTGACACGCAAAACTCATATGAAAGTTTATCACTGGAAAATTCTGGAAATAGAGAGGACAGTACTCAATTTATTCCTGTGGTTACTTCTAGCCCTTATGACAATGAGGAAATGAGGAGAACTGCTAACAAATCAAAGACTTTTGTGCCCAAGTTCCCAAGTATGGATCAACCGGCAAATAGACTATTCAAGGACACAAACACAACTAAATCCAAGTCCAAACCTAATTCCAGCTCAAAAACTGCTCCGAAAAATGGTGTTAGATTTTGTGTCATGAACTGTTGTAGCATCAGGGGAAAATCTGCTCTCCTGGATGCTTTTGTGTCGCTTGAAAACCCTGAAGTTATCATTGGGACAGAATCGTGGTTAGATGATTCCATTCAATCAGCTGAGGTGTTTCCCCCCAATTTCACCGTTTACAAAAGAGATTACCAAAGTTTTTGTGGCTGTAAAACACGGCATTTCATCTCTTGAGATAGAGAGATACTGTGGTGTCAACTCTCCTTCAATACCAAGTCCAGGAGTGATGATATACTTGTGGGAGCAAAGTACAGATCACCAGAATCATATAGACCCGAGTCATTGGAAGGCTTAGACGAAAGCTTACAGAAGTTGCAGAACAGTGTGAATGCACCGTTTATAATCTTAGGAGGGGACTTCAACATACCAGGCATGTGTTGGAAAAGTGATGATGCTACAATTCCCGTTAATAGCATTCAGACCGACATACTTCGCATTGCAAACGACCATAACCTTGATCAGATGGGTAAATTTCACAACGAGAAGGGACCTGGCGTCTGGTACGGAGAACATTTTAGATCTCTTGTTCACTACACGCCCAACTTTAGTCAACAACACCCGTGCAAGTTCTGGGATTAGTGATCATGCAGCAGTGAAAGCAGAAGTTAACATCAGGGCGACCAAACCCATGAAACCACCTAGGACCATTTTCCGATGGAAGGATGTTGACGAACCTGGCTTCATTGAATCAGTATCCAAGTTGCAAGCTGATTTTATGAACTCATCTCCACTAACGAAACCTGTGGAGGAAAACTGTAATATCTTCAAAAATGGGTTGACTGATATCATAAACCAACTAGTTCCTCAGAAGATTGCCAAGGGCAGACCTAGACCTGCTTGGCTTTCAACTGACCTAATATGCATGTGCAGAAAGAAAGAGAGGCGTTATGTGAAAGCAAAGAAAAGTGGGTTAGCATCAGACTGGGAAGACTTCAAAATACTACAGAAGAAAGTCAACCGTGAGGTTCGCTGAGCAAAGCGTTCTCACCTACAGGATATTACCTCATCTGAAAATCCAAGACAGTTTTGGCGATTTATTAACTCCAACAGGAAAGACAACACGGCCATACAGGTTCTCAAAAAAGATAACACAAACATCACCACAGATAAAGAAAAAGCTGGTGTGCTAACTGACCAGTTCAGTAGTGTGTTCACCAGAGAAGGGGAGGTTGATACAGATACCCAGCAGAGTTTACCATCCAGTCCATATCCTGACATGCCTGACATTGTGGTGTCCGTGGATGGCGTTGCCAAGCTGCTGAAGGAGGTTAACACCAGTAAATCTGCAGGACCCGATGCTCTGTCTAACAAGGCACTTAAACTGGCTGCTGATGTCATTGCACCAATGCTTGCGGTCATATTTCAACAGTCACTCGACACTGGCACTCTGCCTACAGATTGGAGAAAAGCAAATGTTGCGCCACTTTTCAAAAAGGGCTCCAGATATGATCCCTCTAACTACAGGCCAATCTCACTGACATCGGTTAGTTGTAAACTGTTAGAGCACATCATAGACAGCCATCTTATGGAACATCTTACAGACAACCAAATCCTGAACCCGAACCAACACGCTTTCCAGAAAGGCTTATCATGTGAATCACAGCTCGTCATGACCATGCAAGATCTGACCAGTAATTTCGACAACCAAATAACCACAGATGTTGCAGTATTAGACTTCTCGAAAGCTTTCGATGTCGTCCCTCACAAGAAGCTAATCCAAAAAATTGGGTATTATGGAGTCAGAGGTAAAACTCAGAACTGGATTAAATCATTTCTGACAGACAGGCTACAACGGGTGATGGTCAACTGTGAAACATCCAAGTGGCATCAAGTATTAAGGGGAGTTCCGCAGGGAACAGTCCTGGGACCGCACTTGTTTCTACTCTTCATAAATGACATCAACGACTCTGTGGGTGGAACAACACGACTTTTTGCTGATGACTGTTTGATGTACCGCAAGATTCATTCTCCATCCGATGAGCATTCATTCCAGAAAGATCTTGATACCTTGGCTGACTGGGCAGATACATGGGGTATGAAATTCAATCCAAGCAAATGCAATATCATGAGAATCTCCAGAAAAAGAGACTCGGTAAAACCATCATACACCATGTTAGGGGTAAATCTTGAAGTAAAAGCTGAGATCACTTATCTCGGTATCATCATCCAAAATAAATTTGAGTTGGAACCGCCTGACTGAACATGCAGCCTATAAAGCCACCCGTGTCCTCAACTTCATCATGAGAAACTTCTACCCAGCCTCAAAAAGTCAAAGTCCGTCAAAGAGAAATTATATTTCACCCTGGTTAGGCCCCTCCTTGAATATGGGAGTACTGCTTGGAACCCATATGCCACCAAAAACATCTCTTCACTTGAAAGAGTCCAGAGGCGAGCTGTACGTTTCGAGCTGCAAGGATTTTTCAAGAAGAAGCAGCGTAACTCAGATGTTGGCCACCTTGGGCTGGACATCACTTGAAGAAAGGAGGGAATTAAACCAACTAGTATTTTTGTACAAGGTCATCAACAACACAGTAAACATTCAACCAGATGCACTGCAACCGAAAAGTAACAGACAAAGGAGGGGGGAACAACTGCCAATTTAATGAAATCACCGCAAGAACCAATGTCTACATGCAATCCTTCTTACCAAGAACAGTCAGAAAATGTACCGAACAAATTACCCCAAGATGTCATCAATGCCCCAAACCACAATCAATTTAAATCATTGAATTAGTTAATGCCACTCTCCAAGCCTCTTAGTTATACTTCCTCGAGGAGATCTGAGGAGGATAACCACCAAGTACCAAGTATATAGGCCTAGGCCCAGGCCCTATTTGTCTTGCATGATGTATTTATGTAGCCCGACTGCGTCTGGCCGTACAGTATCATCGAAAGCTAACGTACTACTACAGAGCTTGTGATAGTACTGTACGGCCAGACGCAGTCGGGCTAGTATTTATGATCTACCTTTTACTGGTGTAACTTTCTTCGCTGGAGTTGACTTGGTGGTTGACTTGGAGGCAGCTGGTTTTCCAGCAGGCTTCGCAGCTGGCTTTTTAGGTGGCATTTTACAAAGTCGAAACGAGTCAACCCGGGAGACGCGTACGTGCGGCACTGAAACTCTTCGTGTCGCTTCACGCTATAATACCGGCCGGGTGACCGTAAGGATCGACGGTAAATGGCAAAATTCGGCTAAGTGCTAGACTACAAAAATTTGCTAGATTTAACAAAAAAATCTGCACGAAATACATTTATAAACACTTAAACTCACGTGCAGGTGTTATAAAATTTCCTTAATAACAGAAACAAAAATGATTAATTTCCTTTAAAAGGGTTAAATTAAAGTTAATTTGATGCAAATGCCGCGCCGATGCGCGTGTGGTACGTACTGCTGCACCTAGCCCGACTGCGTCTGGCCGTACAGTACTATCGCAAGCTCGTACTACAGAGCTTGCGATAGTACTGTACGGTCAGACGCAGTCGGGCTATGCTGCAGCTATATAATCTGTAATTACCAGCTATATTTTTGCAAATCTGCCAATTTTTCTGTCAGATCACCAGTTTAACAGAATTCTAGAAATCTGTTGAAAAATATCATTCTGCTAAATGTTCTGTCAAACAATTTTTTCCCCTTCAAAAACAAATTATGTCAGTTAAATTTAGCCGAAATTCGGCTCAATCGGTCACCCTGTCGAGTCTCGTCTGTAGCGCATAGCGTGGCTAGCAACGTCTGTCGGGGTGTTGCTTAAAATATTGTTATCAACAATAGACACTTCTTTAGTAAAACGTTAATTATAAGAGGTAGTTCGCAGATCAAGGTTCCGGGATGTATTTTAAATAAATTCAAAGAAAGACATTCAACAGTTATAATATTCTTACAGGTACTTTAAACGCTATTAAACGAGAACATGAATTTTATTCAGGGTGAGCAATTTTCATCGCACATGGTATTGGTATCCCATAATCCCTTTTGCTTTTCCAAGATGTCAGCCTCCGCAAGTCTGAACGGCTGAACGGATGGTTGTAGAACTAGAACTTAGTTCATGTAGTTTGGACAACTTTTGAAGTTTACACGGAAATAAGGTAACAACATTTCAATGAACAATGTGTTCTGACCGTATTGGTTAAATTCTGGCCTTTTTTGAGTTGTCAACACATAGGCTGTGTTTATAGCTCCATGGTATAAGCATGGAGCTATAAACACAAGCATGGCCATTCATTGCTCAAGCCATGGAGCTATAACGCAATTTTACCTTGTCCAGTAATGTTATTTAAACGAGTTGAACACTTGCGCATCATTTTTATTTGTTCAACAAGGTGACTGTTTTGTAAAGCATAAATCAACTATGATAGTAAATTTGGTAACAAGTGCTACCGTTGTCAAAAAATGGGTAATCCTTAGGACCCCGTTCCTATATTATTGAGGGTCGCACTAAACAGCGTCAACACAGCGTCAACACAGCGTCAACACATGACAGAAGCGTCAACACACCGTCAACACATCCAAAACACATTCTGAATTGACAAAAAGGGCATATAATTGTGAAACATACAATAAAAGAGAATTTTCATTGGATTGAGTTTCCATTTCGTTGTTAAAAATATCGTATTTTCACGCGAAAAAAATGACCTTAACTTGCACGGCCGTTGTCCGCCATCTTGACTTCGCACAAAGCTTGGACTACACCATTTCAAGTAGGGGTGTGTAGGTAATGACATTATCTTGTCATAAACAACAGAGGGCGCCTTGCTGCAGACTAGACAGAGGGATACCAGATCTGTGTGAGGACTAAGGATCGGAGGAGTGGTAGATCATTATTTTGTGAGTTGTGTTTATGTTTTGGTCTTTGCAGATATTTTTAACACTGGCGACCCCGGCCGCGTCCCTCTCTGTTGGTTTATTGTACAACGCTATCACCCTTTAGAATAATGGTATGGTCCGCGCTACCACTGAGGCAACATGGCGGGTGTTCGGCAGCCGATTTCGGAGCGGCACGGAGAGCCAATTTTCTTGAACTAAAAATCGCGATTTTCAGACGTTTAACCTATTGATTTTAAGCACAAATCTTGTTTCTGTCCATACTGTATGGGTTACATACTGCTTTTGTCAATTTTATTGCATTTTGGATGTGTTGACGCTGTGTTGACGCTGTGTTGACGCTTTGGAGTGTGTTGACGCTGTGTTGACGCTGTTTAGTATGACCGATTGTTGATGTACCCTAACGTGGCGCGCGCGGCCCCTAACGTGGCGCACTTTTATTTTTCGCCTGTAGCGCCTAGCTAGAGCAAAAGTTTTAACTGAAATTTTACTTAAAGTGAAATTTCATCAAGTTCTAAACTCTCCCGTTCATAAATCGCGAGTTTATTCACCCGTTACAAAGTTAAAAGAAAAAATTATTTTGGCGTGATTTTCCGATTTTATTTTCAAGTGCAAAGTGAACCCTTTGAAAATTCCCCCGGAAAAATAAGAAAAAAATTTTCTGACAAACATCTGGCTGGGTTTGTAAGTAAAGATAATAATGATTTATCAGAATTTATCAAGTTTACAGAAATTCTTAAATGTTAATTTAGAATTTTCTGAGATTTATTCAAGTGCGCCACGTTAGGGAACACTCCGCCAATTTGTGCCCAATTTCCGGACGCGACCGTTTTTGCATTTCGAATTGAATTTTATGAAACCGAAATTGTTCACAGAGGTTAAATAGCAAGCATTAAAAAGGTAAAAGTACCAGTATTTCACTGCATGAATTTGAGGTTTATCAACAAAGAGGTTTGGCAACACTACACGAGGAAAGCTGGGTAAGCTTCGAAGTGCGCCACGTTAGGGAACACGACTATATAGACTAGGCTACATGTTAGTCCGAGTAACTTGGACAATGGACCCAACTTATCGCCTTTTTAACATTCGGACATGGTCTTGCGATAGTGGGGCCAACCTTTGTCCTTGACCCAAAAACCCAACATTGCCCAACTAAAACATCAAATTTCACCCTCAAAACAAAGTACTACACTGTAGATACGCCACCTGAGGTACAAACTGTAAACATCGATGATTAAGTACGGTTGTACTTCAGTTTACTTACGATTCGGATGAAAAGTGAAATTTCCTGTTCAACTCCGAGAGCTCCCCTCGCGATTGTGAACACGTTGAATTTCCAACTCGTTTTAATGTTTAAACGTCGTCGTACGTGCATTATAGACAATGCGTTGGTAAATCACAGCCATTCGGATGAAAAGTGAAATTTCCTGTTCAATTCCGAGAGCTCCCCTCGCGATTGTGAACACGTTGAATTTCCAACTCGTTTTAATGTTTAAACGTCGTCGTACGTGCATTATAGACAATGCGTTGGTAAATCACAGCCATTCGGATGAAAAGTGAAATTTCCTGTTCAATTCCGAGAGCTCCCCTCGCGATTGTGAACACGTTGAATTTCCAACTCGTTTTAATGTTTAAACGTCGTCGTACGTGCATTATAGACAATCCTGCGTTGGTAAATCACAGCCATAACGTTATTGAATGATCGCTGTATGATGTCTGTGCTAGCTATAGTGGTTGAATTTCACGAATTTTCAACCCAAAAAATAATTGTGAGTATCATTGAAGGCCGATTACCTTGTCTTTGACACATGGAGAAGCCAGTAGGTGCTTTCAAATGTATTACATGTACATGTATTGTCAAGTAGTTTGCGTGATGTTTAGAAATTGCAACATTGACAATACTTCCTTAGTGGGACGCTAGTACGACAGACCAACATCCCAAATGTCAAAAAAGGAGTTCTAGCGCCCCATTAGTGGGACTAGGCCTAGTCTAGTATTGGCAGTAAATAGGCCACATTTATGGGGCTAGACTTAAATGTTTTACAACTGTAAAATAATACAACTTTGTCATTTACTGGTGCACGGAACTTTACCTATGGTTATATTCTCTGATGTCTCAGCAAGCCATCCCTGTAGGAAGAACTTCTTCACCCAAAAGAGTGATAAACATATGGAATTCCCTTCCACAACAGTGCGCTAAATGCAAAAACTGTAGCAGCATTCAAGAAAAGGTCGGATCCTCACTGGGGGGAGGGAAAGATAGGATATGGGGTCACAAAGGCAATATCTTGTAAAACGTTGGTAACAATGGGTTTTAGGAGGAAGGACGAATTTTTTTTTTGAAAAATTAGATTTTTTTTACTTGACATTTCAACCCCATGAACATTGCACATAATATACGGTACATTGTATTGGCAGTTTTTCTTGGGTCAGTTCGACCATTTTCTAAAGAGGTGCAATGGTGATATTGATATTGCTGGTGCACACTGAAAAAAAGATCATCTGGAACTGACCCTTCAAACATATACTGAATGCAGGCGGTCATCGATGGTTCACATCAAGTGTATATACATGTATTAGTCATCATTCATTCGGCTGCGGAGCAGGCGACCACAAGTTTCCTCCAGTTGCTGTGGTCCAGTTGCAGGTAACCCTCATGGTCTCCAAGAAGGCTCTGGATATATCTTGAATATAATGTTCGCTGTCGGCCAGGCTTTCTTTTACCATGCAGTGGAGTGTACAGTGCATAAACCTTGCCGGCTCATCATCGGGCATGCGCAGAACATGCCCCAGGAATTTCAGCTGGCGGGTTCTTAGCCGGACTACAAGAGAGACTGTGTTGGTCAGGTTGTAGATAGTTGTGTTTGGAATTCTGTCCAATCGCCTGATGTTCAACATGATGCGGTAACATGATGTTGCAAAGGCGTTAATTTTATCTTCCATATCATGTGTGATGACCCATGTCTCACAACCATTCAGAAGTACTGTCACACAAATTGTTTGAAACAGCTTCACTTTGGTAGATATTGGTATAACTGAGCTCCTCCAAAGGTGTTCCAGTTTCCAAAATGCTGACCAGGCCAGAGCTTTTTGCCTCTTCAGATCACTAGCACTGGATCCCATCATGGATCCCAGGTATCTGAAGTCAGTCACATGGCTGATGGGACTGCCGTAAACTTCAAGTGTTGGCTGATGGTTGCAATTTAGGGTCTAGATTCTGTCTTGGTGACACTGATCATAAGACCAAGATCTGCAGCTGCTGTAGCAGTCCTGGAGAGCTGTGACTGGGCCCGAGATATTGATGATTCTAGTAGGGCAATGTCATCGGCAAAGTCCAAATCATTCAACATCTTGGCTGGATGTCTCCTACATGTACCGGTAGATCGACGTGGGTGAGTCACAACTCCTGAATCTTCGGTTGACGAAGCTGCCTTCAACAGGTAGTCAACAATTATGATAAATAGGAAGGGAGCGAGAACATCGCCCTGAAGAACTCCAGTTGTTACTTGGAATGGATCTGATATACTTTCATCTACCATGACTGCACTGCTTGAGTTGTTGTACAGAACTTGGATGGCGTTAACCAAGGGCTCAGGGATGCCGTAATGTCGCAATACGGCACACATAACAGTCCTGTTAATGGAGTCGAAGGCCTTCTTGAAGTCAATGAAAGTGACTGTCAGTGGGAGATGGTATTCCTTGAAACCTTCCATAATCCTCCTCAGGATATGTATTTGCTGAGCACAACTACATGTACGTCCTGATCTGAAGCCGGCTTGGTTGCTCCTCAGAAGTGGCTCTGTATAAGAACGTATTCTGTTCAAGAGAATTTCGTTGTAAACTTTTGCAGCTATGGACATGAGTGAGATACCCCGGTAGTTTGTCATGAGAGATAAGTCACCTTTCTTAGGCAAGGGAATGATGATGTCACGCCCCAACTATCGCATCGGTCCCAACTATAGTTGGGCCTGTCCCAACTGTAGTTCCACAGTTGGGCTGGCCCATCTATAGTTGGGCCACTCCGATCTTTTTATTTTGCGGTGTCCCAACTATAGTTTACATTGATGTACAACTGTAAAACGTTCCCTACAGCTCTGATACACGTCTGACTTTACTGGGGACCACTGAAATTAGTTATTGATGGGGCGAATCTATAGTTGGGCCACTCCAATCTTTTTATTTTGCGGTCCCAACTATAGTGTACATTGTTGTACGATTATAAAACATTCCCTACAACTCTAATACACATCTGACTTTACTTGGGACCAATGAAATTATCTATGGGTGGGGACCATCTGTAGTTGGGCCACCGCAATATTTTTATTTGGCGGTCCCAACTATATAGTTTACATTGATGTACGACGACTATAAAACATTCCCTACAGCTCTGTTACATACTGTCCGACTTTACTTGGGACCTTTGACATTAGCTATGGGTGGGGCCCATCTATAGTTGGGCGGCCATGGCAATCTTTGAATTTTGCAAAATGTTGCTGGACAATCAACCCGGCAGCTGGACAACTCATCCAACTAGGCAGTACCACGTGACCGGCCAGCCTTGCGGCATGCATGCACGACGAATACACGGTGCCAGCGCCGCGGAACATTTAATCCAACAAGATCTATCAAGCATGAAGCATCCGGCGCAACTCCAGTCCTAACTATAGTTGGGCTGACCCAACTGCCGCACTATAGTTGGGACAGTCCCAACTATAGTTGGGACCGATGCGATAGTTGGGGCGTGACAATGACATTTGATACCCACTGATGTGGTGGAGATAGGGTTGTGTAGACTTCAGCACAGAAGGCATGGATGGTATCACGCATGAAATCGCCACCTCCCTGCAGTGCTTCTGCTGTGATAGCGCAGTCCAGTGCTGCTGCCTTGTTTACTTTCATGGCTGCTATAGCTTCAGCTGTCTCTTCACGTGTAGGGGGGTCAATGAAGATAGGCAGGTCCTCAGCAGCTGGTGGTGGTAATTGTGGTGTTGATAGACCAGGATTATTTAGAAGTGAGCTGAAGTAATCCTTCCACTCCTCGAGCAACTCTTGGTCGCTAGCAGGGGCTGATCCGTCCCTCTTCTTGACCTTGACTTTTTGCTTGGAGTTTTCCCGGAGAGGGTGTGGATGATTTTCCAAGTGGTGGTGTAATTTCCATTTTGGTCAGCTAGTTTTAGCTCCTCCATCTGCATGTTGAGTGTAGCAGCTTCATCAGCCTTGTAAGGACTCATTAAGTCTAGTGTTCAGGTTCCTCCATCTTTCTCTGGATTGACGAAACTTGAAATGGAGTACTTCTTCTTGGCATCATCCCTTTCAACTTTCAGTCGGATGGTCTTGTCTGATACCCAACTTGGCATTCCACAAGTCTCACGCTTGCCAACCACTATCTCTGCAACTTCCTTGACCGCTGTCTCAAAGTGTGCATATCTATCTGTAATACTTGGTGTGTCTTCCACATTAAGAACTTGGAATCGATTTGATAGCTCCAATTGAAACATCTCTCTCGTGACAGGATCCTGCAGCTTCTTCCAGTTGAACTTAGGTCTCTTGCAAGGTTTCCCTTTGCTAGTTCTCAGACTGGTGACAAGCCGAATGCTGACGATAGGATGGTCAGAATCCAATTCTACCGAGTTGTAAGCACGGCAGTTGCGGAGAGAGTTGATTCACTTGCTGTTGATTAAGATGTGATCCAGTTGATATACTGATCCAGCTGGATGAGACCAAGTCCAATGGCTGCTTCTTGGTTGTGGAAATCTCATTTGAGCAGGTCTCATCTTATGTTCCTGGCACAGGTTGACCAACCGCTCGCCATTGTCATTTGTGGTATTATGGTGGCAATAGCCTCCAATAACCTCGGGGTGAGAGAGGTGACTGTCTAGCCCAACTCTGGCATTAAAATTGCCAAGGACAAGGTGGATATTGTGCCTCTTAACTTGGTCTAGATAGTCCGTGAGGGATGTATAGAAGTCATCTTTGTCTGGCGTTGATGAACAATCTGTAGGTGCATACACAACAGTGATGCTCAACTGAGGATTGCCGTAGAAAGATGCAGAGAGGATTTTCTCAGAGACGGATTCAACACTTTGCAGGCACCTATAGATGTGTCCAGACATGAGTAGACCCACACCTCCTTGCCTCTGTTTGGTTGCTGAACTGTAGACCATGACCCAGTTTCTATCGTCTGACCAAATTTCCTCTGTGGAGTTGGATGTGATGAGCCTGTGCTCTTGGATTCCGATGATGTCAACGCCTGCATCTGCACAGCCCATGAAGAGTTGGTGAATTTTACCTTTCTGATGTAAAGTACGCACATTATATGTAGATATAACAAGAGGTTCGAAGGCAGACAAGCGACCTTTATCAAGACCAACAGTCTGGGATGTTCTACCGGTTTCCTGCTGGTCCGTCATGGAGTCGTCTGTAGACAGCCGCCCGGCTACCTTCATAGTTTTACGCAGATTCTTCTTTGTGGTTTTCGTAATCGATTGGATTGCTGGAATTGTTTTAGTCCGGATCCAGCAGCTGCATGGGTGATTGGCCCTGAGACAGCTTGTTCCCGGAGACACAGCAGCCGAGCTCTACTGAATATGATGTAGATCGCCTCTGGTCAGGAACATGTTAGCCAGAGGTGGAGAAATAACTTATGATGACATGTTCAACATCAGTCCAACTAGACTAGATGGGTTGCTGATCATAGCTAACGAGCCCCACCTGCCCGGGTTTGAGATCAGAGTTCCTTCTCCTAGGTGAGCTGCCTCCCATGGCTGACGAGCCCCACCTGCCCGGAGCAATCTGGTTTTAAGGCGCCAGACGCTCGCCTTTCACACCTCTGCCATCGGTTAAAACAGGGGTCGGCGCGCGAAGCCAAGCAGTAGGAGTTTGATTAGGAGAGGCTATTAGAGACGCTGGTCGTGTGGGATACTTCATGGATAGGGAGTGGCTCAGTTCTCCCTACCATCCCGGCCATTCCTAACCCTTTGACCCCTAATATATTAGTGCTGTCCTGAATATACCGAATATTCGAGTATTCAATCACCAACCAAATATTCAAATAGCTTTTTGCCGGTTGGAATGTTTTGAAAATTTTAAACAAATATGCTTAATACTAACACGACCGTAAGATCTTATTTTGTTGTAAAGTTGCGGCGCTTTATTGTCAAGTGGCACATACATTTGTATGTTGTCAACGGTAACTTTTTGGTCGATGGCATTTGTTTGATCCCATCCTTTTCGCAGGTTAAAGCCCTGGACAGTTATAGTATACAAGATGTACTGCCAAACACTCCCGATCGACCCATATTGATGGCCACACACATATTTAACTTGTGTGCTCTGCACACAACTTTTGACCCGCGTGGCTGTTTTGAATTTGAATATTCGGTCAAACGCAGTTTCAAGTAATTGCATGTATACTTAATTTTTTGAAAATGGACAGCCCTAAAATGTATGTGCAACAATCATGGGGTCAAAAAACCAATGTTGGTGAGTTAAAAGTAAACTTTTCCAAACAGTGTCAGTCCGATGTCCTAAAAGTCATTGTGCCGGAATTAAAGCAAGATATCGATCAGGAAGGAGAGATATTTGTGTGAGAAAATGAAGTCCTGGCTGGGTGCAAGTATACATTTTGTGCGAAAGTAAAAAGCAAATGGGTGCATTGTAGTTCTAGAAGTATCCCCAGTATTGGTACCCAGCAAATACATGTACATTATTCAATTTCTGAACTTTTATTCAGCAGTTTACTTCCATTACTCTAAGGCTTTCTGAGTATTGATTTGGATGGCATCATCTACTGTTTCAATGTGTGATGACGTGGGTACTGGGCAGGAACGCCGGGATATCTGCAACTTTGAAAACTATGCCCTCCCTGGTGCAGTTCTGGCATCTTTCAATGAGCTGAGGCACAGTAATGATCTGATTGATGTTGTGCTTGTTGCAGAAGATAAAGAAATCCCATGTCACAGGTACATGTACAATGTAGTTCCATAATTTACAATGTATATCACAATTATTTGTTGTCATCTTAACCCTAAAAGGGCCGGGGGAGGGGGGGGGGGGCTTCTCATCGTGTACCGTGACACCCTTGAAAAACTTTTTTTCGCGAACATTAAGAGGAACAAAATGCATTAATTCAATTATAGTAGTAGACAAAACAAAAAACATACTGCCATCCTTTTGGTTTAAAAATGACATTCCTTTATACAAATAAATCTGTGAAATACTTTTGGAAAAAATGAAATTCAAACTTATATATGTTCACAAAACATTTGTGGTTGATCATTTCTCTCATTAATATTTCTCCACTCATTAATTTACTTAAACTCAGAATTGTTTTAGCAGCTAGTAGTCCCTACTTCAAGGCCATGTTTACTCGCAATGTGGAGGAAAGGAGCCAACAGAAAGTGACTCTCAGGGATGTCAATCCTATCATGCTACAGATGATCATTGATTATGTTTATACATCACAGGTAAGTTATCAATGATATACTATAAAGAAGAAAGGGTGTACATGTATGTGTGTACAAGCATTACATTCACTGTGTGGACTTCCAAACAAAAGATGTCCACATAAACCAGGTAGCAGCGACATTGTGAGGACTTGCCCACGTCCACACAGTGTTTCCCCCTCTCTGGAAAACAGGTTTAGAGGCATTTTGGGGTTAGGTTTATCAGTGGCAAAATGAAGAGAAACATTAAAGGGAATCATAGAAAAAAATTTGGGTTGAAAGTTTTCACAGTGTGAGTAAAATGTTTTTATGCCCCGCGGCGAAGCCGAAGGGGCATACTGTTTCCGCCTCGTCCTTCCGTGGGTGGGTGGGTGTGTGTGTGGGTGGGTGGGTGGGTGGTCGGGTGTGTGTGTCCGGACAAATCTTGTCAGCGCGATAACTTGAGAAATACTTAACATATGAACTTCAAATTTGGTTTGTGGATTTTTCTTGGTAATCCTAAGAAGCCTTTTGCATTTGGGGCCAAAAGGCCAAAGGTCAAGTTCACAGTGGCTAAAACAATAGAAATCTTGTCAGCGCGATAACTTGAGAAATACTTAAAGGGAATATACAACATTTGCAAACATCGAAAAATAAAACTACCAAGTTTTTGCGAAATACCTTAACAGGATGTTGGTAAATGACAGTCTAAAGCATCCTGTAAAATTATGGCACCTGGTATACTGTCATTTTCAAGAAAAGTGGTATTTTTGTATCAATTTCCAACGCTGATCGGCCGATCAGCGTTGGAAACAACTGGCTTTTTTTTCAAATACTGGCCCCAATTGACCATTGCACTTGTTTGCAATCGATTACAAACCTATGAACGGGTACGAGCCAGCTAGACTGGTTCCCTGACCTTACAATTCCCCAATGTATGTAAACTGCTCTGTTTCTTCTTATATGGAGTCAGGGAACCAGACTACAGGAAAATGATCGTTTTTCTTGGTTTTTATAGAATTTTCGAACCCAAAACCTCCAAAAAGTCAGTGTAACTATATTTGCTTTATATTTCCAACCCCCCAATTCCATCCATTTCTAAAAATTACAGCAAAAGCAAATGATGTATATTCCCTTTAACATATGAACTTCAAATTTGGTTTGTGGATTGTTCTTAGTAATCCTAAGAAGCCTTTGCATTTGGGGCCAAAAGGCCAAAGGTCAAGTTCACAGTGGCTAAAACAATAGAAATCTTGTCAGCGCGATAACTTGAGAAATAATTAACATATGAACTTCAAATTTGGTTTGTGGATTGTTCTTGGTAATCCTAAGAAGCCTTTTGCATTTGGGGCCAAAAGGCCTAAGGTCAAGTTCACAGTGGCTAAAACAATAGAAATCATGTCAGCGTGATAACTTGAGAAATACTTTACATGTGAACTTCAAATTTGGTTTGTGGATTGTTTTTGGCAATCCTAAGAAGCCTTTTGCATTTGGGGCCAAAAGGCCTAAGGTCAAGTTCACAGTGGCTAAAACAATAGAAATCTTGTCAGCGCGATAACTTGAGACATAATTAACATGTGAACTTCAAATTTGGTTTGTGGATTGTTCTTGGCAATCCTAAGAAACCTATTGCATTTGGGGCCAAAAGGTCAAGGGTCAAGTTCACAGTGGCTAAAACAATAGAAATCTTGTCAGCGCGATAACTTGAGAAATACTTTACATGTGAACTTCAAATTTGGTTTGTGGATTGTTCTTGGTAATCCTAAGAAGCCTATTGAATTTGGGGCCAAAAGGTCAAGGGTCAAGTTCACAGTGGCTAAAACAATAGAAATCATGTATTTATTCTGAGATTATAGGGATTAGGGATTAATTCATATAAAACCTACAGAAGACACTAATGCTGTCATGAATGTTCCATGTGACCAAGGTACATGTAAGTTGATGTTAAAAGAGTGGTGTTATGTCATGGGAACTGTCACCGTTGCGGGGCATTTGTGTTTGTAAACACACCTGACTTGTTTTTACATGTTTTTCTTAACTACATGAAAACAAAGGAATGTCCACACTACGTATGTAACGTAAACATACGTGTGTATGTGCATGGTTATGGTGTAAATCGAGGACACACATGTTCATCGAGTAGTAAATAGAGGACAGGATTCGAATTGAGGACGACCTTGATTAGAAAACGTATACAAAACCAATGGGAGCTGTTGCAAAAAAGAGTATAAACAAAAGTTCGACGATGGGGAACATTAGAAAATCCTCAATTTACACCATAAACAAACCTGCTTGTGTATGGGTTTGTTTATGGTGTAAATCGAGGACACAATCGAGTCATCCAGTAATCGAGGACAGCATGGAGTCAAATCGCAGACAACCTTAATTAGAAAACCTGTGAGAGCTGTTGCAAAAAAGAGTATAAACAAAGGAATGAAAAAGAGGAACAGTAGGAAATCCTTTATTTACACCATAAACAAACATGCTAGTGTTGACTGCAAAGCGGTCATTGCCGGTCAACATATATAGCAGGCGAGGCAAAGCCTTCTATTAAATTTTATTGGAAAGCAGTTAGCAAATGAACAAAAGTTAACTGGTAATTTCAAGACATTAAAATTAGCCTGGTCATAACAGATCAGATTTTTGTACGTATCACTCAAACTCCCCATTTCGAATAAAAAGCTTCCTCTATCAGGCTTGATTCATTTTAGGGGAATCAAGCTAACCTGTCTGCCTGTAAAGTAATGGCAGCTGGGACCTACCTTCCTAAAGCATACAGAATCCTTCAACACATACTGGTTGATTTTGACAGATTTTGGAGGAGTTGAGTTTTGAACCCAGACTGCTAGTTAAAAAATATTCCAAATTATTTGGAGCCATGATTCTCCTAGAAGAGAATTATCTCATGAATATATTCCTTTTTATACAACACCTGAATAAATCCCCGTCATCTGATTGGTAGATCGTTGATCACATGTCATTGAATTATTCGTCCCAACGCACGGCGTGCAGCGCACAGTGCAATAGAAGTTCTATTGCACGGTGAATAGAACTTCCATTACACGGTATCAGTACTGTCGGTGGTGGCGCTGTCTTGAATCTATTTCACAAAATGCGGAAGTCGCGTTACACGAGACTGAAGTGAACACTGCTTGTTCTAACAGAAGATGAAATATCAGAACTTGTAGGTGATGCTGACGCTGCTAACACAAAGAAGCAAATAAAATATGCTGCCAAACGATTAGACCAATTTGCAAAATATACAGGAACATCTGTTGAAGCATTATACTGATTCACAACTGAACAACTTCTTGTCGCGATTTTACTCAGGACTGAGAAGAGAAAACGCGGCACACTATATCAGATGACGAGGATTTAGTCAGGTATTGTATAAAACAAATAATGAATGTTTCACATTCTTACAATGGTAAGAATAATTTCATTCAGTGACAGATGAAATGTTCTATTCCACTCGGCTTTGCCTCGTGGAATGGAACATTCCATCTGTCACCTCATGAAATTAATCTTACCATAACACTCATTAACATTCATTATTTGTATATTAAAGTTGATTTTTATAATTGTTGCATAACAACAGGTGCGAATAACAACAGAAAACGTTCAGGAGCTCCTATCCACGGCCAATTTCTTTCTGATCAAGTGCCTTGTCTACGCTTGCAGCAACTTCCTCATTAGGCAAGTGGATGTGGACAACTGCATTGAGATGCACAGTTTTGCTGAGTGCCAGGGCTGTGATGAGCTCAGCCGAGCTGCTTGTGGGTTTGCAGTGCGTGAGTTTGCAGACGTATGCAAGACAGAGACATTTCTGAATGCAAGCCCACATCTGCTGAGCCAATATGCTGCCCATGAGAATCTGAACATTAGGAGTGAGGCAGAGCTGCTGCGGGCACTCCTAGAATGGCTGACCCACGGGGACCAACGGGAGGTCAAGCAACAGAACTTCCTGTCTGTCGTCAGGCATGTCCGGCTACCATTTGTAGGTCAAGAGTGTTTAGAGGAACTGAGCAAGTTGCCAGCAGTCATGAGACTGACCGGATGCAAGAAGCTATTTGCCTTAGCTATGGACTGCAGAGAGGATCGTGTGACTTCCCTGCCGGATGAATGGAAGCATCCCCGAAAGTCGTCCAATTATGCAGAGGTGCTGGTCATTATTGGGGGTGTGTGTAATAATCACAACAGATTACCAACCCGCAACAAAAGGTATTGAATCATGTGGTGTCACTTTAATACTGAGACCTTTACATGTATTTTTAAAAAGTAAAAATCTAAACCAAAGTCGTTGACAGAATGAGTGAAAAATGGTTATGTTTGCATCATGGTTGTGTAATTAAAAGAGAACCTAATTTGAAGAGAACCAAGATGTACTTGCAGACTCTCACTTGACTTGCGGCAAGCATGGCGCTGTTAGTGCTGAGTTGTAAGGCCAAAAAAAAAAAAACTTCTGCTTCCGGTTACCCGACCGACCCTATTTTTAGGCTGCGACCCTTAACATTTTATTGGCAATTCCCCCCCCCCTCAAAAAAAATAATGATTGAATAAATAAAAATAAAAACCTGTTGTCTTTTCTGTCTTTACAAAATACCTCTCAACAACCCTTTTGCATCAAAAAATGCTTGTATTAATTTGTTTTCTTACTTACATTCGCTATTTTTTTCAAAAGAAACCTCCTAATCCGTTATTTGTACAAATTCGCTTCGCGATATAACTACTTCGCAATTCGATGTCAAGGTGACTATATTATCACGTGCGTAAACCTAGCTCAATGCAGTGACGACTGGTTCCTGCCGCGCCGCGCAGGGGCCAATTTAGAAGACATGATGAAAATGCGGAAGCAGTCTGTCATGCGATCGATGGCGCTAGCATGGCTATGCATTGCAGGCACGTGCACTGTCAACTGGTGGGATTCGACATCGTAAAAATGCCAAGAAAACACCGATGGAGAAAGAACATTTTTGCAAGTTAATTCACAGAATTGATCTAGCTTGTCTGTGTATGTATTTTCCGTGTTCAAGAGTTCATTTTGAGATCGCACTACTCGTATTTGACGTGATACAATTAAAATGCAGTGTGTTTCCCGAAATTTTCGACCGTAAAAACGAGGTCTGTTGGCCGCGCGCCACACATGCACAGTGCATCACACACTTCGGAGTTTTGGCCAGCTTCCCGTCTTGACTAGCGTTGTGCATATGGTGCGAACGACCTGAATTTTCCATTATTTTTTACGAATTATCGAACGTAAATATATTGACAATAATTAAGGTAGGTTTTATTCACTTTTTGTGGCCATTTTGTGTATAGTTTTCGTAGTGCAATGGAAATAGTTCAGGCTAAAACTTTGCATATAATTGAATACCCCATTCAATTTGCATAATAAAAATTGACCAAAAAAAAAATTCCGACCGACCCACCCTATTTTTGAAAGGCATGTAATCGGAAGCAGAAGTAGTGTTTTTTCGGCCTAATTATTTAGCGTTGCTCACTATTGACAAGGATGTAATGTAGTCACAAAACAGAACTCTCAGAAGTGGTACAGTGTCATTATGCCTTTTAAATTGAGCATTAGTCTGTCCACAACCAATTGAAATAATTGATTTGAGCCCACATTGACTTTGAAAGAGGTCATGTCTTTGGCTACATTTATGGCGTTGGTATTTGCTATTGGCATGTCATGGTGAATATGCATAGCTGCACAATAGCTATGCCCACTTCAGAAAGGGCCTATAATTCACAAGTTGTTGAACATGGCACATAAGTATTTTAAGTAACGCAATTACTATGGCTTGCTCTTATTCTTCTTTCAGTAACCCTGAGAACTACTGGTGCGAAGTACCTCTGGAACTCCACAAATGGAACAAGCTGGCACCCATACCCTACATGATTCGCAATGTTGTCATGTACGATGTGGTGCGGTTCAAGAATGATGTGTACTTAACTGGAGGATTTGATGGAGAGATGCATCCTGGTGCAACAACGTCTGTCTGGGCGTACCGTACTGAAATGGACACGTGGGAAAAACAGAAGGGGCTTAATGTTGCAAGGTGAAATTATTTGCAAATGCTCTAAAACTTACTGTAATTGACTCTGTTTTGTGCATTGGTGCAAAACACACAAATTTCTTGGCCAATTCCCCCATACCCTTGATGACATTTTGGGAGATCTCAAGTTTTGCTATAAAAATGGAACACTAGCTACAGAATCCTTTTGCAATAAATGATGAGGCGTCCCATTTATAGTGTATCGTGATTCTTCTATTATACACTCTACCAATATTTATACAGAAACAGAAGTGCAAATGAACAACAAAGGGAAACTGACTAGGTGAATAATAACAGTCGAAAAGTTGAACAAAGAAATTTACCGGAGCAGTGCTTGAACCTGTGACCTCCGGAAAACTGTTCCGGTGCTCTACTAACTGAGCTATCCAGCCCTATGTTGGTAGTTCCCCAATTAGTCAATAATTTTATTTCAAGGGACGCTAGTCAGAAGCCATAAACCAGTATATGCCATGCAGCCAGGGATCACGTCCAAAGTCACGATACAGACCTGGGAAATAGCAAACGGGGATCACTCAGAGAGGATACAGCTTTTTATTACAAATATTCAAATGAATCATGAAGGGAAACTGACTAGGTGAATTATGACAATTGAAAAGTTGAACAAAGAAATTGACTGGAGCGAGGCTTGAACCTGTGACCTCCGGATAACTGTTCCGGTGTTCTAACCAACTGAGCTATCCAGCCCTATATGTTGGCAGTTCCCCTATTAGTCAATATTTTACCTCAGTGAGCACCGGAACGGTTATCCGGATGTCACAGATTCAAGCCCTGCTCCATTTAATTTCAGTATTCCACTTTTCAACAGATACAGAAGTGTAAAGTATAAGCTTTTTCCAGTGTTTACAAAATTCATTTCAATTCCTGTATACACTTTTAACCGCCACACGACCATTACATTCCTTACATTTATCAGATTTTTTATTGAAATAAGAAGTTTGTTGTCATTTTATAACCCCAAATGTTGAACCTGTATTCTGCAGACATGTGATCCAAAGACAGAATCATAGACTCTTGGACGTTTGTATACATGCACCTGCTCTTAGGTTTAGTGATAATATTGTAGGCACTGATGTAGGTAGCCTACATCATCCCTGTTCAAAATACATGTGCCCTGGATTTGTTTTAGAAGGTAATTTGATTTCCTTTTCACAATGCACAGATACCAGCACTGCTCGTCAGTACTCACTGGTCACATCTTCGTCATCGGTGGCTATGACGGACAAAATAAACTATCCAGTGTTGAAATGTACGAATCAAAGAATAATACCTGGACTTGCATTCAGCCAATGATAACCCCTGTTGCATTCGCAACTGCCACCGCATTCAATGGAAGGCTGTTTGTGATTGGTGGGATGACCCAGGATGATCGTGTATTTAACGGTATACAGTGCTACAATTTGGAGAGTCAAACATGGAGCATTATCACTACACTTCAAATCAAACGTAAAGGTGAGATAAGAATTCTATGGAATATGTGTGGATCAAAGATGGACGGGCAAGCCAATCCAAATTCTTACCAGCTGTAGAGCTGCTGAGCAAAAAGGAACATGCTAACTATATTGATGTGCTTTAATCAAGGGCGGATCCAGAACACAATTTTTGGGGGGGGGGCCAAAAAGAAAATTTGGTCCCCAAAAAAGCAGGTCCCAAAAATTACAGCGTGGGGTTCGGGGTGCGGCCCTGAAATTTGTTTGGATTCTAGATGCTCTGTGGTGCGATCTGAGGCAATTTCTGACCACTTTGACCAAATTTTTTTGAGGAAAAGATGGTGGTGTATGAAGTGCCTGCCTTGTATCCAACATCTTTTTTTTTGTTGACCCCCCCCCCCTGGATCTGCCCTTGGCTTTTAATCAGCTGAGAGTTTGCTAACCCTTTAGGCACTGTAGCGCCCAAAACCGCCCTGCGTATTACGCACTGAAATTGGCACAAATGAAGTACGTATAGTAATTTTATTAATGCATTGCATTTATCCCATACAGAAAGTGTTGACAAAAGTACCCCAAAACAAAGAAGATTATGCAGCATTCATAAATACCTAAGACAGTTTACGCATTCCTATTGGTTGAGAGCCCGTCACGTGGCGAGTCTAAAATGGATGATAAAGACATGGCTAGCTGGTCTTAAACACTTTTCCAGTGCCACATGAAATTTGGACTCCCATGAAATCCGGTGCCTTTTAACGTTTCATTGGTGGAATGTTCCTCCTGTATGCATGCGTAATGTACTACCAGTGAATCAGTATTTCATGGTCCGAAATTTACACTACACCAGCCCAGCTGCATTTTGCGCGACATCGCGCAGTGCGCGGGAGCGCGATGTCGCCAATGTCCTTATAAGGTAACAAGTTGTGGAGGGGCATTCCATATTATAGTCAGAGGAGTGTTTCGTAAAACATGAAGTAAAATTTTTGAACAAAATGGTTGGCAACGTCTAGTTTTTGACATGTTTTAACTTTTGGACCGAAAAGATTTGTATTTTTGACCGAAAAGGTATTTATGAATAGGAATAAATATGTGTTCGGTCGGTATTAAACACTCTGTTTAAGACCGGTTGGACTCTGGATGTTGATAATTACCCATCCAGACTCCCACCGGTCTTAAACAGAGTGTTATAATACCTCCCGAACACACATTTATTCCCTTATTGAAAGTACGTATGGCAGCCGTATTGGATCCCCAGTGTGCACTGTATGTAGTTGATCACATGACCATGAAGTTTAGTCAAAAAAGTACAGGTTTGGGCAAAGAAAGCATGTTTTTGACTCAAAAATGTATGTTTCCATGTTTTTATATAAAAATTACCAAAATATATAAATTGCACCTATGTTTTAAATTGGTTGGCATGGCAACCTAGCATGGACAGCGCACAGAAATGGTTTTGGCGCAATGTTGACCGAGATAAAAGTTAGGACAAAGTCACCAAATTTCATATAGCTTGGCCAAAGTGTTTTTTCAGCAATTGCTTTTATTTTTTTTTTGGGGGGGGAGGGGTCCAATTGGCCCTTGCTGTTCCTTATAGGGTTAACATAGAATCTGTTTTGACAGGCTGCAAGAGTGTCCTCTTGAATGATCTGATCTATGTCTTTGGTGGAGTGACAAGGGAGGTACAGGTTTATGATCCTGAGTGTGACAAAGCATTGAATGTGGCTCCAATGATCGCTGCTCACATGTGCACTGGTGCAACTGTTCTGAAAGGTAAGACAGGAAACTCAAATGGAGAATTTCAGTTCTTTCCTTTTCTTTAATTTGGTGCTAGTGAAACCAAGGATTTGTCAAAAGCACTTTTGGCACTGTTGCTCGCAAGCCTAAAAAAAGGAAAATGAAGACACCAAAGAAATGTTCGGTTTTAGTTTGGGAGGAAGCCCCCAGGAACAAATGCAATTATTTCCGGAAATATCTACAGAATGAGGCTGGGATTGAAAACCCAGTCCACGTGTTGGACTGGATGGGTATCAAGACTGGGTCCTAGGGGTGGAAGGCAATGAATATGTTGTGCCAACCTGAAAAGGGCCCAGTGTGTGCTACGAGTTGAAGGAAACCAGTTGTTCTGCAAGCAATAACATGGTGTGGTACTTCAATATTGTGTTTTGCCCTTCACCGATGTATTCAACTAAGTCAGTGAAATATATCGATGAAAGGAAAACCCAATATTGAATTTACATGATCACCACAACGCAAATTCCGTCTTATGAAGAGTATGGTATGGTACTATTGTGAAACTCCCTATGAAAGTACATGTAAACGGATTAGGAGGATTCCCAAATTGGCTCCCATGACATGAAATACTGCAAACCCAAAATAAAGGAGACATCATTTACGACCCAAGTGGTTAAATTTGCATCCCTCAACTCCTCTCCTTCATTTGATAAGAAACCCAAATGAAAGGAATGTAGGATCTTTGCTTTTCATGCATTTTTCTTTGTTTGTTTGTTTGTTTGTTTGAAGCAACTACAACATTGCTGAAAATGGTAAGTAGGGTGCATAACAACTAATCTGTTGAGGTTTCAGTTCAGTGGATACTTTACAGAGAAAATGTATGCACAATTTTTGAGTCTCCTAACTGGATTCTTTTGCTTAAATATATACAAGATCGAACCTTCAAGTGTAAGGTGTGTGTCATGTCGACCCTCTGACACCTGGCATTGCTAATCTAGTTGTGGGTAATGGCACTCTTCAGGTGGTGGATTCCTTCTGTTATCTTGGGGCTGTCATAAGTCAGTCAGGTGGTTGCTTTGACGCTACAACTGCAAGGGTATGTTCGTCCTGGAAGCACTTTTCACGATCTGTTACCAGTTCTGACCAACAAGGGGATCTCCCTACATGTCAGGGGTTATGCCTGTAATGCCTGTGTGCATAGTGTTCTCCAGTATGAGAGTGAAACCTGGCCAGTAAGTGCTATTAACATCTACCGCCTGTCAATGGTCCCAACTACACTGATTTGTTATGCTTAAGTTTATTTTAAAAGGTTTAACTTTACTTAATTGTAACTTGTAGTTGACGGAAGTTCCAATGTAAGGAATTCACTTGAACAATGGGCATTGTGTTTGAATTAGTCTATGTAAGAATGCCTCACCGCAAACCTACCAGTGTAATGGAATGTGAGTGCATGTAGCTCTCTGGTGTTCTTTTATTTGTGTTAAGCCAGATCTATCCGAATTCTTTCCTTTGTGTTAATAGTGTAGTATATAAGGTTTAGAATGCCAAATCTCGGCAGAGTGCCACATTGACACAGTGGGGAGTGGTGGTCTGCAATCGTCACTGAAGTTACGGCGGAGACGACCGGACGCTGCTATGAAGGAAGGCCAAGTTCTACCCCAAGCAAGCTACCTGAACAAGGCTACCGGATCGTCAAACCACAACCACCACACCCACTCGTATCGTGTCAATTAAATAGCTGTACTAATTCCTCAAATCGCCCAAAACCAGAGGCTTTTAAGCTCGGCACTCTCAAGCCTTCTGGAAGTAGGAGGATTTATTAATGTTGCTTCATTGCATGGCTTTTGCATGGCATGCCTTTATTTTGCTTGGTTTTACATTTAATTTGCTTGCTTTCTATTGTTGAGTTTGAATCATCAAATTGCATTTTGTTAACTTGAGTTGGAGCTTACACAATTTCAGTTTGCTAAAATGCATGCATTCTGTTCTTTTTAATTTCTGTCACGCAGGGTTTTCAGGCTTGGGCTCAGCTCACATTTGAGGAAAACAAATCCATCCAACTTAATTGTCGTTATTTTTGTATAAACTAATTTAAGTTTTGTAGTTTCATTGCTTTTAATTTTTAATTTGCTTTCATTTGGCAATTTGCCAACCCCCATTTATTCCAGTTTCAAGTTTATCGCTCACAACCATTTAATCTAAGGCTAAGTTTATGTTTGTGTTAATTTTTGTTCAGTTGACAGTTTAAAGAATTAAAAGTTAATTCTTTTTTTTTTGTTATCTGAAATCTGGCGTCAAGATTCAATTTGTTAGTACTGTCTGAGTTGTGTTAAATCTATTTCTGACCACCGTCATTTAAAATTCACGATTCCATCTGTGACACCGCCTTACCTGCAACGATTTGTTCAGCAAAGCTGTCAGCAAAGCTGTCGGACAGGAAATCCATGGCTGAGCTAAGGCACCAACTTAGTCTGTCTGCTGTTGACGAAGTGGTTCTTTGGGGACGCCTTCACTAGTTTGGTCACCTCCGGCTTATGAATGAGGACAGCAGTCCACGGAATATCCTCGACTACCAGATCCCTGGCAACTACCCACATAGCCGTCCAAAGAAGAGATGGAGATGGACAACATCAACAATGACCTGAGATCAACAATGACCTGCAGATCAATGCCAGTCTGGCATAGAACCAAGCGGAGTGGAGGAAAGCTATGCAAGCAAGAGGACATGATCAGCATGGAGTCCAACCCTCAAGTTCGTGGACAGACGGACTATAAACAGATGGATAGATGGATGGATGGATGTTAAAAAGTGTACCTTGAGCACCCTCTTGAAACCCACCTTTGGCGATTGTTTACTTACTTCCGCCTGATACCAATTCAGGCAGAATAATTTCACAGCGTGTACTTGCCACCAGTCCTATCTTCACTTTGAGCAAGATTTCTGTCATTAAGTCGGTTGGTACTTTTGCGGGTACATGTAATTGCAAATGATCCTATGTGATGTTAAGTGATTTCAAATGTTCTTTTTTTTCCTCCATTAGGGAAGATCTATGTGGCAGGTGGGGACAATCTTCAGGACACTGCTAAAAACAGGTGGGACAGTGTGGAATGCTATGACCCAGTCACTGATGAGTGGACAGTGGTGGGCACAATGCCCCTCTCTCTGTACTTACACGGACTGGTGACAGTCATACGGAATTGCTTGACCATGCACACCCCACCCAATGAGATGCTACAGCCTATTGGACCATCCATGCTGTACAGAGGTTATGGTGAGGGCAGGGTGGACTTTGACCCAAGGTAGCAGTGACTGATGCTGCCTTAAGTGGCATCATTCAGAGTCATATTTGGGAGTGTCTTGGATTGGAACACAGTCAATGCCAATTAGGACTGAGTTTGTTTGCATGTGTTTAGAATTTATAAGTGCATTTTAATGTACATGAAGTGAATGATGTTAGCTCTGTGCATTATCTGAGATTGATTGTCCAATTTGTTTTTGTCTGCAGTATCTGTAGGGATAACATTTACAAATTCTTGGCTTCTACTCCGCATTCGGTCATGATCAACCCTCCTCCTGACTGCTTCATGATCATTGACAGACACCTGTATGATATCAGACTTTTGTTGGCTATACATGTACATGTAGTTCCACCAAATCCTTTGCATTTCAGCTTCTCAGCTGCAAGGATGAAGATCCCCCCCATATCCAAAAAAAGTATTCTGTCTGACTGGAGAATTGTTGAAGCATTTTCATTACCTTCGAAAAACTGCTATGAATCTTGGGCTGGAGACAATTAAGATGGCGCTAGAGACGAAGCCGGGATTTTGTATGTGTAAAATTTTACCCTCAGATGCAGAACCACAGGGGGGGGGGGGGGGATAAACCTCCCCCCCACCTGCTCTGGACCACACACGAAAATGATAACAATAAGTGCATCAATAACAAGGTGCTGCTTTACCTTTATGTGCACCTGTCTGCAACAGTCAGACATAAAAAAATCTGATGGGCATGCCCTCCCCCCCGCAAGAAAACCTGGATCCGGAACTCTCAAAATCACTTAAGTTGCTTCTTTGGAAAATATTGAGCAAATTTCAAAGCTTTAGGGTTATTGTATTTATTCTTCATGTGATAATATATATTTGACTGTGTGAACCTAATAAATGAGAATCACTTATGCCACTCAACTCAATTTAAATTACGCCTGATGTGTTGAAATTTTTATGAAAGTTCAATGTCCCAGCCAAGTTCTCCTTACGATGCTGACGCTGTAGCCAATAAGGTCTTAACATCCGACCTACTGATGTCTGTTGCTCCATGTCTAAAAGCTTAGGACAAAAAGAAGACGTTGTATCGATGTTGGCTGTTCTAATCTTGCTCCATCACTGAATATTTCTCGCTTGGATTATACAAATGCAATGATACTTGATAGTGAGAAGTTTAAAAAAAATGTAAAATGGCTGCCATTGCTTGTTATTCTAGTCTAGTTCCCAGACCTGACAATTATTCCCGACGCTCACGCCTAAATTGTAGGTCAGGCAGCCTCCGTGGCTAAAAATAAACATGACGACATTGATGGCCCTTTTTCAAAGCTCGGCTTCGTTTCAGATTTCGCTTTGTCACTTTTAGCTTTCAATGTTCTGATGACATTTAAAAATATATCACTTGCTTCGTAATATACAGTTATGATAATACGGTTTGATGTTTTAATAAGATAACATTGACTAATGTTGATCTGGAATCTTCAAAATTAGGCACCCAAATAGCACTGTTAGCAGACGGAGCCGAATGAAGACTGAGTTTTAGGAAATCTCGGTAATGGTCGTCAAATTCAAAATTGTACACGACGCTGCAAAAAGTTCACCCATACTATCCGAGTATATTTGATGCACAAATCGTCGTTGCATTTCAAGTTTTCTAAATGAAAGCAATAAATATTAATTATCAACTCGTTGAAAATTTTTTTTATAAGCAATTGGCAGTTAATGAAACCTATATTATACTCGGAAAAACTCGGGTGCTATCCGATTGTCGATGAAATGAATTCGGCAACCTTCAGACATTTTCGGAAAAAGGAGGAATTTCTCCCGTTTTAGTCACGTGACGTAAATTGCAATATAATTGTATTATCGGAGGTTACGTACCTGACCTAAGATTCATCAGGAATAGTCAGAACCTTTTTGTCTGGGAACCAGACTATTGTTATTTTTTTTTTCAAAGGGCAAATCTGTAATGGCTCTATAGCCAAATATCTTTCTCAGGACATACTGTGTGCCAAATGCTATGCTAGGGTATCATCCAAGGCACAAACTCATCACCTATTTATGGAGCTCTGGAAGTGCCATCCGGCTTGTTCAGATACTGACTTATTTTATCTCAGGATGATGACATATCACAGGCAAGATGACGACATCCTGAGATAATTTATTAGGGGATGACGACATCCTGAAAGTAGAATGACGACATCCTGAGATAATTTATTGAGGGATGACGACATCCTAAAAATGGAATGACGACATCATGAGATAATTTATTAGGGGATGACGACATCCTGAAAGTAGGATGACGACATCCTGAGATAATTTATTAAGGGATGACGACATCCTGAGATATCGCGGGGTACACTGAGGCATCAAATAAATACCATGTATATATACAGCGATAATACGGAGCTCTGGAAGTGCCATCCGACTTGTTCAGATACTGACTTTTTTTTATCTCAGGATGACGACATAATACAGGCAAGATGACGACATTCTGAAAGTAGGATGACGACATCTCGAGATAATTTATCATGGGACGACGACATCCTGAAAATAGGATGACGATATCCCGATATAATTTACTATGGCATGACAACATCCTAAAAGTAGGATGACGACATCCTGAGATGAACTATTAGGGGATGACGACATCCTAAAATGAGGAAGACGACATCCTGAGATTATTTATTATGGGATGACGACATTTCAGGATGTCGTCATCCCCTAGTAAACTATCTCAGGATGTCATCATGCCAGAAGGCATTATCTTAAGATGTTGTCATCCTATTAGGATGTCGTCATGCCATATTAAATTATGACGATATGTCGCCATCCTACTTTGAGGATGTCGTCATCTTGCCTGTATTTTGTCGTCATCCTGAGATAAAACATGTCAGTATCTGAACAAATTGGATGGCACTTCCAGAGCTCCGTACCTATTATATCTGCCCCAGGCATACGGTATACAATGTACATGTACATGTATAGCTCCTCACTTCAAAATAGAGCTGCTTGTTTGGTGTTTCGGCGCCTCGAGACTAGCTGCAGAACGGTTTAACGCATTGCTGAAGAATCTACATTGGTTTTCAGTCAATAATAGGATTCTGTGCTTTGTACGCTTTGTTTTTTGTCTCACCTCCATGGAGGTAGGAAACACCAAGCCGAAGCGCCGCTATATTTTCCGACTGCGTTTCCGAACACCAACCAGGAATAGAGGGTGAGTCAAAAAAAGCGGAACTCAAACCCCAAACATTATGTTTCATGTTTAAAAAATGATGTAGCACCAAACATAATAATAACTGGAAAGCCAAGTTCATAAGCTTCTTTTAGATAACAAATTACTGAAATTGGTCAATCCGTTCAAAGAATATCACCATAAACACAATGACCCTAAAACCTGTCTCGTCCAAAAAAAATGCGATTTCAAGAATCGTCGTCACATTTTTCTTTAAACATCACCAGCGATAAAATCTCAGTTTAAACATTAAAAATATTCAACAAAGTCTTTTTGGAGGCCCGTCTTTAAAAAAAAGTAGATTTCATAAATCATCGGGGTCGTTAATAAAGATATTGTGCACTACAGGTGCTGACAGTTGTTGAAACAAGTATTCTGTGTCATTTTCTTTGTTGTTCCAAACAGTCAAAACACACAATAAATTGCTTTCCGAGAAAGGTTTTAGGGTCGTTGCGTTTAGATGGTGATATTCTTTGAACGGGTTGAGCAATTTCAGTATTTTTTTCATCTAAAAGTAGCATATGAAATTGGCTTTCCAGTCACTATTATTTTTGGTGCTAAATATTTTTTTAAATATGAAATATATTTTTTTTTGGGTTTGGGTTCCGCTTTTTTTTTTTGACTTACCCTGTATATAGTATAAGAGAATGTATTCAATCTGCTTAGAATTCAACACGTCTGTTTGCGCCCAGTAAAAAACCCACACAGTCGGAGAAAGATCTATTAAACTTTCAAGGCGTGTTTGCTTTAAATACGCCTATTTGCTCTAATACGACCATTCGCGAGGCTACACCGTTGTCTTGTTTGAAGAGGCAACCTAAAACCTACATTTTCCCATGGTAAGACTTCTGTGTAAAACCACTGCCCGTGAATTTTAGTCTTTTAATAGAGATTTTGAATGGATGGGGGCAATTCCACACCAAAGTGGACATGACACCAAAAATTCAAATGCATGTGACTTCAACAAATTTGGAGTCAATGAAAGCTAAAAGTCTATATTTTAAAGATTTGAAGTCGGAATTATATTTTTGATACATTTCGGTACCCCAAAATAGATTATGCAATAATCCTGTTTTAATCCTAAAAATGTGATTAATAGTGATATGAAAGTATTCTACCATTACACACACAAAAACAGGTACTAGTGCCATCAATTTCTGTCATGAGAAAGTATAGGTCATGAAAAACTGACAAACTTTTTTTTTACGTTTTGCGTAATTTGTTTCGCTTCAGTGACTTCTAATATTTCAGCCCTCGAAAATGTCCTTCCGTTACCGAAAAAAATACATATTTTTAATTTATTTAAAAAACTTTCTGTATGAATGCAATGAAAGTTATTATGTAAAGCAAGTTTAGGTAGGTTTTTAATATGACATTATAACTGACGCTTCTGTACTTCTCCTTTTTTTAATTACAATTAATTAAATCACGTCCTTCCGTTACCAAATTGGTAACGGAAGGACGGTAACGGAAGGACACATGGTATTTTCATCAAATGTTACGACATTTGTGCTCATGTTTGAAAAATGAAAATCACTGCAAATACATGTATGTATAATGAGCATTAAAAGGACATTTATGTGACCCACCTTCACAAAGGTGGTATAAGCAGGGCAAGGTGTTCATTACAAAGGATGGCACAGGCATGTACAACATGTACAATTATATATGGTACATGTACCGGTATGCAGAGGTGGCAGCGAGTCATTTTTTTGCAAGTCCAAGTCAAGTCACAAGTCATTGTTTGCAAGTCCAAGTCAAGTCACAAGTCATTAGGTCCAGTCACAAGTCATTTGGTCTAAACACAAGTCAAGTCACAAGTATCTTTGTCCAAGAACACATCATGTTGCACATTATTTTGTCCAGCTGTAATAAGCTAAAAGAACCTGGCGCCAACTTGCGAGTTATTTTGAAAATGCCTCCTTAATTCCCCTTTTTCAATGTGTTGCAATTACTATTCTTGTAGTTTATCACATATCTGTCGGATATTAGCCCTTTGTGTACTTTAATAAATTTACTTTACATTGTAGAAATAAATGTTGAGATGACATGAAAAAAAGACTTCACTCACTCGATTACATGTAGTATACATGTACTAACACTTTATTAAAACTAAAACTATTAAAAATTATTCATGCATACTAAACGCCTACCAATGGGTTAGGCTATCCGGTATTTTACAAGCAATTGACAAAGGCCTGCTTTCTTTTCATGAAAGGCTCCTTTCAGTTTCAAAGTTTGTTCAACCATTACATTAAGCAAGAGACTTGGTCATTGAAAACTGTAGTTTGTTGTGACAGTCTTATTGAAAACTTTTGAAACTAGTGGGAACTATTCATTTTACTGGATTCAGTCACTGAGGTCTATTTCTGGAATGAAACTTTCTCGCTGCATCTATAAACTGCATTTATAAACACCTTGAGTGGCCTTTTTGGGACTTGTGTTGGGCGACTTCAATAAAAAAAACTCTAAAATAAAATAAAAAATTCCATGTACAAACTGTTACACTTCAAATAAACACGATTTGATAGCTTAGTATCACTCAACTTTGCTCTGTGTGGCCTCATAATTACTCTCCATGACTGAATACACGTTCGATGGGGGAGCTAGTAGCAGGAACAGACAGCACCCTCATAGCAAGAGGAAAGAGTCTGGGGAGGCTGTTCTTATTTACCAACCAGAAGTGCACGCAACGTAACAGCTCAGCTCACTGATATGATCTACAGCTGCAGCTGGGCGAAGTAGAAACCGCGCAAGCCAAAGTCCGTTTTTTAATGCACGTAAGGCATAAACCGAATAGCTAATCAAAAGCTTAATTAAAGTGTATTGGGTCGCTCAAGTAGCGTCTGACTTGGGTTGGTAACAAGTCATTTTTGCAATCCCAAGTCAAGTCACAAGTCATTGTTTGCAAGTCCAAGTCAAGTCACGAGTCAAAGCTGGTATTTACAAGTCAAGTCACAAGTCACAAAAATAGCGACTCGAGTCCGACTCGAGTCCAAGTCACATGACTCGAGTCAGCAACTCTGCCGGTATGTACATGTATGTCTATATATGTTCTTGTACATGTATGGAGTGGTTGCAGAAAATCAAATCATAAAGTTGCTGCCATCGCCATTCAATTTGGACAATAGGGAAGGATACAATTTCTCTGAAGCCATTCCAGAAGCGCATTAAGTCAAAAATGAGATGGGAGGAAGTACTATTGGACACTTTCATACAATTTGTGTAAGACATGTGAGGTGAAATTTTTTACAAATTATGCCTAAGTTAACAACCTCAGTTGGATGTTTATAAGTTAATTATTGTTACTACCGGTACTCTAAATTGTTATAATTTGATTTCAAACATTGAATTTAGAGTTCAATTAAAAGCAACACCTACAAATTGAAATCGTTTTGAAGCATAATGATTCTGATGCAATCAGGTCTACTGGTAGGTTTTTCTTTAACTTAAATGTAGGCTGGTTGCCCCCCCCCCAAAAAAAAACCCTTAAGGTAAACCACTGAACCTATTACATGTATTACAAGTTGTCGGTGAAACCAATATACCCAAGTGTTCAAATACAGTGTATTTTAACTTTTAAAGGGAATGTACAGCATTTGTTTTTACTTCAATTTTCAGAAATAAATGGATTTGGAGGATTAATATGTTATAGAAAATATTGGTAAACTGACTTGTTTCACGTTTTGGGCTTGTGTATGCTGGAAAAACCAAGAAAACCTATCATGTTATTGTAGTCTGGTTCCCTGACCCCACTTAAGATGAAACGGAGCAAATAATCCACTTTGGGGAAGAGTAAGGTCAGGGAATCAGTCTAGCAGGCTTGTATCCCTTCTGAGGTTACACACCAATTTTCAATTGCAAAGAAAAGTCAAAATAACTAAATATGAAAAATTAAGAACATTTTTTGAAAAAAGCCAGTTTTCTCCAACGCTGGTCGGCTAACCAGCTGGAAAAATACAGGTTTTCTTGAAAATGCCAGCACACCAGGAGCCACGATTTCAAAGGATGCTTTAGACTGTCAGTCCCTAACAATTCAGTAAGGTATTTCGTGATAATTTGATCATCTCGCTTTTTTATGTTTGCAAATGTTGTACTTTCCCTTTAAGGATTGAGGTGATGGGTTTGAAGTCTATTTCTGTAGTAGTCTTGTGTTCGTGAAATATGTGTTTTTTGGTTGTTTTCGCTTTTCATTTATTCTCATTAATTAGCAGGCACCTATCTTTATCTCAATAGTTTCTTGGGTATAATAATTTATGCCAGGTCCGCATATTGTTGATTTCACATTCAGTTTCACATTTTGTTCATGCTATTGAGTAAGCCTTTTGTCCTTCCGTTACCAAATTACAATCCACTTAAGACGTTGTAATTATATTACCGAACAAGGGCGGATCCAGGGGGGGGGGCCAAAGGGGGCCATGGCCCCCCCCCCCAAAAAAACCCCCAATTTTTTATATTTTTTTTTATGTGACATCGCAATAAAGGCAGGCAATGAGTACACCACCATCTTTTCCTCAAAAAACATTGTTAAAGTGGTCAGAAATTGCCTCAGATCGCACCACAGAGCATCTAGAATCCAAAAAAAATTCGGGGCCCTTAAGCGGGCCCCGAACCCCACGCCGTAATTTTTTGGACCCACTTTTTTGGGGGACCAAATTTTTTTTGGGCCCCCCCCAAAAAATTGTGTTCTGGATCCGCCCTAATTGTTACCGAAACGGTAGAACTCAAAAAGTAGATGGCATAGTAAGCTTCAGGGATTCCATTTCCTACCTTTAAAATATAATTGCCCTATAAAATTCACAAAGTTTATGGGAAACACAGTCATGTAAGTTGGAAAACCCTTGTCCGTTTTACCGTCCTTCCGTTACCGAGCTCATTCATATTCATAATTCATGAACGAGAGGTATTCATGCCCCTAAAAAGTGTGGAAATTGAAGGTAGCATTACAGCAATACAATTGTGACATTTTGTTTGATGTAACTAATAACAGTGTACACACATTTGAAATTTTGTATAATGAGTGAAAACGTCCTTCCGTTACCGTGGAATTGCCCATATGTTATTGAGTGGTCGGACACAACCCGTCCACTCTTTGGAGTTGTTGCGATTAATTGAGTGGTCGGGCACAACCCGACCACTGTCTGGAATTGTTCTCATAAATCTTCTTTCTTTCCTTTTTTTGCCGGACAATACTTCTCCGCGGCTTTTCTCCTAAACGGTATATGGTATGAACTTGTAACTTTTAGCATATATCAACCCTCATCCCTAGGGGTGCATATTACTCTGACGTCATGATGACGTCATCGGGTGTCAAATTACACGCGATTTTAGCTGAAAAGGTGACCAAATTCTTTCACCTATAACTATAGAACAAAATTATCATTGATGTTTGTATTCCGTAATCAGATAGACCATTATTAATTGATAAACATTTTTTGTCGGTACGTGAACTCGCTTGGCCTTTACTTCTGGGTCTACCGGAAGGTCAAACTTACGTGAATTCAAAATAAAGACTTTAGCCTGAAATCAAAACAAAGCAAAATTTCATCCAAACGGTAAACGCTATGATCATTAAACCTAACAGTTTTAAACAGTTTTCCTCATATCTGAATGCTGAAAATTAATATTCCCACAGCGTGTAGCCACAAACTTTTCTGTCGTAAAGTCAGTACAAAATTTTATTATGCCCATGCAAAAGAAAAAAACAAACATAAAAGCCATTTTATGATATGATTAGCATATGTTGCATAAACTCCAACGACGTTAGAGGCTCCGTCAAGTCTACCGTTGTCATAAATTCAGTGCAGAATTTTACTATACCCATGCAAAAGACCACAAAAAAACCCATAAAGGCCATTATATTTTGAGATTAGCATAATTCTGTTGCATAAACTCCAACGACGTTAGAGGCTTCGTTAACTCTACCAATAGTCCCAACTGGTTGTATGCTTGAGTAGCCATCCATGCAGCATCAGATGTACGCTTCCTGATAGACCTACAAGTCTTGTCGAGGTAGCAACAAGTTCAACTGCAGGTTGTGTGATTTTCTTCGTGAAAAACACAGGGTAATGGGTGCAGGGTAATGTGCAGTTCAATTATGATTAAGTAACTTTAAACACAACTTTATAGCCCTTAGTGCGCGGCGCAGCGGGAACCAGTCACTGCTGCACTAGCACGTACGGGCCTACGTGTTTTCATCGATGCAGCTCTGTATGTACGTACGTATGTCTGCAACTGGCATGACTGCCGCGTTGGCCAGGCAGCTTCGCTGCGTTTCGGCACGGCACAGGGCGTTTTTTGGTCTGTAATTTTATTCCATCATACGTTTAAGAAGAGGAGAAAGTTGCACAAATTGTTTTCTTATAAGAAAAATACATCCGTGGAACCTTTAAGCATTTAAAACCAAGTCACCGAAAAGTTTAATAGCCGAAAATTACAAAATGTCTGAGACTTTTACACCAAAATTTGGACGACATAAATTAGGAAGAAAGAATTCCTTTACTTTCATTACTAACACATTGTCGTAAAAGTTGGTATCTGGAAATTTCTATGCAAAAGTCCCCTACACCTGGGGTTTGTGTAGAAAATATCAGACGGTAATTACTCCCATCACGCTCAATTAACTTCGGCAGCGACCGCAAGCCCCATTTGAAAGAAAAGGTTATGACGGGATCAAGGTACCAACTTTTACGACAATGTGCTGGTAATGTTCCCACGCATGAAAATCGCTCGATCTTTAGAAACGCAGATTTCAGCATTTCACAAGATCCTTGGCCCCCACTTTGCACTTTATTTTCTTACTTTTAATGCATTGTTCGCGTTCGTGAAAAACATATTTATAATCCGACAGGCTCTATTGCCGCTGCACCCACCGACAGCTCCCCGAATCCCACATGTTGTATCTTCCCTTTAAAATATATTATCATCAATCTTTTCTTCGCGCCTCTTTTTCTTTCCTTTTTTCTCTTTTTTTCCTTCATTTTTTTTTCTTCGCGCCTCTTTTTCTTTTCTTTTTCCTTCCAAAGTTATTGATCTGATTCATTACAAAATATACACTGATTCAGGACATGACGTAGTGTCACGGTCACACAAACAGCTACGCCTGGCTTTTTTAGTTGTATGCTTCATCGTACATTCATGATCTGCCTACGTGTATTAATAAACAACACTGTCATTGACTCTGAACGATGTACCAGCTCATGTATCCAAAGAATACCAGCCTAGCTATCTCAGAGGCGTAGCAAACTAGGTCATTTTTATTTGGGGGGGGGGGGGGCACGGTGAATGAAGTTCGTGAAAAAAAACTCGTACATCCATGCTGTACATGTAGACATGTTTTTTTCGCGCAAAATTCCCAAAAGGGCACTCGTACAACGCCGCTTGTAAAAACGCACTTGCTTATAAAAACAAAAAGGCACCTGTTTTCAAAAGAAAGGCACTGGTTTACCAAAAAAACCCACTATCTGCAGTCCAAATACTGGGGGAAACGCTAGTTTAAAAAAGGGCACTTGAATAGAAAAGGGCATTCTTTACAATTTATTTTCGCCCCACCCCCCGGAAAAGCAAAACGAAAAAAAAAAAAAAAGGAACCGGGAAAAAAAGACAAAAAAGAAAAGAAAAAGAGGCGCGAAGTCATAGTGGTGTGAATTTAATGGGTGGGGGGGGGGGGGGGGGGGGGGGGGGGGGGTGGGGGGGGGGGAGAGCAAAATGTCCCTGCCCCCCTCTACAACTTATAAATCGAGGATATGTTGAGAAATACAGGAATTATTTTGGGGAAATATGTTTTGCCCCCTCTAAAAAAATCCTGTCGACGCCCATGCCGGGGGAGCTAGGACACGTCCCCCAATAATCTGTTTAGGTGGGCCGGGACGCCATGGTGTTGCAATGTCCTCCCCCAATAATGTTTCCCATGCGTATACAATTCATGTAAACCAATGGATTTGCAGTATTTTTTCCCGAATGGTACGTGTCATAGCTGTAAGATATTGCTTGTGATATCATATCCATTGAATGTTGTATGTGTGCACATACATTTTTAAACAGCGCCCTTTATAGTCAGCTGTGTCTAGAGAATCCCCCCCCCCTTTCGAATTCCCAAGCTGGTGGTCCCCAACCCCTACTTGTTGACAAGAAATCGCCGCCACTGGCTATGATGGTGTCAAGACCACAGTCTGAAACCCTGACATGCATTCGAAGACACCTAGGCCTACGGATGCAACCCTGCAAATACATTCCCATAGACACTAGTGCTAAATGTCCATACTTCAACATTCTTTTAAAAAAACTCAGAACTCTCACAGGCATTCAAGCTACACAGAAAAATGATGATCAACATGTCATCTTTCGTTTTTTTTCATTTTTGGTGGGTTGACCGTTGACTTTTCGAGATATTCTCACCCAAAAAAGACGACCCCCATTTTCCCCAAAGCGGAAAAGTAGCCATCTTGAAAAACGATTCCTCCACAACATGGCAAAATAGCGCCACTTTTTAGCCCAATAGCATCCAAAATGCTCAGAATTGGAAGCCCCAAGTCTGGGACAGAGGTTCATTACCCAACCTCGTCCCCAGTGCTTACTTTATCTCCAACGTTGTTTCCAATAGTAAACCCTGGATAGGAAACTTCCTTCCTGCATCCTGATTCGAAACCGCAATTGGCTAGAAATTGATTTATATCGTGTACTTGGTGTTGTTATTCACAACGTGCAGTACGTGTTTTCGCGATCATTCGTCCACGCCTTCTCGAAAATATTCATTTCCTTTCCAGTTTGTTAATATTAATATGAAATGTGATACTGCATGTTGTCTCGTTAAGATCGTAACAGTTTAATTAAAATAAAATCATGTTTTCGTAACTCGCGCCATGCTCGCGCTGTGACGAATTGATTCTGTTTTTACCCCAGACACCGCATACAAAAACAAACGCAAATGTAACGCACAGGCAGGCACCAGACTACTCCTAATTTGCATACGTGTTCAAAAATCTTGCACATGCAAATGATCCCAGTACCAGGGTGAGAGAGCAGGTAGTGATGGGCGCGTACTGCTCGATACCCTGGGGACGAGGTTGGTTCATTACCATATCTCTTCAATTCCCCAATTTTGCGGCACTCAGAACTCTCTAATATAGAATATTTTGAGGGTATAACGTTTATTCATGAGCTCGGCGGATGGATTTAGGCCTATTTACCGGCGTGCACCCCTACGTACTTTGCCCTACAACTCACTTCATGCTTCATTAATCCAAGGACGTGTTTTGTGAGCTATTGGATTGAACTAGAAGCTATGGTACGTCGCGTCACAGGTTGTTTGTGACGGTTACTGTATGTCACACATGATACATCTAATATGAAACATCATACAAAGCGACGTGGTTTTGTCTATGGTTTGACTATTACAGAGGATTTTCCTTACACATACCAATAGAGCAAGGAACGTGACGGGTGTCCGTATACTACTGCCACTCGTGAAACCAACTGAATGTTTAGGTAAGCTTATACTTCACAGTTTGCTCTCACAGGCAAAGGCGTACGAGGTAGGTAGGCCTATATTATGAACAAGCTGATTTACCCGATCATAGATCGGGTAGGGCGTAGTGTTGGGGATGAAAATGCGGGGAGTTAAATGTAAATGGGGGATATAGTTGGGAGACATGCAGTTAAAGAATAGCAATTTCTGTGGTGTGATCTGAGGCAATGTCTGACCACTAAAAACCAATTTGAGCAGAAGATCATCTTTTAAAGTTTTGAGTTTTGAGTAAATGAATCAGCTACATGTATTCTGAGCAATAGAATCAGTCGCATTTGTGAGGCAGTCGCATTTGGAAAACGTAGTGAAAAGGTTACTGTAGTACACAGGCGAAGGCTGATTGTACAGTTTTGACAATAAATCATAATGCAATTAAACGTGAAGGTGTCATTTGAAATGAAAATGTTGAGTGTACCATAAAATTACAAACGGTGTGAATCATGGAGGAAGGTCATAATTAAGTTTCAGTATTGGACTCGTCAACAAACGTAAACTTGAACTTCTTACAATTTGCGAGACCGTCTGCGAGGAAAAAGTCGATTCAACTTTTATTCAAGTTGGTTCAACCATCTATATAAGAGCAAGTTTTACTCGGCCTCCGAGAAATGTTTGCTCCTAAAAGGATCCGAGACCCTGGCTTCACGTCCGTAGAAAAATGTGGAGGGTGTCTTCCGCCGGGTCGGACACTTTTTTGTCGATTTTTTTGTGACTGCGTTTAAGATCGCGGTACTGGCAATGCATCGATCCTTCGTTGATCCCAAACAGGTTCCTGAAATTATAACGCGACACTGAATTATACGTAAAGTGGCGGGCAGCGAACTCACAACGGTCAGCCTTGGTGGATGCATGGAGCTGTAAACACATGATGGAAGCAACAGGGCACTATATCACGTCACATGCTTGTGCTGCAAATAGCGAGCACCGTAGAGTCAACCTCGTTTCAGGGTGTGTAGCAGGCTGCAGTACGCGTTGTCATCGACGGTTTTACGCATAGCTCGGAAGTACTACGCAGTGTATACTTTCGATTGGTCAGACCGCGCAAGGCATAGTAATGTGTGGTCCTTCTGAGCATTCGTTGCACTCGGCGCAACGAGGAGCGGCAAGCGAAGCCTATGAAATAGGGACACTTGATGGCCACGCACCATGGAGAAAAAACATTTCGCCAAGGTCACCCCATGCTACCGTTTGGTGAACTCTTTTGTAAAACAGCCAAGTATAACACGTAAACGCAACCCCTACGTCGAAGCCGCTGACCTCGCACAGTCTAGACACGCAGAAAAAGCCAGCACAGGGGGTGGCCAGGCAGTCAACGTGAAAGCGCACACGACGGCAAATTCCTGCGCAAAACGCAGTCACGAAAAATCGACGAAACGGATCGCCGGTCCGTACGGGAAAATCAGGACGACCCGAAGTGTCCCGGACCCGGCGGAAGACACCCTCCGCATTTTTCCACGGACGTGGAGCGATTTTGGCGCCGCGGGAGCCCGCGGTCTCGGATCCTTTCATGAGCAAACATCGTCTGGGAGGCCGAGCTAAACTCTCTCTTATATAATAGCCTAGGCCTATAGATTCTTTTTAACCATTGAATCAGCGTAATACTAGTGCGTGGTGAGCTTCACTTCCGATCGAACTGGCATGCACATGGGATCTGACTCGGTTCAAAAGTTTGTCTAAAATATCAGAAAGATTGTGAATATGAGCGCACTATGAAGGCCTGTATTGTAATAACGATAGATATATGCAGCTGCAATGGATATACGTGCTTCATATTTGTTCTGTACCCGTGCTCAATATGTTTTTTTTCTCACCTGGCCAGAAATGTAGTTTTGTATGTACAAGGGCACACCAAAGCCTCACTTAATGGGCATATTAGGCCGCGCCTGCAACCGCTGATATCATACGTTTTATGGGCTATAAGTCTTATACTGACTTCGCTTGAATTTACAGCCTTCGTGTGAGTATTGAAATCAAAACGTGATCTTTTTACATACGTTTTAATTCGTAAAATATGAGTTGAGGATATTAACCAGTTGTAAGATCAGGTCGAGTGATGTTAAACTGAGAAAATCACTTCTGGTTCCACTACACTAATTACTTGCTCAATCGGACAAAGAGCGCCGTCTTGTGACACGCAGGATCTATATAGGAGCAAGGTGGATTTTTTTTCACTAGAAATTAAAGATTACGACCTCCGGGACAATTTTCTGTTCAATTTTACCAGAGGTAGCCAAGTCAATTTGATTTTATATTCCCCTCTCCCAAAAGCACCCCTAAAACGGCTGCCACGCCCTGGGCCCAGGTCTAAATGTAAACCACCCCACCCTTAATGAGTCGGCCATATTAAAGCAAGGTAAAATCTTCATTTTTAGAACTTGCGAAGAGAAATGGAAGCAATGACATATTAATAAGTTCATTACAAACTAATACCAGTCTACTCTGATGAATAATTTAAAATTTTGTAATTACACATACCCGAATGTTTTAAGTCACATTTTAAAATAAATTGAAAGTGAGGCTAGAATGAATAAATAGTCTGGCACCATCCTATTCAACAGTTCACAATTTATAAAATACATTCAGGGAACACGACCAGAAATAGCTTCCTCGTGAATAAGGACCAGAGACCCCAGCACCCCCCCCCCCTTAAAAAGTTCGCGCCGCCCCCCCCCCTGGAAATTTGGCATCCAGAGAAAAGCACAGCCGAATTAGTTACTATGATTAGCCGGAATAACCTAAAGTCCCTTTTCCCACGATTTTGTGCGTATTTTTCACCTAAACCCTTTCTTTTCGCGAGTGACTGTTTATTTTAACGTCCGTGGAAAGCGAACAGCGGATATTGTCTAACCTTAACCATGATAGGTTTTATACAGCGCCCCAATGGGAAGACGGTGTCAAGCAACCGTGCCCCCCCCCCCCCGTTTTGATTCTACGGAGATCGGGTGTCGCGGTGAAAAAAGTCTGTCTACATTTCAGCACAGATGAAAATTTTGGGCGCCCCCCCCCCCAACACCACACGCCCCCTAGGACGAGAACCCTGGCTACGCTGCTGTTGCTGAGAGACCCACAGGTTGGGTTTTTCCCATTTCCCGAACAAAATCGCCCAAGTATAGTTTCATTATTCCCACAACGCGTGGTCGGCGTGAAGGAAGTGAAAACAGAAGATGCATAACCAACGGTACGTGCATCAGGACTGGCCGCTTGAATTTAGTACAATACATTACTGTAATGTTGAAACTGAAATTTGTGACATTTGTTCCATATGAACCCAGTCTTCCTGAATTATTGTCAGGCTTCAAATAATTCGAAATATGTAAAGGAATTATTATTTCATAAATAAACGTTGGCTGACTTTTTCGTTCGATGTCTCATTCGTTCGAAAATAGTATGCACAGTATCAAAGATCACGGAGCAGATCAGATGCTTTGTTGTCGGCATGAACATGCACATAAATCAGCTAGCAAACTATTGTGAAGGTTTGTAGAATAGAACAGGAAATAAATATTTCACTTTTAGATTTCAATCTAAATTGTACTCCAGTGCTCCGACCCCAAGGCCACACTTTAGTGTGTCAATGTGCTGTATGTAGCCCTATTGGCTTTGTTCATTTGGTGTTTGCTCCAAAACCTACGGAAGCCCGTTCGTGCCAGATTTTAAAAGTAAAAAAATATATTTATTGCGAAATAACGCAATACTAATTGCGAGATAACGCAATAGCATTGCGAAATAACGCACAAGTTTTGCGAAATAACGCAATAGTATTGCGAAATAACGCAATACTATTAAGAAATAACGCAATAGTATTGCGAAATAACGCAATGAATGTATTGCGAAATAACGCAATAGTTAGTGCGAAATAACGCAATACTTATTGCGAAATAACGCAATAAATATTGCGAAATAACGCAATACTTATTGCGATATAACGCAATAGTATTGCGAAATAACGCAATAGTTTTGCGAAATAACGCAATAGTTTTGCGAAATAACGCAATACTGTCGTGTTCAAACTTCACCCGGATGTTCAGTTTGGCCCTTATTTGTCCATTTTGATGAAATGTTCTTGAAGTTCCTGTCCGTCATTGCGTTTTTATCCGTTGTGCTCTTGTCGGGGTACGGTTTTGCTTGAAAGGGGCGGGGTGCTGAAAACCAGAAGGCCTATGTTTGATCTTTTCAGAAAACGTTGCCATAATAGACATTTCTGTGGCATTTTTGCCCGGAGGGGGGAAGGGGCAACAAGTTTTAAGGAGTTTATTATCTTTTCATACACCCCCGGGATTGAATCATGTGCGTTCTGATTTTTTTTAAACACAACCGACTCAAAATGGCCACCAAGCACGAACGCGTGCTGACTCAAGAGAACTGAATAGTTTCCTCGCAACTACAAGTACTGCGTTTTACCCATGCACCTGTTAATAATCACTTGAATTTAATGGTGCATCCACAGTGCATTCGTATTGTAACAATACAGGGGAAATTGTACTGATATAATGATACGTTTTGAGGAATGGTTGTTGGGGGGGGGGATGCTTCAATAATACGCTCAACATTCCACCACGCTGAAGAAAACTAATACATTTAAACGAATGATAATTACATAAGAATGACACCCCCTAGCATGTCCTAACTTGTACATAGGGGATGATATCTTAATTCAAACTAAGTGTGTTAAGGTTTTAGGCATTCATGTACAGGATAATTTGAAGTGGGACACCCATGTTAGTTCTATGTGTAAAGTTTTTAACCGTAAATTGTACTTTTTACGTCAGTTAAAACGTTGCAATATCCCTGTTTCTGATTTATTATCCATCTATGTGCAATATATTAGGCCTACTTTGGAATATGCCTCACCTGCCTGGTTTGGAAGTCTGACCACAGCACAAAAAGAATGCCTGGAAAAATTGCAAAGGAAAGCTTTCCGCATAATCTTCCCTGTAGTATGGAAGGAATCACTCTTATCAGCATATTTGTCAAGTTCATCACATCCCTCCTATGTCTGAAAGGCTAGAATTGCTTTGTTTAAATTTTGGTAGTAATGTCTTGCATTCCCATGTTCATAGAGATTGGCTACCTTCGTATAGAGATAACAACCTCAGAAATTCCCATAAACTTTCCAGTATCAGATGCAGAACCAATCGGTATAAAAACAGTCCCATCCCATTTTTAACCTCAATTTTAAATAATCAGTAGTTTGTTTTATATATATATACCTGGCAGGTTTTTTTTCTTTCTTGCCAACCAGTTATTCAGTCTTTGTGTGTGCTCGGTCCAAAATGTTTTAATTGTCATTGTTATAACTGTATTTCTATTTGTCTTGTGCGTTGCATGTCATGTTTTTGAATTGTAAGCTTGCATGTTTATGTGTGTGACCTTTATGTTATTTATTGTAAATTTTATTGTTTTTAATGTTATGGTTTTGTAATTTTTATTGTGAACTTGTGAGGGGAGGCGCAATTCAGCCTCTGGCTGCAATGTCTGTTTTTTGTATGATTGAATAAATAAACCATTAATAATAATAAGAATGATTTTGCAACTTTAAAATGTTTTCCCGCAATAAGCCCCTCCCAAAATTACATAACCGGTCCATTCAATTTTAACTGATAAAAGGATGCCTTGCATCAAGAATCACCAAAGCCGTATACTGATATGAATTAGAAAAGAGTTTTTAGGCTTGTTAAAGAACTGAACGAATTTTAAAAGTTTTAAAAAAGAACTGTACTTTTAAGTCTCCATTTGTTCTAAAAGCTAAAACGTGTTTTATCGGGGTCATTAGGCAGTGGTGGGTTATGGGGATGGTTAGGATGATTAACCATCATCTTCAGTCTGGAAAAATACCAACTTGGTAGAAAATCCCAATGTTCCCTAAGATTCGTGAGATAACAATTTTTTTACAACTCGTTGTACAATCTCTAGTCACCGCTTTAGGTCTTTGGTCCTATTTATTACTTGTCCTCCGCTAACCCCCTTTACAAATCCAGGATCCGCCATGCAGGGTGGGTTTTATGCAACATAAAAACTTTATGTCAGAAAATATGACGTGAGAATTTGCCTATAAGTAGGCCTAAAGTAGGCCGAAGTAGGCCTACTTCGGGTTCAACCATTCGGACTCATGCATTTTTTTCTCAAAAAACATTGGGTTTATTGAACAAAAACTATTGCTTTATTTTGCAATAACTATTGCGTTATTTTGCAATAAGTATTGCGTTATTTCGCAATACTATTGCGTTATTTCGCAAAACATTAATTGCGTTATTTCGCAAAACATTTATTGCGTTATTTCGTAATACTATTGCGTTATTTCGCAATACTATTGTGTTATTTCGCAATAAGTATTACGTTATTTCGCAATACTATTGCGTTATTTCGCAATACATCTATTGCGTTATTTCGCAATAATTATTGCGTTATTTTGCAATAGTATTGCGTTATTTCGCAATAGTATTGCGTTATTTCGCAATAAAAATATGTTTTCACTTTTAAAATCTGGCACAAACGGGCTTCCGTAAAAACCTGACCCACGAATATTTTAAAATCTTTCTCTCCAGATTTCATCATGAAAATGCCTAAGCTGTACATACGTCTTATTGCGTTTGTCCTGATGTTGGGACTAGTTCCGGTTGCAGCCGAACAATCAACGGTAAAGTGAACTTTTATCACATTTTGTTTTACGAATCCGTTTACTTTAGTTTCCCAGTTATTTTAACACTCATATCACCATTCATAAGATGGAATTTTGCGTTGGGGTGATGTAAATCAAATTAGGTTTTGCCCTTCACCAACGTATAAACACTGTATACTCAGTGTGTTACCTCCCGAGTGAAAGTTAGAAAAAGGGCAAAACCTAATTTGATGTACATCACCCCGACGCAAATTCCATCTTATGAATAGTTAATGCGGTACCCGCTGCCATGTACATCACGTATTCGAACCAGCCAACCGATCCCGTTAGCTCGGTGGTCGAGTGGCAAGACGTCTGCACTAGAAAGCAGGAGGTCGTGGGTTCGAGTCCCACCCGAGTGATTTTTTTCCAACTTTCACTCGGGAGGTAACACACTGAGTATACAGTGTTTATACGTCGGTGAAGGGCAAACCCTAATTTGATTTATATCACCGTTTACACGAAGAGCCACACATGTGGATTTTGAAGAAAAAACGTTTTCGAGATATTCGCAAGAGAAGTTCCTTCTCCTGCAAAAACTACTACTTTGCAACAACTTTATGCATTATGAAAACATTATGTAAACCAAGTAATTCAGCAAAAAAGTTAATTAGCCAAAATTAATTAGTAAAGATGTGTGTGTCCCTTCGTGAAGCGAAAATCCACGTTTCCTACATTATTTTAGGCCCTTTCTGTTCAACGTGTTTTTCCATAGGGAAGGAGCATGTGGGCAACTGAGAATGTGTGCACGACTCTTCGTGAAAACGAAAATCTCACTTGACCTACTTTAATTAAGCCCGGTTCACACTTAATGCGAAAGCGAATGCGAAGCGAATTTGACGTCATAAAACATTCGCTGCGAAATTCGCCCGAGGTGAAATAATTTTATGTTCAACTTTAACGAATTCGCAGCGCGAATACTTGCCACGACGTCACAAATTCGCGTTCGCTTTCGCTTTCGCGCAGAGTATAAACCGGGCTTAAAGATATAGTCCATCATATTTGTAGTTTGTGCATTTTGTTCGTTTGAAGCAACAAAAGTGTTCAAAATCTAATGAAAGATACTGAACAACTAGAGCAAGGAACGTGATTTCAAATCAAAAGTTACTGAATCATGTTTTGAATTGCAGCTATACGCGACGTCGCGCACTGATCTGACGAATACCGCGCGTGTGCGTCGTGCCAATGCTTGCGCGCGCTTCGCCGAATAACAAAACGAACTACTAATTTCAGTTTTCCTACGTCTTAAGACGCACCGTTGGAAAGGCCTTCTTTCGTTGATTACTTCAAAATGACAGCTTGCCAGAAAGAATAATTTCACAGGGAGTTTATTTCCCTTACTATCTTTCAACCAAGTTTGTTTGTCAACAATAATTACGCCAGTTATTATTCGTGTCTCTTCGTGAAAACGCAAAATGCACTAATTGAGATGTCTGCCCTTACATCATTAATGTAATGAAGAAATTAATGATGTTTTGCTTACAGAAGCATGTCAAAATGGTTAAGTACGAAGTTTTAAGCGAAATAGTGAGAAAAAAACTCGAAATCGAAAGTAATGGTCACTTTTACATTGTGTGGCTTTTCGTGAAAACGGTGATTATCACACAAATTCCATTTAACGATTGTTATAGGGAATTTGTGTGATATGAGTGTTAAAATAGATTGGAAAACCTATATAACACTTATATCACACACATTCCATAGACGATACTTTAATTTCGTCCCCGAACATCGTCGAGCTCAATTCTCTATCTCAATTTCAAAAAACCACCATTGGATTTCATTTAAGGTGAAGTATTTTGTCACAGCATTCTTATTCGTCCTAATTTCGGTAAATTCGTCTCATGTGGCGATCGGCGTTGAATTGATATAGCAAATTCGTTTTTGTTTGTCATTCATTTTAACGCTTTGGTCATCATTTCATTTCTGCTAATCTGAAACGTTACGGTTGGAAATGCTTCCGATCGTTTGGACTTACTTTGAAAAGTAAAGCGTACAATTGTGAAATTTACAATTTCTACACTTTGTTGGCGTTGCGGGCTTGAGGTAGGCCTACATGCAAGCTTTCCCGTGCGATGAGCATGCCGTCTATATAATAGTAGCATGCATACTTTGGGCAATATGTGACTTATCAGGTAGCTGCTATCGTAGTCTTTCATTCAGTTGGATCAAGGATAAAGGGGAAGGGGGTTTCATCATTTCTTGACCGGTTTGTGAACGTCTTCTCCCTCCACTTGGTAATATTTCAACTGCTCTCACGAAGGTAAGTTATGATGCTGCGAGCAGGTAGGCGTTTCGAAGAATTGCTCTCCTTCGAAGGCATCTATGATACGGTTTCTGTCCGCGTTTGAACTCGGCATTGTCAGCCATCTTCTTCACAATCGAGTCTCAAAAAACGAGCGAAAGAAACGCTGAAACACCCAGAAATTTGTAGGCATTCATATGCTAGGAATTAAAGTGATCAAAGCGCTAAAATTAATGAATGACAAAAAACGATTTTGCTTTTTCAACATACATGTATACAGGGTGTATCAAAAACAGGAAACCCAGATGTAATTCTAAAGTATCTAATGAATATATTCAAATAAGTTAAAGATCATGTGAAACACAAAATGTGTCCTCTTTCCAATGGTACCCTGATTGTGTGTCTGTGGCCACAGATGACAGAGAATTCGTTGATATTCTGTTAAGGGTCAAAACTTGCACTGGGCCAAGTTTGTGCAAAAGGGTAACTGGTATTCTGGGCATGTGGAACGGCTTAATTTAAAGAAAGACGACATCCTTTTCTTCAAAACAATTTATTCAATTTTGACACAGTGATTTAACCACTCTCATTGTTGAAGTTAACCCCTCATGGCCCAATGCCTTCAATGATGTCACCACCTCTTTCTACATAAAGCTCTGCACGAAGTCTAGTCCATTTCAAACTTTGCATAACAAACCAGCCAGCAATCTTTCCCAGGTAAAACTTGGCCCACTACAGATTTTGACACTTGACAGAATAACAACGAATGCTCAGTCATCCGTGGCCGCAGACACACAATCAAGGTACATGTATCATTAGAAAGAGGTCACACTGGCGTTTCACATGATCTTTAACTTATTTAAAGATATTTATTACATTTTTTATAATTTACATTTACATCTGGATTTCCTTCTTTTTTATACACCCTGTATTATGCCGATCGCCATAACACATGAGACGAAGTTAACGAAATCAGGACGAGTCAGAATTCTACAAATTTGAATAAAATTGCACCTTAAATGAAATCCATTGGTGGTTTTTGAAATTGAAAATTGATCTCGACCGTGACATTCTGGAACGAAATTAAAGTATTTTAATGTGTGATACAAGTGTTAAAATAACTGGGAAAACTTATAGTATAAATCGCCATGACAAGAGTTAATGAGCGAATGTTAAATAAACTCCAAATATTGCATACTGATCCATTGAAAACCTTTTTGTTAACATCAAAGGACGACTCCGCACGGAAATCCAAGGTCATGTTGCTTCTGCTAGATGGAATGCGTTCTGACCTCTACGGCGAAGCTCTTCCAGGACTTAAATCCATGGAGTTAAACGGCGTGCGGGCTGAGTGGCTGACCCCTGCCTACATCACCCTGTCTATGCCCTGCATGTATACCATAGTTACAGGTTAATATAAACTAATGGGAAAGGATTCAGTTAATTTTCTCGAAGCATTACAGTCGACAAAGAGAAACAGTTGAAAAGTTATTTCCATATTCACTTGGATTGGGCGAACAAAATATTGAAGCCTCTCAAATATCCTGCGTAATGATCATTTCCATTTCCAAGTTATCCGAATAAGCCAAACTGAACTAATCTTCCTGGGTAACAACGCAAAGGCAGACTCTCAAAATACCGTGACACGATCTTGATTCGGCAACTTTGAAAGTAATAACAGCCATTAATCATTTCTTGCAACACAATACAGTTCCATAAAAGCACGTTGAATACATTGTAAGTCTTGTAAATTTGTTTCCATGACGGTTTTAAAAAGAACCATTCAAGCCAGTTACTATTTCCGTTATATTCCCAGAGGCTATTTTCAAAAGCTTACATGTATCTATCTCCATACAGTTTCATCAGGGCTTTGAAAACTTCGGCTTCATTTTAAGTTTCGGTTTCGGGAGATTTTATAGACTTCGGATTCAACTAAAGCTCCCACGCAATCCCTGGACAGTGTGCATAGTTGGTGCCGCGGCAGGCAGGCACGGCTAGGCTTTGAAAGTTTACAACACACAATTTTGTTTATTTGCAATGCCCATATTGTCAGTGGCAATCGAAAACAAGGGAGTTTTTGGAATGGACCAGGCATTATTATTATTGTCAAGGGAAGGCGTGTAAAGCCACTTTATAAAAACAGGGGAAAAAAACACAACAGGAAATCGCGTCATTGCTAAAAGTAGTTGCCTACTCTCGTCTCAGCCTCCTCGATCAGAGCTAAAGCTGATTAAGCGATAGTCAATTCTAAACGTACATGTATCCGGAAACCTGTTCCCTGTACCGTTAGTCAGGTGGCTGAGACCCAATTTTTGACAAGATCGTGACCGACTGGTCCAAGCACCAAACTTGGCAGATAGATTCTTGTAGCCCTTGAAAATATATTCACAAGGGGTGACACCTGAAATTCTTTTGGTGAGGGTGCCTATATTCGTAAATACCCGCCGTGAAATATATTTATTCCGGGACCATATTTTAGTATATTTTTGATTTTTTGATTTTTTTGAAAAGTATATTTTGGTGATTCTACTTACACATCCTCTCTTCAATAACATTTTCTAAAGCATAATTGTAAGTGACTGAATAACTATGAGGACAAAATAACGATCCAAAATGGCTACTATTATACCAACTAAAGTTGCGCGCATTTACCTTGTCTCCAGATATCATCAAGTAGTCTAGCCAAACCTCAGTATTAATGAGCTTCAAATTCACCAAGTTGCTTAATGGCACGGTTACCCTATTAAAACTTTATGGAAAATCATGTGAACAACGATAACATTGTGGTATTTAGCCCAAAAATCAAAAATGGCGAAAAATAAGGTGTCCGTAAATTCCGACCATAATTCCGCTTACGACTACGTATAGGCTACTCTCTGTCGAACAAAGCCTGGGTTGGGGGAAGGGGCGGTCTCCACAGACCCCCGGATCCGCCAGAGTGCCGGCAAACACAATGTCGGTACACAATTTGTACACAGTGCCGATACATGCACCATTATAATGTAACCTTTTTTCCATCATCGTTAAATTTAGGTTTGTATCCGGAGAGCCACGGAATCACATTCAACAAGTACTACAATCTCTCCACTGGCTACAAATCCAAGACATTCTACGAGACTCTCAACATCACCGACTGGTTCAACGCCCCAGGAGTTGAACCCATATGGGTGACTGCGATCAAGCAAGGTCTCAAGGCTGGGACCGTCCAGTATCCAGGAGGCAACGTGGCTATACAGGGCATACGCCCCACCAAGAATTCTCCCGGAGTACCCTGGCAGCAGCTAGGTCAGTACCCGCTCAAAGGGCTGATAGACATCGGTTTGGATTGGCTGAAGAATGACGATATGGACCTGGTGCTTGTCTACTCTGGCCAACCAGACAGCACCTTACACGGCCTGGGGATCGGTAGCGAGGCCGCTAAGGCCAAGATTCACGAGGTCGATGAGGCAGTGGAGTATCTCTTCGAGAAAAGCCGAGCGATGGGATTGGGCAACACCCTTGACGTCATCGTGACGAGCGATCATGGTCACGTGAACATCGACAAGCGTCGCTATGTTGAACTTTATAATTACATCAACGCCAGTGATATTCAGATGGGGCTTCTCGACTATGGGAATACGTTCCAGATAGAGCCGGTGGAAGGCAAGCTTGACACGGTGGGTGTGATGTTGAGAATCTATCCGTAGATATAAACACAAACTTCTAAGCTGATGGCGTTACAGCCAGAAATGTAGGGCCCTGTATAATGAAGACATCACAAGTCAATCATTTAATCATCCGGTCTTATTCGAGCAACACACTATATTCAAATGAGCATGAGGTTTTCCTATATCAACCACTGTTGCTTATATCAAATCAACTCCATTCGACATTTATTTTCACATTGACATCCTCAGTGATAATTCGTTTATAAAGAAAAATATATGTATACACAAAACGTTCTTCACAAACGGTATGCAATAAATTTGCAAAAGCACAAGAGTTAAATGGTAGAACTATAATGTGTAATGTGATAATACTTACTTTACTGCAAAATAACGTGATCAGAGTAAATGTTTGATAAGATGGAATTCTTCTTTGCTCTTCCTTTGTCAGCTTTACGACGCCTTGGTGGACGCCCATCCGCAGCTGAATGTCTACAAGAAAGAGGATTTCCCTGTTCGCTTCCACTATGCCAACAGCGATCGAATCATGAAGTTACTGGGCTATGTTGATTCCAACTGGTACCTCTTCTCTGTAAGTGATGTAGGCCTTTTTAGTTTAGCAAAGTTTCAAGGGATACTGTCAAAGTTACTCTCAGTACTAATACAAGATAGTCTATGGAATATCCCCTTGCACATCAAGGGTCTATGATATGCGAGCAGATTCGGCGATTCATTATGCAAAACAAGACTGCGTCTTGACCTCGGGATTCTGACCATTCAGCAGGCGCCTTCTACATCGGGTTTTCAGTAACCCTTTGTTGTATTACAAAAACATGGCATCCAAATTGACCAGTCAACAGCTATTAAAAACTACAATTCTGATCAAAATGACGTCACAGATTTTTAAAGTCGACTCTGATTGGCTGGCGCGCGGGGTCGCATAAAATGTGCCTGGCATGTTATAAATTGTTACTGGGAGCAACCGCTGGCGTTTTACAATTTACCAAGTAAATGACATAATGAGATACTTCTTATTTAATTTCGTTTGTTCTTAGCGAAAGACGGAGAGTAGTTTCTTCTTAGCTGCCGACCACGGCTATGACAACCAGAATCCCGAGATGAGGTCCATCCTCTACGCTCAGGGGCCTAGCTTCAAAAAGGGATTCAGGGGCGAGCACTTGGAGTCGGTAAGAGAAGTTTGTCGTTCATGTTCTCTGGGTGTCGTGCTGGTGGATCACCGTTGTATGTGTGATTTGTTTTTTTTCTTAAGCCGCGTCTATGTGGGCTTTACACCCTGCACACTCGAAAGTGAAAAATAAAATCATTCGTTTAACATAATGCACACATATGCAAATAAAAACTAATACGTTTAAATGTGTAAAGAAAACAAAACGTTGAATTCAATCTAGATTTAAGTAAGGCATTTGGTACGTGCTACGATTTCCGTGACGTTTACTTTGGTATTTTACTTTCAACCATTAGCTATTCGTCCGTAATTGTTGTCATGTACCGGTATTCGGTAATTTATTTACATATACATGTATATTTCTTGACTTTCTGGCCCAAAGGTCAACATCTATCCACTGATCTGCGACCTGCTGGGTTTAGACCCCGCCCCTAACAACGGTTCCCTTCAGAACTACAAGGCTTTCCTTGACGATGGTTCGAGCAGCGCCTCAACTGTCCGTTCCCTGGGAGTAGCCACGTTGGTATCCATGTACACTATGATGATCGCACTGATCTACAATTAATGAAAGAAAACGAAAAACCTATTCAGTCTGTGTTGTGATAATGTGGTATTTTGAAATAAATAAATGTAATTACCAGTAGCATTAAAATCTGCTGGGAGAGAAATGGCGTAAATATTTCATAAAAGGAACAAGATCCAAAAAGAAAAAATCCACGTCTGCAAATGGAAAAAAATACCAAAACCTGCTAGATCTGATCAGCGACTCTACCAATCCACGTTGGCTCTCTTTGTCTTCAGGAAAGAATTTTCTTAGTAGTGTTGATCAAACTATTGTTTCCCTTATTGTAGTAAAAAAGTGATGCACCAGTGATAACGTTCAGAAAAGAGATAATAGTCAATAGTATTTTTTATAAGTCAGATTTTTCAAATTTTGTACTTCAACTTGTTCGGATTTTAAATTAAAATATCATGTTATATTTCTGAAAGAGATTGCTCAATTAATGTAGTCTAGGCCTAAGGCCAAAAAAAAAAGTCTCCAGTTTCTGGTATGCGCGCGCGTCGCCGTAGCCATGCGCGTCGGCAAAATGAAAAAGTTTTTTTTTCAATACAAGATGATATCGCAAAACCGCCAAACTCACTGGTTTGACTGGAATCCTGCTGCTGCACAATTTTAACGTGTTTTTAGATGGGGTTATGATCGAGAATAAGCTTTATGTGGCCTCTCTGGACTCCCATATATTTGCACTAAGTTTAGTCGGGCACCATTTGCAGTCATCAGCCGACATTTGAAGCCAAAAAGAAGAAAAAAAACAGGTAAAAAAAAAAGCCGCGTCGCCGCACCATTTTTGGGGCAAGCTCCATACCAGAAACTGGAGACTTTTTTGGGGCCTAAGCTGTACTGAGTGATTTTGAATAAAACATACGATTATCTGCAATTATTTAACTTTTTCGAGTTTTTTTGTTTTTAGTGCTTTAGCGGTAGCAATATTTATAGCAATGCGCCCAATTGGGCAACAAGACAGCGGTGTAGCCAGGGTTCTCATCCTGGGGGGGGGGGGGGGGGGGGGAGGGGGCGTGTGGGGGGTGCCGAAAAATTTCATCTGAGCTGAAAGGTAGACGTGTTTTTTTTTTTAAAACCGGACAACGGACACCCGACCTCCTAAAATCAAAACGTGGAGGGGGGGGGGGGGGGGGGGGGGGCTTGACACCATCTTCCCATGGGGGCGCTATTCAAAACCTATATCATGGTAATGTTGGACATTTATTACCGATATTCGCTTTCCACGGACGTTAAAATAAACAGCCCCTCGCGAAAAGGAAGCGTTTAGGTGGAAAATACGCGAAAAATCGCGGGGAAAGGGACATTATGTTCTTCCAGCTAATCATGGTAACTCATACGGCTGTGCTTTTCTCCGAATGCCAAATTTCCAGGGAGGGGGGGGGGGGCGACTGGGGGGGGGGCGAAATTTTTATGGGGGCGCCCCCACGCCCCCCCCCCCCCTCCTCGTAGCTACGCCGCTGCTACAAGACGAGTGTTAAACGAAATGATATGAATGGAAAGAGCATTGAAAAGAAGGATATATAAACGTCCACACAATCATCCTTTAAAAAGTGAGCGTTTTTGTGTTATTCTTGCGAGAACTATGCAAGAACGAATATTTCGGAGGTCAAAATATTTTGACTCTCAAAAATCGAGCCGTTGAGTGCTGGCTGTGTACGCACAGTGCATGGCATTTTGCGAACGTGCGAGAAACAACAAAGTGCTGTGTGTATTATGTGACACGCACAACGTGATCGTACATTGAATGAACATGGCTGGAAATAAGTATGCGTATGCCACAAAATGTCCGCCGCGTCCGATGTTATACTGATGCTTTTCTGTCCGATGTTGATCTGATTCACGGTACCCTGTGGATACATGTGTATAATTATACACGTCTCCACAGGGTACCATGTATCAGATCAGTATAGCAGTATAGGAACAAAAGGTTGTATAGGGCCTACGTCTCCACAGGGCAATTTCTATAGATGAATACGTCTCCACAAGGTTATCACGGTTACTCAAAAATTAGGAATTTGCAAGGTTTGTTCATCGGTCGCTAATTGAAGTATTTTATGTATTAAAATGGATATTAAGTCCGAATTTCAGCCCAGGAAATTAATTCTGGTTAAAAAAAGAGCATTTTGAAACTAGATTTTCAAACCCACAATTTTAGTACACGAGAACAAAGAAATGACTCCACATGGAAACAAATTACAGTACGTGTGCATTGCGGGTGTTTATGCTGAATATATCAAGTGGTGACGTGAGCAAGAATTTAGTTGAGCTAGGATCCAGTTATCATATACACAATGCATGTATTAATTATGTTGACTTCAATATTTAAAAGAACTATGAACAGGAATGCTAAGTAAGTCACTTGCAAATTGGACCCATTTTACCACCTCTTTGGATAGATCACAACGTGACGCATGCATTCAAAAATTGCTTTGTGTTCTTTGCAACTCAAGTACACGGTCCTTTAAAGTTGATACGGTGTCCGAGAAACGGCTCAGGGTGACCATCAAAGATGTAGAGATGGTTGTAATGTTATCGATCTTTGACTGATATCAGTGTAATCAATAATTACTGGTTGTTGGGGTCGGATATTATTCACAAGCTATGCCTTCAATTCTAATAATGTACGTTAAAGGTCACTATATAGTACATGTATCAGTGATGTAGTGCCTTGATGCTGGGCCTTGGCCTTAAGGCTGCCTTATGGCTGGATTTTAGGGCCTTGGCCTTGGCCTCGAGGCTTGAGGGCAAAAGCCTTGGCCTTGAGGGTTCAGGGCCTTGCAATTTTGAGTCAAGGCTCTTCAAGGCCCATAGATTTTTGCATTTTCCAGATAAATCTGTTCGAAATTTTGCTGTTACCATTGTAATCGTATTACCCTGGAGGAGGGAAGCACCCTATAGATTTGTGTGTTGGGCACACTTCCACTTTTGTAGCATCACATTTTGTTACCATTGTAGTAGATTTGCTGCAAAAATATTCCGTACACTTGAGGGGCTAATGAGATGATCAATTTAATTCCATAATAACTATGGAATAGATCTGATTGGTTGTATATGTCTCCCTGATAAGTGCTAAAGATTTGCATGTATCTGTTTTAGATAATGCTGATATTTCTGACCATGTTGGGCCAGCAAATAAAAATTTCCCAAATCAGTTTCTTGAATCCCCCTTTTGTTACACTTGGGAGAATTGTGTGTCAATATAGAAGTAAATCATTATTTTGTTTAGTTAAACCATATTGAAGACCTGAACTTATACTTTAATAGATACAATGCAGTCATAAAACGGTGTAGGCCTATGCGAGCATGTTGATTGCAATTAAAGAAATGTTGTTCTTCGTAACGAGCAATTCGTGATGATAAGGGCGGATCCAGGGGGGCCAAAATGGGCCATGCCCCCCCCCCAAAAAAAAAAACACACACCATTTTTTTTTATGTGACGTCGTAATAAAGGCAGGCAATGAGTACACCACCATCTTTTCCTAAAAAAACATCAGTTAAAATGGTCAGAAATTGCCTCAAATCGCACCACAGAGCATCTCGAATCCAAACATTTTTCGGTGCCCTTAAGCGGGCCCCGAAGCCCAAGCCGTAATTTTTTGACCCACTTTTTTGGGGGGACCAAAATTTCTTTGCCCCCCCCCCCGCAAATTGTGTTCTGGATCCGCCCTTGCGTGATGATGTGTCACTCATGTGACTATAATAAGTTCTATATTAGTGGTCATTTCATAAAACAGGGCCTTGAGGGTCAAAGCCTTGGCCTTGAGGGTCAAAGCCTTGGCCTTGGCCTTGGCCTTGAGGGTCAAGCCTTTGCTCCAACACTGACATGTATGCCTTTATTTAGAGTCAAAGTGATTGGTCAGCCTCCGTGCAGCTATGGTGTAGCTAACAAAAGAAAACAAGGTGTGTCTTGGTTCATAAGGGTAATGCATCCATCACAGTATACGTTTGGAAAACCTGGGGATAATTTTATAATGCTGGTAAGCTGAGAAATTTGTGAGGGACCAAAACAATTGCTTACAAATTTAGACCGCCGAAATCCGATGAATGTAATTATTGTGGCTGCATGGTTCTTAAATGTTTCCCGCATGCAAAGCTTATTGAGTAAAGGTTTGCGGTTAGCACTTGCATGTAATTGGACCCTGGTGTTGGCTTGGCCACCAAAGTGGTCTCTATATAAAGAGTGTGCCAAAATCAGAAAACAGACAACCCATTCTTGCAGAGTGAGAATGTTGGCTGGTTGGTTCGTTGTCTGGTCGTTGGTGGACGTACTCCTCTGTTGATTGGCTGAATACTGATGATTGACTACTGTGGTATATGTGACTAAAATAAGAGGATCTAACATTTGACTTTTTAATTACATTTCAGGAAAATTAAAGGCAAGTTTAAACAATTAATCTTTGAGTTTCGAAGCAAGTTAACCTGACTTCGGCAAAGACATGTTGACTTACACCTCCATATTTTAACGGATGAAAAAAGATAGATTTGTTAATCATTTCCGACACTGTTTAAAGAGTGACAAACATTTCCCTGTATAGATCAAACTTGTTGAGTACTTTGTGTCAAATTTTAGAACTTATCGCAACTAACCCAAAGTGCAAACCAAACTGATACCAAGTATAATATAATCGACACAATCAGAAAAGATAATAGGCCTATATTGTGTGATCGGGGTCGAACAGTCAACGTGTGTGAATTTGTGTCCTTTGACGAACAGTCAGCATAATACCTGGTGAATCCAGTAAACCAAACAGCCGTGACTGAAATATAGAAGGAAATACTTCCTGTGATGGCTTGGAATATGTTATTAACTATACTAGGGGCCATTCTGATGACGCTCCAAGTGGTGGCAGTTAAGGTAAGCTTTGGAATTTCTCCCAAATTGGTTAAAATAATGTTGAGAGCAAGGGCGTAAATCCCGGGGGATCGGGGATGTATCCTCCCCCACTTTTTGACCGAGAGGACGGGATATTAGATCATCTCCATAATTATATTTGTACTGAACAAAAACATCGTTGTAGCCACTCAAAACTTAAAATCACAATTTGAACTTGTATACAAAATGCGGCCGGGTAGTTGAGGCAAAGCGCTCATGATGCACACATGAAGTATTCATACAAGACTAGACAATACAGAGTTGCTTGGATCCAACCCAGCGTGTGCGTAGTACATAGTGCTGTGGGAATTTAGAACAAAGTCACCCGTTTCACTACTTTTAGTGCTACTAAACAACTGTGGAGTCTGGACTATGACACTCATCTGGTTCATTTTACGCATCACGAATGCTGCCATGAAATCTGTCACCCTGTTATTGAAGGTTATCTATAATTTGTGATTTTGTATTTCCAAGTTTTGACTGATGTTTCCACATTTTAAGCCCGCACTTTCGCTCCCCCTCCCACAAAAAAAGCAGCCCACATCGCTTCTTCACGATTGCTGCATTACTGCATCACAAAGCATATAGCCGTCTATATTCGCCAACACCGAATACCACTAATTTCCATGCCATATACCTGAATAATAATGACTACAACGACAGCCGAATTTTTGACCAAAATGGCTTCTATAAGACCACATGATCAGAAAAAAACGGTACCCCTTATATCTCAGCTCTGTCTATACGATTTACCTCTCACGTGACTTCTCGCGCTTACTCGAGCCTGGCCCAAGTAACCGACTCGCCGAGCCGGTTAGTTGGGTAAGTATCTCATAAGGCCATGCAGTAAACATGGCTGCCAACGTGACGTCCGGCGGGCGCTATTTTTTTTTCATACCACACGCTGTTAGTATATATATCGAATAATGCTAGAGGGCCCTATATATGCAATAGTATAATGTTTACAACCACCACATCGATCGAGTCACTGCTGTAGTGTCATGGATACTACATTGGATTACAAATCCGATGATTCGAGTTAGATTCCCATTGGATGTTTTTTGTGGTTTGGAGGATTTTTTTTTCAAGGGAAAATAAAGTCCGAGAACCTGACTTGCAACTCAACGTACTTCGAAATACGCCCATATGCATATGTACAGAAAACAGGCGTACGGAAAAAATAGCTCTAGACAGTTGATTCGGATGCAGCCTTAGTGTCATGTCAAAGTTCAACTTTCCAGCTCTTGCACGAAACCTTATTTACTCGAAACCGTTCGTTTATTTAGCTCCACTGCGCATGTCTGTCATCACGCGAGGAGCAGGCGCCAGTAAGCTGGGGGAAGTAATCGAGCGCACTTTATGGTATTATATGCAGTATAATGTACAGCGCCACCTAGTGTGAACTGGCGTCCAGCTCCCCCGTCCCCTCCTTGTTTTTGTATATGCAACGTCTTATCTTTGACAGTTTCAGGTTTTGGGGCCTCATCCCCAGTCATTTACACGGATTTAAACACCATTGGTCGAGAGAGTTCGAATCAATGCTTATAATAATATACGACTGTTAAATGGCACATCGTCCCGTCAAATCGCCTAAAAATGTTTTGTTTTAGATCGTTTACTAATCCTATTTTAAAAGTCTGGTTGCAAGACAGCTAACCTATAATGTCTTACTGTTGTTGAGAAAAAGATTAACAAAAAAATAAACCCCGGTTTTTTACTTCTGATGCGGCGGACATTTTGTGGCACATTCATTCATTCGTTAGACATAGGCATTTGCCCGTGGTCTCCTCCTCAAATTATACACAGTTGGGATCACTGGCGCCGCTCCCACCACTGCCCGTCTTTCCAGTGCTGCTGCTTTCAGTTCGTTGGTGTCACACCCAGACCATTCACGGATGTTGTCCACCCAGCGCATCTTTGGCCGGCCCACGGAGCGACGACATCCCACTGGCATCCCATCCACAACAGCTGCCGTCATGCCGCCCTGCCGAACCACATGGCCCAACCATGCTGCCTTTCGTTCCATCACAGTGCTACTGCTGAAGCACCACCGGTCGCCGATCATCTCCATCAGTCTTTCATTTGTCACATGATCTTGCCACTTGATGTTGAGCAGGTGACGCCAAATGGTTCTCATTTGAGGAGAAGTTTCCCCAACTTCTATGTCCATGGTTCCGGACGGACGAGACGGTTTAATGTATACGGTTGTGTGTGCATCTGTGTACATGTTCTACTGTCCAGAGAAAAAAATGCGGAAGGGGAAAGCTTAAGTCGTTTACAAGACACAAGTGAAGTCGAGAAAAAGAAAACAAATCAAAATCTGACTTGCCAACAAACATTTAATAACAGCAAAGTCATTTGCATCGCCCCGACTGATATACAACCAGCCAGCCGACCCCGGCAAGCTCGGTGGTCAAGTTGTAGGACGTCTGCACTAGTAAGCAAGAGGTCGTGGGTTCGAGTCCCACCCGAGTGATTTTTTTCTCACCATCACTTGGGACAACACTGAGTATACATGAAATACGTCGGTAATAAAAGGGCACAACCCAATACTGAATTGAAATCACCCTGACGCAAATTCCATCTTATGAATAGCAAGGTAACGGTTTAGGTCAAAGATTAAGCAATTAGGCCTACGGTGCGCGCTGCCCATTAAAATAATACACACATTCAAATGGCAGTATAACAATAATAAAATTTCGGGAAAATTCCAAAATGATAAATCAGTGTAGAAAATCCACACTCAAAAAGAACCTTCCAAACTGTCTCCAAGGATATTAGGAGGTTTCGCAAGCGAACGGATACGCTTACACTTACGTTTAGCTATCCGTATCCGTTTTTTACTGACGTGTAGCGAGCGAGATATGCGTGTCGTCTGCACGTTTAGCGGACAGTGAGTGGCGTATGACGTCATAACTGATGACGTATCCGTCGCACTAAACGTATCCGTGTGCATGCGAAACCTCTCATAAATACAAGACTCTTCTACTTAAAACCGTTAAGGTTTCTAGATCAAACTTTAAGTTACTATACTATTAATAACAAGGTTAAAAAAGATATATGTATTTTACTCTTCAAATATACATTAATAGAGTTTGTCCGGCCAGATACACGTACGTGTAATTAGTTCCGTTTACGACTAATCACAATCAGAGCAGACTGGTATTAACTTTATGTCACTGCTTTCGTTTCTATTCGCAAGTTCCAAAAATGAAGATTTTACCTCGCTATCAATTTAATATGGCCGACTCTGTTGTGGCAATATCGCAAAGAAAAACCTTAACATCGGACGATTTCCTGCACTGTACTTTTTCCACGCATGAACTGTCGCTGTCGTTCAAGAGGCACCTAATAGCTGTACATGGTTTAAACTTGTAGGTATGAAAGTGTTGAATTGGACCCCATTTTAATCATAGGAGAAAGTCTTTCTGATGCTTGTTGACGGTCTACGGTGGGATCGTTTAGGCTATGATTTCCCGTCTCTAGACCTGATGGAGGAGAATGGCGTCCGAGCAGAGTGGACAGATCCCGTCTTTATAACAGTGTCGTCACCGAGTATGGTGTCAATCGCAACAGGTAAGAAAACTGTAGTATCCATTAGGCCAAAAAAAAAGTCTCCGGTTTCTGGTATGGATCTTGTCCAAAAAGTGGTGCGGTGACGCGGCTTTTTTTTATATTTTATCTGACTTTTTTGCTTCACATGTCGGCTGATGACTGCAAATGGTGCCCGACTGAACTTAGTGCAAATAGTCCAGAGAGGCCACATAAAGCTTATTCTCGATCATAACCCCATCTAAAAACACGTTAAAATTGTGCAGCAGCAGGATTCCAGTCAAACCAGTGAGTTTGGCGGTTTTGAGACATCATCTTTCATTGAAAACAAAAACCTTTTTCATTTTGCCGACGCGCATGGCTACGGCGACGCGCGCGCATACCAGAAACCGGAGACTTTTTTTTGGCCTTATCTAGATTCAGAGCGAAATCGAGTGAGTTTCAAGTTAAGTATAAGCTAGACTTGTTGCTTATAAGCTAGACTTGTTGCTTAGGCAACATAAGGCTAATTACAGCTTAAGGCAATTACAGCTAATAATGCTAATCTAATTAGAGCTAATAAGGCTAATTACAGCCTAAGTCCGAACTATGGTCTTTGCACGTGTGATATAAACAATATATCCTGTAAAAAACAACCAGGTCTTTACGTGGAGAGCCACGGCGTGGTCCACAACCAGCCTTTCGATCCAGAGACCGGGGAAATCGCCCCGGGTTACCTGGAAGGACTGAACAGCACCTGGTGGTTCAACGGCGGGGGCGAGCCTGTCTGGCTGACAGCTATGGACCAGGGACTTAAAGCGGGTACCTTCATGTATCCCGGCGGTCAGGTGCCCATCAATGGCCGGCAGCCCACCCGCTGGCAACTGTCGTCCACCCCGGAGAGGAAGCGGTACGCTAACCTGACGGATAGAGCCGACGCCATCTTTGACTGGATGTACGGAGAGGATGATTTGGATATTGTCCTGTTTCACGTTGAGGTCATTGACAATGCACTCCATGGCTTCGGGTTCACTGGACTTAATATAGCCAAGAAGGAAGCAGCGAAGGTCAGTAACAATAACTTATTTCCATTCCCCGATCCTCTTGGGTTTACTTAAAATTGATTAAAAGGCTGGAAAGCATAAACGTATTTTTGTAGTTTTCTTCGCAATGATCTTCTTCGACGAATAACAGAACCACAGCTTACCATTTCTGTTATCTGATGAAAGAGAGTATGCATTCATCAATGCACACAATCACATTCCAGTCCCCATTGTTCTTGTTAATAAGTAAAATCCATACACCGCAAGGGCACCAGAGCTCCAATAAACTCCGAGCATATTACTTCAATTAGCTCAGAACACCAAAGCTCGAATTAAAGAATATGTTAATACGTCATAATACCAGAGGATTTAGGATACATTTTGCACTTACCAGCCGTGTGATGGTTGCGAAGGCCGATTTCTAAAGGTTATGTTATTTTAAATGAAACAACATACACACAGACATGTTCATGTTGGCGGGCGAAATCTTTAAAAAATAATTTCTCCCATTTGGCAGAACTATGTGCTAAAATCGTTTTCATAATTATGTTCAGTACTTTTCGATTAAATTGGAAAAATAGGCTTCGTGTATTTTAAAAAGTTGTAACACTGCTGTTTGCAATATCCATCAATCTTTTTAAGCTTCACGAGGTTCCTTTTTATTGTGGTGTGCAGTAAAAATGTGTAGAATAGCCTCCTTCACGAGTTCTTGATTAATAAATATCACCCTTTTTGCCGGCTTCCATTGGTCGATACCGAGACCCACGTGAAGTCAGGCTGAGTGACGCTAATGAATATGCTAATATATGCGCTTCATTGTTGCCGGTCCCAAAATCAGCCAGGCTTCAAGGTGTAACACAAGAGTTTGCAACAACATATTAAGCTGAAATTCGGCATATACTTAGATGATATAAGTGTTCAACTACTCGTGAAATGACAACGTCAGGAGATTCTTGGAAATTGAGATAAATACATACATTTGGGGAAGTTTCGAACGATTTCTTCCCGACTTTCAGGTCAGTTTTACCAGTAACCAGAATTGTAGTTTCGGCATCGATGACGGCGATTTTTTTCACTGACATGAATTTTAGAATTGCTTCTTCCGTTATAATTTAACATTTCAATCATACTGAGCATATTATCTGAGAAACACAACGTTCAAAAAGCAATTTCTGGGGGGGGGGGGGCATGAATTTCACTGCTCTGTTATAGCGTCCAAGAACGTAATCGGACTGACTTTGTTGAAAAACGGGAACGCTTAGGCCTTCGCAACCATACGGCTGTTACAAAAAAAAAAGAACGGTTGTCTCCCCCTTTTGTACTATCTCAGGGGGAAGACAATGGTTACTGGAACAATATGAACACTAACGCTCATTGCAATCGACTGAAAAATGCATTGTCAGGCCTAGGGGGCCTACATGTTATTTTTCATGTCATTGTGGAAGAGTATGAAGTGATAAAGCAATTATATTCGCTTCAAAAAATGCAAAATGAATTGAGGAACATGGGGTGGCGCGAAAATCTTATGAAAATTCCTTGTCATATTAATGATGGCTAGGTACATATCTTTTTCATTCAAAGGCTGAGCCAGCAGTGGCAGCAATTTTCACATTCCCGCCTAAACTGTGCATAGTGCCAAGAACCGCTGTTCTCATTGGCCCCCATTCAGACCCTTCACTGATTGGCTGGTTAATCATCCAATCATCGTCAGCCATTGATTAAAACTCCTGGTTCCCGATTGGCTACATTTTATGGGCACTGGATATCTTTCGTCACAAAGAAAAATACGTTTAGCCTGTAGTGTAGGTATAGCTGCTATGACACAGTGACAGTGCCTTCCTTCCACATGACACTTAAAGAATAGTGGAAGGTGATTGCACAATTTGCGCTACTAAATAATTGATCACTCAATGAATAACATTTATATTATCTTCCTCATTTAGGTCAATAAGTTGATCGACTACATCCTGACAAAGATAGAGGCCGACGAGAAGGTGAAAGACACCTTGAACTTCATTTTAACGAGCGACCACGGAATGGTCGAGACGCCGACAAACAAGCGGATTTACCTGTACGATTACATCAATCAAACCGACATTGATTTCATCTTCGCGGACGTCGGGCCGGTGTTTCAAATCAAACCAAAAGATGGCGCCCTGCAGAAGGTAAGGCAAGACGATTGATAGACAAAGAACGTTGGGACAACTACCTCGCCCCTTTTAAATGAAGTGATAAAGCATAATATTCGTGTAGATGTATGCGGATGTGGCATTCTGATGGTGCGTTCATTTTCGAGGTAAAGTACGGTTGCTTTTCTAAAGCAGCTCCATCCACCGCTTGTACTCAAAGAAAATTGAGACACGGAGAAATTTGCCAACACAAACCCGAGAAATTTACCATCGGAAATACCTACTGAAGCAGCAGTTGCACTGAAGGTTCTGTTTTGAATGTCCTCACAGTTTTGCACATTATGGTAATTCGTATTAACATAAAACCTAACAAAATACCAACAACACCCCTGAAAATGACAATGACACACGAAAGTTCATTTCAGAAATTTTCTACACGGCCATTCGATGCACTTTGCAGAGCCGTCATTTTTGAATACGTTCCGTGTTTGTACTATAGGTTTATAACATTCTCAAGAACGCCCATCCAGCTATGTATGTGTACAAGAAGGAAGACTTTCCGGACAGGTTTCACTATGGCAACAACCCGAGGAATCTGCCCATCATTGGCTATGTGGATCCCACTTGGACACCAATGAAGGTAAATGCGAGCACTTGCTCAGGCTCCGTTTCGAATCACGAACGGTTGGATTGCATTATGCGACACTCAAAATTTTGTCCACATGGTCCGCAATGAAACAGAAATCACATCCGGTATGGAATGCGCGAAATTCTCAACCTCGTCCCCAGTGCTTACTTTATTTCCAACACAGTTTCCAATAGTTAACCCGGGATAGGAAACTTTCTTCCTGTATCCTGATTCGATACCGCAATTGGCTAGTAATTGATTTTTATCGTGTACTTGGTGTTGTTATTCACAACGTGCAGTACGTGTTTTCGCGATCATTCGTCCACTCCTTCTCGAACATATTAATTTCCTTTCCAATTTGTTAATATTAATATGAAATGTGATACTGCATATTGTTTCATTAAGATCTTAACAGTTTAATTGAATAAAAATCGTGTTTTCGTAACTCACGCCATGCTCGCGCTGCTACGAATTGACTCTGTTTTTACCCCAGACACCGCATACAAAAAAACCGCTAAATGTAACGCACATGCAGGCACCAGACTATTCCTCATTTGCATACTTGTTCAAAAATCTTGCACATGCAAATGATCCAATACCAGGGTGAGAGAGCAGGTAGTGATGGGCGCGTACTGCTCGACACCCTGGGTACGAGGTTGCGCAATTCTAGTTTTCGGATAGCATTTGCGCACATTGTCTAACTGCGGTCTGAACAGCTGCAGCCAGATGCTTTATACATAGGTCATAGGCCACTTCCTTCACAAGATTCTGTGAAGCTCCTCAGAGTATCCCAGCGTCCTGTTTGCAGGGCGGGGGTACGAGCAAATTATATCCACAGTTATTTTACGACCTCGTTTCTATGGGTATGATCTTGCTGCCCCATGTGTTCCATCATGACTTGCGCCAGTGGAGTCGAGGCTGGCTATTGTATTCCGTATTCCTGACAATCTTCCGTGGTGATTATATTTCCAAAAAGTTAATTAACTGCGGCATTCAAAAAGTGATCCACGTCGTTTCAAAACTGCACATCGTGGTCAATGGTGGTGGCAGACGCGGTTATACGTGGGGGGAGGGCTTTAGGCCCTTTGTCTAGCCCCCCCCCCCCAAAAGGGCCATGATAAAAATGGCAGTAGCATATGTTAGAAGGTAACGTCACATGCGAACGGTGCCCCCCCCCCCAAAAAAATGTGTCGTTAGAAGGGGGCATTGTACACTATTGGGTAATATAGTGTGCATGATTGTCGCATTTCATTAGCACTCCCCATTGAAAATATGGTACGAGCCCCCCCCCCCCCCCCCCCCCACACACACACACCTATTAATTTTCGGAGGCCTAAGTGTCCTGAGAAAAAAGAATAGGCGCTTGTTGCTATTGCTTGAACTGATTTTCCGTCGTGTTTCTGTCGTTAATGCTTTGTTTACCCCGCTGTTGCTGTTTCTCCTTCGGAACATTGTTGTGGTGAGATGCCTTGGGCTACTGGATTTTCTTTCTACTAGTATTCAGCACAATGCTGCTCTGGTCTTTCTTGTATCTTAATTTAGGAAAGACGATTTGTCGTAAAAGCTGCCGATCATGGGTACGACAACGAGGACATGAGGATGAAATCATCGTTCTACGCCCAGGGGCCCGCCTTCAAGAAGGCTTATCGAGCCAAACACTTCGAATCGGTAAATGAACTAAGAAACTTAGGCCAAAAAATAATAGTTCTGCTTCTGGTTTCCCTACCTACCCTATTCTGACAGCCCCTACCCTAATTTTTTATTGGAAAAATGAGGAAAAAACACCCAAAACCATCACTTTATACATTTTACCCTTGACTACACGCAGACGCCTACATATGATTGTACACACAAAAAAAATGGCCAAAAAAAATGTCCTTACCTACCTACCCTATTTTCAAATGCCATGTAATCGGAAGCAGAACTATTTTTTTGGGGGGGCCTTTACCAAAATATATATGCAGAAGTAAAGGGGAAAACAGATACAGATGGGATGCATTATTGTATCGTAAAAACAATGGCGATGATTTTGCCAGCGTTACATAAAAGAAGTCAAAATATTCTGCCTAAAAAGTACTAGAATGTATCAAGGCTCAAGGGCGGGTTCGTTGGTGAAATGAAAACGCTCGTGAGTCTCGTTAAAAAAACCCAAGCGCGAGTGCACAATAATCTCTGCAGTTTTGGGCCCGGTTCCGGCATGTCTCACCTCATATAAAATAGACGTGCATGAGCATCGATCGAGACAAACGGTTTATTCCGAAAATTTTCGCCAAGAGCCTTGTATTTATTGACGACGTCTATTGCAGTTGGCCAATTTCGATCAATTGGTAGTTATATATTATGGGAAACTTAGGGTGCCGTTATTGGTCAATTTTCTGGGGACAGAAGTGACATGTTGAAGCTCCTGCCAGAACTTAAAAACAACACGTATACAATAAAGCTAGGATGCTTGTTCAGTTACGTAACAAACGCTGGTTGATCGGGCAGAGAACTAATTTACTGGACATTGCCCATTTAGTTGTTAATATTTTTATGTCAGAACAGACAAAAAACACGAAATTTTGCCTTTAACAGAAAAACCATTTTTTTCTTAATTTTGAAAAGAGAAAATCATTCTTTTGTGTTTGATAAATTTCATTAAACGTTTCATTTACAATGATTCTGTTTAGTGAGTGTTAAATAATTCTTTAGTATTCGTCGTGTGAAAACGTATAGGAAATGCATCCAGGCCCCCCCCCCATGCCCTGTACGCCCTCTTGTGGCATACTGTTAAACCATTGAATTGTATTTACAGGTGAACATATACCCCATGATGTGCGAACTCCTGGGCATCATGCCAGCTCCAAATAACGGGTCTAGAGATAATTACATGGACATGTTGGTATCAGGAGACTCCCTGACTACGCCCGGGCCATGTGGTTGCAACAACGGCGCTGCTTCGCTGAGTCGTCGTTTTTCTTCCTCTCGTATGATTTTGTGGCTAGTGTTGTTCGTTTTTTCACAAGTAAACTAATAATAAATATCATAGCATTTAGACGATGACAGCAATGCAGTGCGCCACCAAGAGTTTACCACGGAGAGTTCATATTTCCCATTGTATTTTGGGAGATGGTCGACAAATTCACAGCGCGGGACATTTGAAATTGTTAGTTTTTCCGGTTAGTACATTCGTACGGTGTATCTGTTTGCCCTTTTCAATTCTTTTTATTAATATAATGTGGTTTTTAGGAAGCAGAACGCTATGCCCCAATCTTTAACAAACTATTTCAAGTAGTCTGCCGACACTCATTCAAATGGATCATGTTTTGTCGACCGTAAACTTGAAAAATTGACTCTCCATGGCAAACTCTTGGTGACGCACTACATTGTGAATCGCCAAATTGGGGAGGTCGGACACTTTTATTCAGTTTCTATCTGTTTTATGGAATGATCTTGCAATATCAACGGAAATATCAAAAATGGATACTTCTATTATTTATTGAGACAGGTTAATCTTGTACAGGATGTAAAACATATTTTAGTTTTAACGAAACATTCTTGTGAGTACATATTAAATGATAATCTACAAAGTCATCGCATTTCCTCCTCTTTTTTCTCTAGAGTTTGTTTATTAGCAAAATAAGTGTTTATAACATTTGAAACAATAAGCCGATGTTACTTACGTTTTTCAGCGCTCTAGGAAACTCCTGCTTAATAGAAGCTGAAATGTATACCAGTGCTGGATAGACTATAAACCCCGTAAGATTGCAAAATATTTATTTAAATGATTCATAATGCTGTAACCTCGACTATATACTGGAAATGACGATTTTTGAAGCAAGCAAGCTTAAATTTTAACTTGACCTCGGAAGCTTTGGTACTTCCCGGAAAATATGATCTACGTTTAAATGATTTAATTCGTCCTTTCGTATTATAAGGTATACTCATAATAGATTAATCTGATGTACGCCATTCGATGGGGAGTCAGGTTAGCGCAATGGTTCTTTCCGTGCCTTCCACCGCTGTGACCTTGGTTCGATTCCTGCCTGATCCACATGTGGATTGGGTTTTCAGCCCCTACCTGATTCCGTGGGTTTTCCCCATAATATTCTTCTGGGGTTTTCCTCCAACCTCTAAAACTGTTATTTCTTCTCATTGTCTCCTTTTTACAGGTTTCTTCAGGCTAACGAGCTACAGTGTGTGGGGCACTTTCCTTAGTTTCATTGCAATAAACCAAAAATATATATAATAACATATGTAATTTTCACAAGGAATATTTTTTTGTAAATCGAAACGGAAGTGATATCAAAGAATACAGTTTAGTACGTATGGTTAAACATTCATTGCAACCAATAAAATTAAAGAATTACCCCAAGCTTATCGATATTATATTAATCATTATATGATATCTAATGAGTTCAAATATATTATAACAATTAGAAATCATTTTACATATTGTGAACTTGAACGGATTGCGAATTTGTACGTGTATAATTATTTTTATGTACATAGAAGTGGGTGTAAATTAACAACAATCTCTTTTCACCTGATACCACTAAATATGAGTCGCAATTTTTTGAGACAAATCAGGAAATCCAGGTCACGGTTCTTTAAACATGATGTCCTAGCCGGTGTTGTCATCAAGTCACCAACGTCGAGTCCGAGTCCGAGTCCCGAGTCACAAGCCTCGAGTCCGAGTCACGAGTCACTTGTTCTTTATTGTTCACCAAACTATTCAATTTTTATTCAATTATCCATTCTGTCTTTTAAGTAAATCCCAGTGTATACAGTTTACCTTGTGTGTACATGTTGCTTAGACCCAAACCGTGTTTTAATTATAATTCCCATTCCTAAAAATCCCACTCCATGATACCGAACACTTTTTAGTATGACACCGCCATGGTGTTCATCGTGCAAGTGCTATATTGGATTGCGTGCGCGGCCCCTGATACGATTTTCGCGGCGACGTGTTTTGTCTATGGAGTATAAAACAGAATGCTACGTCCGTCGCACAAATACGTAACGTTATATATGTTTTTTTCTTTTAATGAAAATACGTGACTCGAGTCACGAGTCACCAAGCTCGAGTCCGAGTCATCGTGGTCGAGTCTGAGTCCAAGTCCAAGTCATTTTTCGATGTGACTCGAGTCGAGTCCGAGTCACGAAAAATGTGGCTCGAGTCCGGCTCGAGTCCGACTCGAGTCCGAGTCCTGGACGCGAGTCCTACAACATTGCCTAGTCCTGTGGGTTGCAGCTTGTAATTTAACACTGAAAAGTTGGTCATTTTGATTTCATATGCTTTGGAATAATCACGCAATCGGTTCAACAAGAAATAGGATGCACATCTTGGAATTAAAGTGACTTTTTTAAAACCAATAATTTGGTTTTTACTCTTAAACCAACTGATAACGACGATGACGAGTGGCAGGGATTAGAATTCACTTCCACATTTTTTTTCATCATAATTCTGTAATTTGTAAAATACAACTTGCCGTGTTCATCGATTCAAGAGTCACCTGACCATTTCCAAAGACTATAGGTCAATGAAAAAAAGGGTTTGTTTACTTCCAACCTGTCTAAAAACGTGCTTTTATTTAATCAGCGATGATTTTTGAAACCAACAAGGAATCTCCGCACAAAGGCTTTTCCCCCAAAATAAACATTAATGTCACAGGTTAATCTGAAGCTTTGTCTGAGGACCTATGTCGGTTCGTTGTTAAAATGACGGAACTTTGCTCAGAATAAAAATCACACAGATAGCAGAAATTAAAGTTGGTCCTTTCCTCTAGAAATTCACTCTGTTATTATTTCATCAACACATCATAAATCGTCAATGTCAACAGTGATTGGTCAAGAATCAAATATAAAAGAATCACCAAAAATTCGAAATATCATAAGTGTGACTTTTCAGTGGTGTAACGTTTCGAAACAACAAAATCAATCCAAACAATGGAAAGAACAAACAACTGCAACAACAGTTAATTGGGAAGACCCAAAAATATCAAAGGATGTGAAAACAATAGGCAAAATCTCAGATCATGTGAATCCAAGGAAACTAATTTCGCAAAGTATTCAAAGTCAACAAACTTCATTTTTTGTGAAAGTCAAACAATATGCATCAACAATATGCATAGGTTCAGCATGAATAAATACAAACAAGCTCAATGAAGTCAAACCACTGAAACATCAACACGAAGAATAGCAAACATCAATGCCATACATCAATAAAATACAACAAGGAATTTTATACAATAGTATAATTATAAGATCTTAGCTGGGTTCAAAGCGTCGCGTTGGAACTCGTCTTGATTTGCCGATGCGGTGTCATACTCGGATGGGGTCCGGGTAGAGCAGCAGCGTCCAGGCGAAGTCCAGCGAACAGTGGTCCAGACGAAGAGGGGTGGTGGGGAGAAGCAGGAACAGGCCGGGCGAAGAATCGAACCGGGTCGACTCCTCAAAGCGTGACCTGGGGACTCCGTGTTCTGTATCAACAAGAGCACGTTTGCAAATGATGCGAGAAGGAGTTAGGAACGTCTTTCACGAGAAAATGACTTAGGAAGTCCGCACTCGTTCCTAGGCTAACTTATCAAAAGTGCAAAGGGTAGCACTCTAAGATATTCTCGCATCGAGGTCTTCTTCGCTTCTTATTTAGAACCAACTTTGTATTAAAATTACTAACTACAAAAAACATTAAAAACTGAGATTACAAATAGTATAAAGTAAGCCAAAATAGTCTAACAACTAATAAAAAACTAAAGTTTATGTTGTTCACCCGGAACATTATTATAAGTCAGAAACAGGTATCGGAACAAGGAAGTGTTTTGTACATGTGCATGCTTGAGACATGAGATTGGTCGTGTTAGGGGCAAAGGGCATGATTGCTTATATATTCTCAACCGCAACCGGTCGTAAGACACACTAACTTAAGTGAATGGGATGCATAAAAAACCTTAAACCAGTGATCATCTCGAACTAAAGACAAACATAGTGTAAAGGGACTCAAAAGCAAATCCTAGAACGAATGAGACTTACACGCACGTATTTTGTACATGTGTGTACACAGAGAAAATAAAAGTTTCACAACTGCCCATGATCACTTGGACCATGGAGGAAGGTTAATTCCTTCCTCCATGCTTGGACAAGTGTAGCCCAGCCAAAAAAATGAAATAGCGCCCTCTTGTGTTCACACTGGATGCAGTCTGAAAAGCATGATCACAACTGTCATGGAGGCATCCATGTTTTCTTCACGTTCTGCTGCAATCAGCATGTAAAACGGGCCCAAAACGCTATTTTGAAGGCTCAATTCGACAGATGATATAGTCCTGTTGAAACTGTTGGCTCTCAGGTTTGGATCATCAGATTCAGCTCTCAGTTTTTGCTAAGTCCCAGCTCTCAGGTTCTGCTCAGCTGAGACTCAGTCGGCTCTCCGTTCCCGACTCACATCACAGCCGTCAGGTGACGAGCTGCATGAAGTGCAGGCCCTGGTCAGAGTGCCCCTGATCTGGACCATCTTCAGAAAGATTAACCTGTTGAGGGAGAGTTCTTCCCCAGTCGACGGTAAGGAGACAGTCTACGGTGGATTCCGTTCTCCAAGGAGCAGTACACCTGGACTGGAACTAGAGCACTCGTGCAAATATCCTTTGGAACTGTCTGTTCCTTGTTAGTGGAACACAGAGCGAGGACAGAGACAGAAAATCCAGGATCCTGGTTCGCATTATGTACATGTACATGTTTTATTAAAGTTGAGCGCTCATTTTTTGTTGTTGTTCTTAAATACCTTAAATCTGTATTATACGGTCTAAGTAGTTTAATCCGATTAATCAAAAGTAATTTGTTGTTCAGAAATCCGTGTTGAATTAAAGTGTTAAATCAAAACGAAGCAGATAGAAGTCTTTGTGACACTGGTAGTTTGTTTATATGGGTTACACAAGCACTCAATGTTTTAGCCAAAAAGACAGTGTGCGTGTGGGCACGACCTTACTCAAGGTCACCTTGTGGTACAATTACACAAGACACTCAATCCCGTGTCCGTGGTAACAGAACTAGCAAGAACTAGCAACATGTGGTAAAAATCAGATCAGAATCAAAGTGGGACTCAATGAATAGGTGAGGGATGGCAATAAGCAGGCCTCATCAAGAGTTGCTAAAAGTCATGAACTGAAACTACTTCAACATAAAATTACAAGGAATATAGAAAACACGAATAACACTTGAAGCTAAAATGCAGAATTATCAAGTACAAGTTATATACAACTATTTAACTGACCGAGGCAGTTATTCTTAAATCAGGCAAGGATTCGGGTTACATGAAATGTGGTCAAAAACTTACGATCAATTCAGTGAAAAAAACCTACATTGTATAACGGCAACGATCAGAATTAGAAAGTGAATAAAAGGATTATAGAGCAAAATCTACATTATTATACAATAGAGATACAGCATACATAGTGAATCAAGTTTGGCAATCAGATTATCCATGGTTGCAACTCATGCTTGATGTGAAGCTGTCTCGAAATTATCCATAGGCGCGACAATTCTTATGCTATCACAATCATCAGAATATATACAATTGAACTATACAGAAATAAGAAAAACATCGGCTTAACATGTATCAACAAGAGCACGTTTGCAAATGATGCGAGAAGGAGTTAGGAACGTCTTTCACGAGAAAATGACTTAGGAAGTCCGCACTCGTTCCTAGGCTAACTTATCAAAAGTGCAAAGGGTAGCACTCTAAGATATTCTCGCATAGAGGTCTTCTTCGCTTCTGAAGAATTGAGGTGAGGCAAGGGTTTAAAAACCCATGCCGATCACGCGCTCGGACAGGTTTGGGAAAACTCTCCAATTGGTCAAAAAGCTAAAATAATGATATCATCTTCGGAAAGCCAATCAGAAAAGGAGTAGTGGGCTAACATTCTTGAGGGAACGTGGCCAGCCTGAGATTGACCAATCTGGTCCTCCTTTTATGACTCAATGGTCAGCGTGATCGAACTTCCTTGAATTGAAACAATGGAAACTGCGAACTTTGGAAGGAAAAACTTAGATTCGTGGAGTGACGCAATGTCTAAGATGTCCTTCTGAACAGGACGTGGTCAGCGGAGGAGGCCCACTTACTAAGAATTCCAACCACACACCGTGGGAATGGGACAAACAACTTGTCGGACCAAATTTTTAAAATGGTCCCCAATTTAACAGGGTCCGACATAAATTTAAGGCATTGTGGCAAAAACAAAACTCCAATACTACACACAACTTAGTCTTTGTTATGGCATCGAATAATATCACCTCAGTATCAGAAACTGCACTCAACATCAATGTAACATTAAGACTCTTTCCTACAGAATTATGCAGATCTTGCTTCCTTCATACCTTTCTATGACCACAATTTCACGACATAAATACACAAGTCTAGTGGGTGTGTGAACGCGTTTTGCTCTTCGTTCCTCATCCGAGGATTGTTCTTCATCCTGGGCGTGCATTTCTGGTTCTTCATCCTGGGCATGATGCATTGCTGGTTCTTCCTGAGCATGCATTGCTGGTTCTTCGTCCTGGGCATCCATTTCTGGTTCTTCCTGAGCATGCATTGCTTGTTCTTCGTCCTGGGCATGCATTTCTGGTCCTTCGTCCGGGCAGTGTATGCCCTGCAGTATACTGTCTACTCTTTTTGAAGTGGGGCGTAATCTCGGCTGTAGATGTAGCATGTCTTCCACCATGGGGATTACATCCTGATGTATTTGATGGTCCACACTTAGGCGGTACTCTCTCAGAAAGCCATCATGTAAAGCGTTTCCAAGACCAAGAGGGGATCTACCGTTGCGATTTATCACGTATGGAACTACAAAAGATTTACGATACATCTCTAGTAGTGATACAGACATCCACCGTGACGTTCAAAAGTTGCGGCGATTTTGGCCAGGCCATAATCGCCAACCTTCAATGTTCCATCGGAAGCGAGCAAAATATTGCTTGGTTTCAGGTCACGATGCACGATGCCATGGTCATGCAGGTAGGCTACAGCCAAGGCAATGTCTTTCATGAAGCGTAGCTCCTGACTAAATATTGGGGGATGTTCCAACAGAAAGTCATTCAGATTCCCCTCACTGCAGTACTCCATGACGAGGCAGAGTTGATCAAGATTCAGCACAAAGTGGTGATAGTAGCGGATGATATTACGATGATCTGGTAGCCTACACATTGCTATTATCTCATCACTGGCCATCTGTTCACTTCGAGGGAATACCTTCAGAGCACAGTTTTTCCCGGGTGAGGATCTGTACTGTCCCCGGTACACCTCACCAAAGCAACCGTCGCCTAATCTGTGGACATCGGTGAATCTAGACTGCAGTTTGTCAGCCATGACTGTTTCATATATCTCCGAGTCTGCAACGTGTTAATAGTTTTACGGAGTTTGTCACAGTCTTTTTAGTCTTGGCGTTGTTTTCTTTATGAACCTTAGACTTAGGACCGAGTTCCAACAATCCTCACTAAAAGTTGCATGGGACGCGCAGCCACATTTTTTTTTATCGCTCAAGAGTTAAAATAAACATACCCTGTCTCGTTTATGATTCTGCTCACGTTATTGTACGTAGGCCCTATATGAACATTTTTAACAACACTTATCTTTACATCGGTTCAGCTTTGGGAGCTGTTATCAACAGTCTACTTCAGTTTGGTATACTGGTAATACATTTAATAATTCGTTGGCCTTTTTAGGAATGGAAAAGTCGAAGATCTGATTGTGCATATTCCATTTCAAATTCGGAACTATCTCAAAGCTAGACTTCAATTCAAGTCGGGCGTGCCGCGCCGTGTGTAGACAGATACCGAATACCAACGCGGTGTGCACTTGCAACATACTGTACATGTAGCTTGCATTATAGCATGTCATTATCGTGTCTTGGATACTGTAGTTTCGTTGGTCTAGAACGGCCTAGTGCCCAGTCTATAGCACTTACGGCTTTACTTCATATACACCGCATAATTATCTCACTCATGTGCACATGAAATTGTACGTGAATTACATACATCCCGACCCGAGGAAAGGCAGACAGAACAACTTTTGTGTGTGTGTCCTCGGGAGTTCATCTTTTATTGGGAGCGGCCCTCGGGAGTAAGGGTGTGTGGTTGGTCTATGGGAAAGTGTTAACACTTACAAGAACAGAGGGAAACACAAAGCCCTGTCCTTGAGAGTAATGGGAAAACACGACTGTGTGTGTGATCTTGTAATCGTTTTCGACTGAGGACTTGGGACAAGGGGGGATTTGCAATAGCAATATACCCAAGGACCAGAGCCAAGTCCTCCGGAGGTTTTCGTGTACAAACCTTATGGGAGTTGTTGAGCAACAAAGTACAAACAATATGAACGAAAGAAGGGAACAATTGGAGGTCCTCACATGGATAACACGACTGAGTGCTAGGACAAGCATTACATTCACTGTGAGGACCTCCGAACAAACACGTCGGGCACGTCCACACAAGGTTTTCCCCTCTCTGGAAAACAGGTTTTGAGGCATTTTGGGGTTAGGTTTATCCGTGGCAAAACGAAGAGAAACACTAAAGGGAATCAGAGAAACAAAATTGGGTTGAAAGAGTTTACACAGTTTGAGAACGATGATTTTTTTCAATGTTTTTTTTACACGAAAACAAAGGAATGTACAAACATGTATTGCACGTGCGTGTGTAGGGCCCGCGCGCATCGCAACAGAGAACTGCCTCCTCTCGATCTCATTATGTATGGTGGGAAAGTTCGCAGTAATCAAAAGGTAATCATGCTATGATTTCATTACTTTAGTAGTGAGTTAAAAGCCTTTATCGTTTTGTCGTATAGTGGTGCGGCATAGGGACAGAATTGTGCATTTTGTGATAATAGCGTAAAACTTGGCATGTGAGGTATTCATACCATGACACCAAATTTCAGATATGGCGGCATTTCATATCTGACCCCTGGTGTACTTTGAATACTCTATAATACCTATTGTTCTTGAAAACATCACATTATGTCAAGCAATATTCACTTTTGTGTACTTAGTTCACCCTGTTGTATCCAGATGGACTTGGATAACAACGTTTTAAACTTTTTTAGCAAGCCCAATGGTCACTGTTGGAGAGTGATGCTTGCCCGATGTGCCTAAAAGGAAAATTGAGATCAGAGTTCATCCCCAAAAAAACCTCTTTGGGGTCTGACCTCATTACATGCTGTAGAATAGTTATTAAAATGCACTCTTCAGACTTCGGTCACGAAAAACTGGCATTTAAGATTAAACATGATAAATAACGGCAATCAGAGTATCATACACAAAGTTCATTGACACCTCGCAAAGGTCATCAAAGGTCAAATATGAAATGTCTAAATATCTGAAAATTCATGTCATGGCAAAAGTACCCAAAGTTTTGAAATGGGTACTAAAAAAGTGGTGTTTTGAATAGTTCATCCTCTTATTACCTAAATATAGGATACGCAAAATTCATTGACCCCTTGATGGCCATCAGATGTGAGATATGAAATTTCCCACATATGCAATTTTTTGCATTATGACTTGGGTCTTGCAAAAGTTGGGGTTTAAAGGGTTAATCGTATAAATAACTATAAATAGAGTTTAAAAGTGCAGTTAATACAGAGATCATTGACTCCAATTGTTTAATTTTCCCGCATTTGGTCGTTATTTACTTGTATGAAGACTATACATATACTTAGGTCATAGGAAAGTACATTTTCCATTACCATACATACTCACAAAATTTTATTCCAATCTCAGCATATTGCGTCTGCCAATTAATTAGGAGAAACGAGGTCAGAGGTCACCTCAAAATTGTTTCAAGGGTCTAAATTCATAACATGACTGTCAACTATAGGTGCAATACCGTTCTTTGACACTGTTGAGGCTTGGGTCACGAAAAAATGGCGTTTTGATTTATAAATACAATAAATTACAGCAACTAATATACAAAGTTCATTGACCTCTCCAAGGGTATCACTACGTCAAATATGATGTCCCCACATCTAAAAAATTTTTTCATGGCACAAAAGGTTAAGTTTTAGACTTGGGTCATGAACAATAGGGCATTTACAATTGTTACGGTAAATCTTATCAAAATCCATGGTAGGCAATATGGTTTTACAAAGGTCATGACCTCTCGCAAGGTCACCAGAGGTTCAAAATGGAATGGCTTACATATGAAAATTCTCTTTACTAGTGCAATGCCCGTCTAAAATGTGCATGTTCGGGAAACGCAAATTGCTTTGCCGCTGGTATAGGTTGCATCATTGAAGAGTTTTGGAGAACTGCTCTTGCAAACAACGCACGCGATTCAATGGTGTTGGTTTCACAGGTTGAACGCACACTTACGTCAACAATTTTGCCAAGTTTGAAGTTCGACCACCTACAATGGTCGCCCAGTCGACGGCAAAAATAATGTGCCCGTGTACCTACAAAAACATGGTACGCAGTGCTATTCACCCATTGATTCATTAGTCGCCCTGCAATGCACATGCGCGTGCCCGTCCTTTTTGCATTGTTTGCGTCATATTGAGCACCTGCGCTTTAGCTTAAACATGACGTAAACAATTGAAAAGAACGGCTGATCTGGTCTGGCCTGTCCCAGGGGCCCATTTCATAAAGCTGTTTACCGGTAAGCAAATTTTCCTGCTTACTATAGCAGAAAATATTTGCTAAACGTTAGCGTTTTTCATCACCGATTTTCAAAGTCTGCTATGCTTAGCACCAAACAAAAACGTTGCGCGCGCATCATGTCGTCTGCTATTCCCACTCGCGCGCGTCATCTGCTAGGCAAATGCGTAAACTAATTCGCGCCATATTGTTCACGCCAACCTCGTTCCCATGGGTACGAGATCTTGCTGCGCCATGTTGTTTCCCATCATGCCTTGCGCGATCTCAACCCCTGGAATTGTGTAATTTAAATGTGTCAAAATATGGCAGATTATAATTAGGCTGCAGTTTATACGTTTTACGTGCCGACGCCATCTTTAAAATGTTTAAAGTTGTGATTTTGAAGAATCAATCATTTCAAACATAAGGTTTGGACGTTGCGTTATTTAGCAAAGATTTGTATTAAATGTACGTACCCCTTTCATCCCTTTATAACCGAAGATACAGGTTTTTTTTTTAGCGAAAAACGAGGCTGCCATAATCCATATCGTACAGGCATCGCGAGTTTTGAATAAGGGAATAAAACAGTGTGAGGAGCCGGTCTTTACTGCGTGATAATGACCGGGTTTGGGGGTGACCGCTGTTATTACTTTACCTCATACATATTCATGATCGAGAGCCGAACGTTCACTGGTCAATTCACCATCACGTGCCAGATGTTATTCTTGCTGATTACCAAACGCGCGCGCGAGGATTCACGCACATTGTAAATACGCATGCGTAGTAGACTGTCGCATGGGTTACCCGCATTGATCTCCATATACACAGACATGGAGATCAATGGTTACCCGTGCGACAGTCTACTACGCGTGCGCTTTACAGAGCAATCGAGGAACTGTCGCACGGGTGCAGTACGCACGCGCGAATATCGCCCAGGAGAGATGTATGGTTGCATGGTTCGCGTAAATGTTAATTTCCAGAGCTCAATGATGCCGTACTGGAGAAAATCTATAGACCGTGTAAAGATGTCTCCTGTACAAAAGAAAGTTGTACACATTGCAAACATTTGTATTTACAACTGTAGTAACTGTATTATATTGCAAACGAACCGAACTAGTAATTGAAGTTGAATTTTTTGGTGAGCTGTACAAGTTTCCCCGAATTTTTTTTTTAGGTGCATAATAATTAAACAAAATTCGGCAACTGAATATGTATGAGGTATAGTAAAACAAATATAACATGGTTTATTTCGGGTGGACAGTCGATATTAGCTCCCCTCGGTATTGGAAGTTGACAAACTAGTTCCCTCGGCTTCGCCTCGGGAACTAGTTTGTCAACTTCCAATACCTCGGGGAGCGAATATCGACTGTCCACCCTGAAACCATGTTATATTTGTATAATGGACCTCGACGATTAACGGTGTATACAGTTTAATATACAGTTAAAATGCTCCAATTTTGCGACTTTCTTTCGGCGATATTTCCAGACTTTTTTGTGTTCGTGTTCAACTTCATGGGCCATATTTTAGCTAGTATAAGTTATACTAATTTGTTTCGCTACGGCAGCAATTTCTGTTGAGTTTACGTCGTTATACTATAACGACGTAAACTCAACAGAAATTGCTGCCGTAGCGAAACAAATTACAACAATGTTTTCATATCTTTACCTGATGTAGGAAGCTGAAATCTCGTTTACACATTCCTTGTGTCCGGAATTACAAAGATGCTTGGTTTAGGAAAGGTAAACATGTCGGTGGGTGAAGTGTTCAAAGAAAATAAATCGTAGATCTACGCTTTCGTCGTAAACACCCTCAGTATATACTGCACTGCTGTACGATGTCGTTTCAAAACTTCCTTGCGCGCACGCACGCACGCATCCCTAGCAACTGTGTCGCGTACGCGCGCGTCAGTCTCACGCGATGGGGGTTAAGCGCATGTGCAGTGCTCTATTGTTACAAGCTACCGCAGGACTGTTACTATACAAATATAACATGGTTTGAGGGTGGACAGTCGATATTCACTCCCCGAGGTATTGGAAGTTGACAAACTAGTTCGTCAACTTCCGCTACCGAGGGGAGCTAATATCAGCTGTCCACCCGAAATAAACCATGTTATATTTGTTTTACTATACCTCATACATATTCAGCGCCGATTTTTTTTCCCCGCTGCAGTATGTACTTCAAAAAGTTTTTTTGAAAAACGTGTCTAGTTCACCACTAGAATCGTATTGCTCAAATTCACTAGTTCAGTTCGTTTACAATACAGTGCAGCTGTAAATAATTGTGTACAACATTCTTTTGTACAGGATGCATCTCTTTGACCATAAATATGCTCTAGTTCGGCATCATTGAGCTCGGGAAAATAACACGCCGTGCAACCATCCTTTCGTACGTGTGTAGCTCGTTTGGGCGATGTTCGCGCGTGCGTACTACACCCGTGCGACAGTTTCACGATTGCTTTGAAAAGCGCATGCGTAGTAGACTGTCGCACGGGTAACCCGTGCGACAGTCTACTACGCATGCGTATTTACCCTGTGCGTGAATCCTCGCGCGCGCGCTTGGTAAACTGCAAAAATAACATCTGGCACGAGATGGTGAATTGACCAGTGAGAGTTCGGCTCTTGATCATGAATATGTATGAGGTATAGTAATATATTTTGACCAATCATTGGCTTGCATGGGGCTGAACGGGGCTGGATCAATGCTGGTTCAGGGGCCATTATTCGCTTGATCTTTGAAGCCGGTCCATTATCACCGTTAATGCCCGGCCACGTGATCGAGTCTCGACCAATCAGAAACCATCAACTCTCCAAGGTATTTATTAATAACAAATAATTTTTGTACTTGACGTGACGTGCAATATGGGCGCTCCCGGCGTGCAATCTTTGAAATGCGCGCGCAGTACCCTCTGCATAGCCAGTCAGCATTGTTTACGTGTACATCACGGCCAGGGGTTAGTAAAGGAACGCGCACGCACCCATGGAGTCGAGGCTGGGTTCGCGCGTATATTGTAATGTACTTATTGGTAGATTTACATTAAATTCATTATCATCATGGCTGCCACGATTGAAATTTGCTACCCCTCATCTAAGAAGAGAAAGTCAGGCCCATTCAGCTCAAAGATGGATATGGCTCTAGAAACATCACGTGCTGCAGAAACAAATGTAGTAGAGGGTGTTTTGATATTATTAAAGAAAAACACACAATGCCTGACGATAGTAATGTTGATATTTTGATAATTATGATGGGGTAGGCTAAAGGTTGAACACGTATACAACTGCTGCTGACCAGAAAGACAGCTAATACATTCAATGCGTGGTGCCATTGTTGAAAGCACAGGGGTTATTTCGCTGCTGTGTGAAACACGACAACAAAATGGTCTGCATAACCCTATAGGATCAGGACAACCCTCACTAGCAGACTCGGATGAAAACATGGCCTTTGTTTTATGGCTTCTTGGCGTCTTCAGCTTGACATTCGTCGGTCAGCCTGCACTTGCAAAGGTATAGCTCAAATTTCATATATTAATTCGCGATTGTATTCACTGAATTGACAGGCCAATGTGAATATCTGGACATTTTAGTGTTAATTGGAAAATGATTCCTTTTAAAGGTAGAGTATATCATTTTATCCTTTGTGCAATTTCTTTCGTTTGAAGCAACAATAACTGCTCAACATCTAAAGACTCGTACTTCACAACATAAACCTGATGAAGTTATAGCTCGGTGAATGCTGTACATTCCGAGAAAAAAATAACGTTCTTGGATCTCGATTTCGATTCGAAAGTTGCCGAGTCGTGTTTTGAATTGCGCCCAAAATCGGCGTCTGGGACACGTTCTCATTCAGCCGATTGCAGCTACGCGATGTCACGCACTGAACCGATCAATGGGCCCTATGCACGAGTTGGCCATTTTTGTCGAATTCCCTCAATGTATTTCAATAATTGGTAACTGTATAATGGGATGGCGCCAGACTCTTTGTGCAGGCATAATGCATCCTTATTTTACTGTCATTTTTTATTTATTTTCTTTTTTTTGGGGGGGGGGGGGAGGGCGGGGTGGGGGGGGGGGGGCTTTAAGGGAATATACAACATTGGTAAATGACAGTTTAAAGCATCCTGAAACTCATGGCCCCGTGGTGTGCTGACATTTTTAAGAAAAGTGGTATTTTTGTATCGATTTCCAACGCTTGTCGGCCGACCAGCGTTGGCAAAAACCCTGGCTTTTGTAAATACTGCTCCCGATTTATCATATTTGGTTTGTCCGCATTTAATTTGCAATCGATTACACACCAATGGACGGGTACAAGCCAGCCGGACTGATTCCCTGACCTTACAATTCCCCGACGTCTATCAATTGCTCTGTTTCATCTGAAGTGGGCGGGGAAACAGACTACAAGAACATGATTGTTTTTTCTTGGTTTTTCCAGCATCTACGAATCCAAAAACTTCAAACAAGTCAATGTAACAAAATGTTGATATAATAATAATAATAATAATAATAATAATAATAATAGTTACTCAGAAAGCAATCCATTTCTGAAAATTTTAGCAAAAGCAAATGTTGTATATTCCCTTTATAGGGAATGTTTAATTACAAATTTTATATTGTTCATTAAAGCAGACTGGAATTAATCAGCTATTAACTTGCTTTCATTTCTCTTCGCAAGTTTCAAAAACAAAGATTTACCTCACTTTCAATTCAATATGGCCGACTCGTGCCATTGGCCCATTATAGCAACCGCGCGTCAATGCTGTGCGCACCCATTCACGGCTTCGCCGAATTAAAAACGAACTACTATAGGTTTTCCCGGCTATTCTAAAACATTTTCCCTTCAAATTCACTACCTGTAATATTCAATTTCGTCCCCCCAAAAAATTGCACGCTTTAACAAACCAATTTAGTCATTTACCATTCCAATTCAAAATTTGGTCACCCTCTTTAGTCACAGGGTAGCGAATATTCGTCATTGCAGATCAAATTCGTCTTAGCTGTTGCCGAATGTCAGCATTCAGAGATCAAATTCGTCTAATATAAATCAATTAGATGAATTTGGTATTCTGAATAACAAGGAATGGCGTGGACGAGACGAAATCAAATACTCCGGGACGAAAACGTGTGCTCGTTGTTTGGATTTGCTTGAAGTGAATTTGAAATTATTTGACAAAAGACGAGATTTAACATTGGAAGTGCGCTTAATCGATGTTGATGGACGAATTTGAAAATTAGAAACGGTGAACTCGAATAATAAACATTTTAAATTAGCCGGGAAAACCCATATAACCCGTCTTTAGACGCATCTTTGGAAATGACCTTCTTATTGTTTTCTTCAAAATGACAACATGCCAGAAAGAATAGTTCCATCGGGAGAGTTTAATGCCATAGTTACCTTTCAACCAAGTAAGATTTTCAACAATAATTTTGTCAGTTACTGTTTGGATAGCTGCAAATGATATATACTATATACCTTTATACGACTATATAACAATCATAACGATGTTTTTCCACGTTGATAGCAAATAACTTCCTTACAACAAAAACTGATTTAACGTTGGTTATAAAAGAACCCAGTTTAATTGTGGAGCTATTCCCCATAATAAATAGACTTGCACTGCACTGAATATAACGTCATTGTTACATTTTCTATCGCTGTTTATCAAAGCTGCAGCTTAAAAAAACAAAACATGTTTGTGTGTGTGTGTTTTGTTTTTTGGTATTTGATACTATTCGTTATTACAAATCTCACGGCTAACGGAAACAAACAAACAAAAGGTGTATCATGGAATCATTTGGGTGAAAAGCTGAACCTCGAATAAAACTGTTTTTAAGTCATCTGACATGTCAATCCTTTTCTGACAATATGGCATTTCTTTCGTTCAGTATGTGAGTTTTTTCCATGGACTTTCACTACCATGTTCTTGGTTATAGCTATAACGCCTCTGTATGACTGTAGTGTTACCTCCAGCATCTTCATGTTAATTTCCAGGAGAAGCTCCTCTTTTTGCTTGTGGATGGACTGAGATGGGATCGTCTTGGCTACGACATGCCAGCCTTGGACACGATGGAGCAGCAAGGAGTACGCGCTGAGTGGCTAGACGGCGTGTTTATTACCAAATCGGCACCAAGTATGTTCAGCATTGCCACGGGTACGTGAAAAAGATACATTCGCTTATTGTACAGGGTGAGTAAAAAAAAACCCAAACCCCAAAGTCGGGACTATTGTTTCTAATCAGTGAAGTTCTGCATGGAGCACTTTAAAAATCTAGGATATGAATACCCAATTCATACGATTTTTTTAGTACAAGAATCATTCAAATCACTAAATGTTCTTTTCAAGTTTTAAGCAAAATTTTAAACAAAACAATCCACACACATTCTACGGTGATTTGTTTTCGTTTTGCTGAAAGAACACTTACCTTTTTGTGATCCGTGGAAAGAACTTTAAAACGGTGGTGGTGTTTAAAATTCCGTAACTATAAAAAGTACATGAGTTATTTGAATGATTCTTGCACTAAAAGAAAGCTTATGAATTGGGCTTTCATTTCCTAGATTTTGAAAGTGCTGCATGCAAAATTTCACGAAAACAATGGTCCCGACGTTTGGGTTTCATTTTTTTTACTCACCCTTTATTTAAATAAATGCTTTAAGTTGCTCAGTCAATAAGTTCAGTAATGTAATATCACAATAGATAAAAGCATTAGCCTTATTATAAAGGGATGTAAAGGATGTGAAGTAAAAACGTTCTTTATGGGAACTGGTTGTCTCAATGTGAAAAAGCATTTCCAAATCAGAATTGAAAAGGTATGCTGCCAGTTAGCAAAAGAAATGTTTCAAGTATGGGGGTATTTCTAGTTTTTCCCAAGTAAGAATCAGTCAGGATAGTAGGTGTTGCACACTCAGAAGGGGCGACAAAATTAATGATGTCAGATAATAATAGTTTGTGGGAGGGGTTCGAGTCTAACCCACTTGATAAGACAAAATGGCACCATTCATAACACTCTCTGGTGTATAAGATGTTGGGGATCGGTGGTGTTGGAAGATACGTACAATGAAGAGGCTACAAGAGCGCCACCTAACGTTATTAATGGCCCTTCTACTATTTCCTAAACTATTTGAACACTTCTGCTTACGTTTGTGAACTCCCCTCCAATTAACCCTTTGATTACATTTACAAACACTTAGAAATAAGAAATGGAAATGACTGCAGCGTTGATTTTGTTTGTAATCACTTTGTTCTTTCTTTCAAGCACTCAGGTTGTTCTTAACTGGCATACTATGGAGAAAGTAATTGATGAGAGGGTCTTCCGTTTCTCTTTATAGGGCTTTACATTGAGAATCACGGTGTTGTACATAACTTGGCTTTCAATCCGTCTACCGGAGATATATCAGATGGCTGGTCCGAGACATTAAACACAACGTGGTGGTTCAACTGGGCGGGAGAGCCCCTCTGGATTACGGCCATGTCGCAAGGTCTCAAAGCGGGCTCCTTCATGTACCCAGGGGGACAGACGCCAATCAACGGCACCTACCCGGATCGCTTTATCGGCTACACCAGTGAGACATATGAGAAATACTTATATCTGCCTGATCGCGCGGATATTGTGTTTGATTGGTTGTACATGGACGGACTAGACGTCGTGTTCCTGTACGTCGGTAAGCTAGATGACGAATTACACAACACAGGGATTGGCGAGGAAGCGGGTAATGTAGCAGACGAGGTGAACGAGTTGGTATCCTACATACTGGAAAAGATGCAAGAGATCAGCATAAGGGACAGCTTGAATTTCATCATCGCCAGCGACCATGGCATGGCGGATATCTCTAATGACAAGGCGCTCTCATTGTTCGACTACATCGACGAGTCGCTTGTGGAGTTGGTCATCTCGGATGGTGGGTCCGTGTTTCAAATTCTACCAGTAGATGGCGCCCTTGAAGAGGTAAGGCATGGACTCATCCGAAGTATACCAAGTTAAAACTTCGCTCCGCCGTTTTAATTTAACGCGTCTCCGGGGCGGTCATAGAGTTGAAATCAAGTCGGTATTGGCCGGGTTTTGTTCGCCAACCGCGCCGCGATATGGACATCGCATACCGTATCGTCCCACAGTATACTTGTAGCGTGCGGTATGGCACTTACATGCGGGACGGTTTGTGCGTCCCCCGACCCCAAGATGCGTGTACAACGACTCCAATTACCGATGGCGTTATAGACCGCAAACCAATTACCGACTTGAATAACTTGTTCTCGGCTTTGTACACAACCTATGTAAATTGCCACAAGATTTGGACGGAGCAGTCTGAGAATTTGGACGGAGCAGTCTGAGAATCAATCAATTCATAATACACCTTAAGGTCGGGTTAAGCATGCAGGCCGAACCGACCCAAAACGTAGATAAGATATAAACCGAATCCGAACTGAAACCGATCTGAACTCCCATTATCCGAGCCGACCCTAAACGACTTAAAACCGAACCGACCCGAAAAAAACCCCAATATTTGGCTTGGGCAACGATGCCCGCTTTTTGTGCCTGAACTTATTAACCGCGTCGCTTGAAAATTGTCGTCTCTCAGTAAAGAATCATACCGTTCGATACGATGCAAACTCATTACGGTACTGGTGGGCCTACACGTTATTGACTTGGCGTGATAGACCGCAAGACTGCCTCTGAGGAGGCCAATACAAGCGGTACAAGGACCAGCTAAAGCAAACCTTGAAAGCCCGCAACATCCCTACTGAGACCTGGGAAGAGCTTGCCAAAAACAGGACCACTTGGCGTGCTGTATAAGCTGGAATTGAATGGTTTGAGGCTCACCGCACCCAATCTGCCATAGACAGACGTACTCGACGTCACCAGCGGTTGCAAAACCCAGTGCCAGCAGCTGATGCTCACATCTGTCCTGACTGTGGTCGTTCTTGCCGATCACGTATCGGCCTGCTCAGTCACCGCAGATGTCACCAACTACATCTTCGTGCAAATCCGATATGATGCATGCGCAAGTTATCGTAATTAGTGACGGACTACCAGAGAGAGTATAGTACCATGTAGATGCTGAAATTAGAACTCTTGAATTACTCAGAAGCTTCCTTGTACCATTTCTAAGTCATGCAGTCAAACAATTTGCTAACAGAGCACTGCGTAGGCTAACATGCATGGTGGTGTAAGTGGTAGCGGTATTAGCGGCGCTACGTGAAAGTGGGGAGGCGGGTGGGCACTCTACGGGTAAGCATTAATTTGCTAGTAGAATCGGCCTACTCTTTGGTGGGGGATTCTACTGCGCTCTACTTACCCGTAGGGTATTGCTACATAATATGCAGAAGAGCACTGTTTTTATAGGTGGGTTCGCTACGACACGAGCGTGTACATGTGGAAGGCAGGCCACAAGGAAGCATGAGCCATATAAGCCAACAAAATTAAACCAAATAAAGTAAATCGTATATGAATCGGCTGTTACCATAAGGAGGTAAGCCGTCACTGGTTGGTACTGTGGGGCGCCAGCGGAGGAAGAACCGGATCTCGTTGCGCTTCTGGGGCAGTATAGGCTGCACGACTAGTACTGCCGTCGGCGCAGCACATCCTCGAGATAACAAGTGGTGATTGAAGGTGTTGGAGGATTCCAACATGCCGCATATGATATCTGCAAGGGGCACTCCTTTGAAAAAGCCCCAAGAGGTCGCCACGCTGCGAACTTCGTGTGCGTGTACTTCAGGATAGGCCAGTCAGCCGATGCGAGTTGTATGGCCGTCACGACCCAGCGAGCGTTTGCATCGCGGAATGCTGGACGATGCGGTGAAACCATAGTTATGAACAAAGCAGGCCTATCACTTGAGGGTCCGGACAGGACACCAGAGCTTGTCCTCCGGGACAGAGGAGGACTTTAAGTCACGAACGAAGATGTCAGGTGGGGAGAACGGTCTTCTTGAAGAAAGAGCGATGGGGGATAAGGCGGACCCCGCTGGGCTCCCAATGTAAATATCATTGACTTATGATCAGGGCATGGAGTTCACTCATGCGGCGGACTGTAGCTGCCATTAGGAGGAAGGCCATTTTCAAGGAAACTTTCATAAGAGTAGCCTGGTCGAGAGGTTCAAAAGGAGGCCGGGCGAGAGATTACAAAACCTGCCCAAGATCCCATGACGGTAGGAGTGTTCGTTTGAGTATGTAAACACCGGCAATCGTGGACGTAGGACAAAAGAATTGGGGCGCAAACAAGACGTCCACGATTGACCGAACGTCCACGATCTCAAATCGTGTACAAAACCAATGAGAGCTGTCGCTAAAAAGTTAGAGTACAAACAAAGGAAAGAGGATTAGGGACAATGGAGCGTCCACGATTGCCGGCATTTACACACGTGTGTGTGTTCCTGTCTTGTATTACGCTCGAGGACAGACACACAAAGGGAGAACAAAAGATCCTTTCAGTCCTCGAACGACGGTGCTTTTGTTCGAAACTGTCCTCGATCGTACGTTTACGTGCTTAGTCTTCGTTTGAAGCAACAAAAGTGTTCAAAATCTAATGAAGGATACTGAACAACTAACCTGATGAAGTTTCAGCTCAGCTTCAGCTGTATATTCCGATAAAAACAGCATTCTAGGATTTCAATTTCAAATCAAAACTTGCTGAATCATGTTTTGAATTGTTCTGAATTGCAGCTATACGCGATGTCGCGCACTGATCCGACGAATTATAGCAACCGCGCGCGCCTGCGCGTCGTGACAATGCTTGCGCGCGCTGCGCCGAATAACAAAACGAACTACTAATTTAAATTTTCCTACGGTGCGTCTTAAGACGCACCGTTGGAAAGGCCTTCTTTCGTTGATTACTTCAAAATGACAGCTTGCCAGAAAGAATAATTTCACAGGGAGCTTAGTCCCCTTACTATCTTTCAACCAAGTATGATTTTCAACAATAATACGCCAGTTACTTTTTCGGATGGCTGCAAATGATGGACTATAGCTTTAAAGTAAGGAAGTACCCTTATGCCTATGTAAGCGTGTGGTGTACGTGTGTGTGTGTGGGTGAGTTTGTGTTACATACCCTATGTGGACTTGTGAACAAAAGAGGTCCACATAATGCAGGTTGTGTTAACCTTATGTGGACTAAGCCGTGTCCACATAAGGTTTTGCCCTTTCTGGAAAACAGGTTTAGAGGCATTTTTGGGTTAGGTTTATCTGTAGCAGAATGAAGAGAAACACTATAGGGAATCATAGAAAAAAAATTGGGTCAAAAGAGTTTTTCACAGTTTAAGTAAAGTTATTTTTTTGTACCGAGTTTTCTTAACTACACGAAAACAAAGCAATGTCCACACTAGGTATGTAATGTAAGTCTGGGTGTGTGTGTGTCTGTGTGTGGGGGGGGGGGGATGTTCGAGAAACATACATGCCTCTGAGAAGATGTGTGAGGGCAGTGCAATCAGAAATCGAAGAACCGTCCTGGAAACCTGGCTGAACGGCCGCAATTTCGGAGCAATAGTTTTGAGACAGTGCGAACCGCTAGACTCGACTGGAAGAGGTGGAGAAGAAAATCGCAATCTTCGGTCAGAGTTAAAGCGAAGGGATCCACTGCACGCCGTCTGCACCATAATGGTGCCGTAATCGGTTGACCGGCGCCGACTATGGGCCAAGATGGTGGCAGCCTCTTGAGAAAGTCGAGCATGTCTGAAGGAACGCTGGACAACGGCCAGCTTGTCAAGTGTAGGCTCGTCGGATCGGGGTGAAGCAGATCCGACTGAGGTTGACAATGAATGTCTGGACATTGTGGGAGGAGGAGGCGGGGCATGATAGAGAAGGCGGACAAGTCGTGGAGACCACGGTTGTCGGGGCCAAAATGGGGCAATCAGGAGGACCCTACATAGGTTCTGCTCGATCATCCCGATTACTTTGAGTAAAAGGGAGATCGGAGGGAAGCGTAGGCAGACGATTGGTGCACGCAAATAAGAGGGCGGTTGAGTATTGTTGAGTATCGATGTACGGACGATCCAACTGAGAGAAGATCGTCCGCGTGACCGAATTTGGGAGAGTCCACTCCATGGGGTGAATCGAGCCCCGGGAGAGAGCGACGGCTTTGGTGATGTTTGTGCCCGCTAGATGAACCGCTCTGTTGGCCGCTGAGATGGGATCGACTTGGATTTGGACTTGTTGATGAGGAAACCCAGGCATTCGGCTAGGGAGCAGGTCAGACGGACTGCGCAAGCAGCTGATGCCCGCGATTTGTCGATGATGAGCCAGTCGTCGAGGCACATGAACACCTGTAGAACTTGACGATGGAGGGCACAGTCTAGCGTCTTCACAATTCTGGTGAAGACCCGAGGGGTCGTGGACATTTAAGCCAAAAGAAAGGGCTTGGAAATCGTGAGTGGTGCCTTCGTAAGAAAACAGAAGGAACCTGGTGTGGTGTGGGGACGACACCTCTCTGACTCACCAGTCACCCCCGATCCCACCCCAGTGGTTCCCTTTGATCTGGTCGCCCTCCTCGACGCTCGAGTTTATACCCCTTCCCGTCCGACGAGACGACCCAGTAATACCACGCCTACCGTTGCTGACGACGTACGTGATAACATTGTCGCCGACTCTGGTCACCGGACCTTGACTACATCCCTGTTTCCGGACGATACCCGTAGCAACGAACGGCACTTCAACACTTTGACAGCGCCGCTCGTTTGGATATAACCCACACATCGTTTTCGCTCCTATTGTCCGAATACTTATTTCAGGGGTGTCAAACCATTCCAGCCGACAGGCTGGGCCTTGGCACTGATGATGATGGTGCCCTCCACCAGCTCCTCCTCTGGTATCTCCAGGATCAGCTTGAAGACCTTGATTAAATAGTTGATCCTGCGGAGTAGCTTACCCATCGTCTGCTTTGTGTCATTGCTCATGGTCGTGGGAAGCGGCATGTTGGCAAAGCGGGTGGTTTAATTGCTCCAGAGCCGAGTCAAACACATACAGCTGGACATACCGAGGTGTACGGTCTCCCAGGATCTGCTTGAAGGGGCCTAAAGCACTGGGTGACCCTCCCATGGAAGGTGACCGCGGGGTTCCATCCAGGGAGGCGGTGTCTCTAATCTCCCTTGTCGGTGATGCTGAAGAGGCAGACCTCATTGTTGACAGGCCGAACGTGATTGCGGAACAGTATAGCCTTTGGGCTGTTACTGAGCCAGAGATCGTTTGTCTCTGGTGGCTGGGTGGGGAAGGTCGTGAGGTTGGCCTTGCCGTCTTCACAGCAGATGCTGGGGGGGGGGGGTTCGTTCATGAACAGCAAGGCATTGCAGTGATGACATACCTTGTTCCATGGTTCTAATGGTGTCCTGCGTGTCATTGAGCTCGGGTATCTGACGGTGCCAGCCAGAACTGCCTGACTTTGACACGCAAGATGCGAAGTGACGTGGGTGCGTGTTGAACAGCTCTTAATGTGTCTATTGTTCATATTCTGGGCGTCCCTAACCACAGAATGTTCCCTCCTGGCAGCTGTACGTGGCGGTCCTCCACCTGCTCCTCCTCCCTAATCTCAGAATCTTCCCTCCTGGCAGCCATTCTCTGCTGGTTCTGAAGTCGTTCTTGGTGTCTTTCCCCACTTTTGTGCCTTGCCCTTTGTAACCTCTTCCTTTCTGCAGCTGCTTATGGAGGGGTGGAGCTGATCTAGAGCTGTCGGGGTTGTGAAGTTGTTCGGGTGTGTACTGACCTGTGGCACTGACCACCGGCTCCTCTTGTCAGTTGTCAGAGCTTTCTTCCACTGAGAGGGAGCGGATTCAGGGCTGGTGGGAGCAGGCATCGGAGCGACAGGAACAGTTATTTGTCCGTTGAAGACAAAGAGATAGTTGTCTGGGCTACCTACCCGCTCCAATGGCACCACTTTGGGCAGGGAGCCGTCGTCGCAGGAGAACGAGTTGTCACTTTTTTGAGTAGGGCGTAATAATGACCGCCGTTGTACAAAGTCCCATTGCGGTCGATGATGGCTGTCAGCTCAAACTGAACTCCTTGGAGTGAGAGCACGTCAGAAGTCGTCCCGATGGTCTGGAGCTTCTGAAAGTGGCCTAAAGGCCTGAGCCCAAATCTCTTGAGCTGAATGAGGAGGCAGTCAGGGAGCCTGCTAATCTTCCTCTGAGCATGAAACAGCTTGGGCTCGCACTCCATCTCCCTGCCTTGATCCACAATGCCCCCGTTGTTGCAGCACCGAGTGCATCTCTTCCCCTCTCCTCTGCTGCAATCAGCCGGTGTTTTATGTATATGAATTTTCACATTCTTTGTTAGGAATGGCACAAGGAAACTCTGAATAAATTGTAGAGTTGTAAATTTGACTTCCTCATATAGTCAAAAACATAGGATTCAGAAGCAAAATTATCAAAATCGGTCAAGTGGGTAAAATTCTGTGTGGTAAAATAGGTGTTCAAGTTATGAAGGAAATGGAGGCTATTTGAAAATTCAAGTGGATAATGGAATTGCTCAAAATGGTTCCAGGGGGATGAACATACAGATTTTGGTGCTTGTATCCACATTGGAAAGATGGTTACAGTAATCTGCTGCACTAGTAACCATACATAATGTCGCGTCCTTTCTCTGATACATCATTTGTCCCTGACAGGTGTACAGTAAGTTGATATCCGCCAACCCGTCCATAAATGTGTTTAAGAAGGAAGACTTCCCATCGATGTTTCACTACGCCGACAACCCCCGGAACCTGCCTATCATTGGCTATATGGATATCGGCTGGACTATGTACAAGGTAATCAGGCGGGATAAGCCCTGCTCTTAAAAAATGCAACGGATATCTTCCTCCGTGCGAATTATCGAAAAGTATCACAGGAAGAATTGGAGCACTATCTACACTTTCGTAAATTTTCTACATATTCATGTTTGAAATATCGTTCCCGCGTATAGAATTTCAGAGTATTACAAGAACTGTCACTATTTTTCAGTTTCCACTGATTACTTAAAATATTAAAAAGATAATTCTAATATCACATATTATTTGGCGTAAATGATCATACGTGGTCTATAAGACAGCTTTTTATTAGGATTAAAGAAAGTGTTGATGTCTTTTTAAGTCTTCTTCAATGAACCGATGAGAATACTTGAGCTCTTTGAGGTACAGTGTCATTATGATTCATACAGCGTCGATGTAATGTCAGTAATCGATAATTAATTGATTGGTTTTGATTTTGGTTTATTTATCACAGAGAGTCAATCAATCTGAAGTCATCTATAAAGGAGGGCATGGCTATGACAACCGGGACATGACTATGAAGACATCTTTCTATGCCCAAGGACCAAGCTTTAGGCAGGGCTACCTCGCCAAACACTTCGAATCGGTAAGACTATACGTCAAGTGTGGCTAACTCCGACTTCATGCTTTCTACAACAGTCGATTATAAAGTCCTCAAAGGATGATTGCATACTGTCCGTTATTATTGTCAGGTTTCTTGCAGAAATATATATTTTGTTTTTAACTTGCTATTTTTCTGGCAAAATGACATATTAAAGGAAAAATGTGCCTTTTATTGATGGAATAATCACGTCACAATTTCGCAGTATTTGTTGCCCGACAGTCGTTTGTTCTGACAAGGTATACTGATTCCCGCCCCTGTCAGCATCGATAACGCAATGACCAGGAACCAGTCTACTCGCAGGTCGAATCTGTTTGTGCGCAAAAGCAGCCACAATCAGCCCTTTTTCAGAGGGTTGCAGACTACCGAAATAGACTTAGTAGTTTTTCGGTTAATTCAAAATAAAACATTCAATGTCAACTGTTTTGAAGAGCGCGGATACATCTTGAAAAGTTTCAGTTGCGTATTTTTTTTCAGAGTAGCAGAACCGAAGTGTGCAAGGTGGGGAGCTGATTGCTGTCGTGTTGTTGAAGTGCTATAATGAATGCTCCTACAAATGATGCATTTTTCAATGTATGCATGATCGTACTCAACTTTGGCTACAAATAATATTTTCTTTTGTTATTGGGTCGTACCAATTACCTGAGTAAAACTAAGTTACATGCATGTGGAACCGATTGTATGGAATATGCAACAGCCGACTAAAGTGGGTAGTGGAACAAAAATTGGCTTCAAGCATAACAATTATATTTGCTGTTATTACTTTGTGTATTCTTGGTTCAAATAAATGAGATCATTTATTATAGGTAAACATCTACCCACTGATGTGTGAACTACTTGGCATCGTGCCAGCTCCAAACAACGGCTCCCGTGACAACTACAAAGACATGTTGGTATCCGAGCACCCGCCTACGTCACCGCCCGACTGTGGTGCAAGCGCCCTCTGTAGTCAATGTCGCTTCATCCTTTTGACGTTTGTTGTCGCCGCCTTGATTCAAAATTCCTGAGCAATTTTTACCACTGGGTTAAGCTTAATAACGTTTCATTTAGTATTTTTCAACTGCCACGATTTTCAGGAACTTTGTGGAGATGACATCGTAGCTTAACCCCTTTCACTAATTTCTGTTAACCAAATTTAATTTCATTTAGTTTAATTTTGTATTTTTTGTATTGTGCGCCATGAGCGTCTTGCCTGGCGGATACCGGCGCCTTATAAATGTTCGTTATTATTATCTGCAATGTTTTAAGTGCTGTTTCCAAACAAAAATTTTACATAAACATATTCCGGTATATATTTCCATTCAATTTGCGGGTCAATTTGGACTGTTTAACAAATCACGTATTTTTAAAAATCGCCTTCACGTCCACGCTTTCTTAAAAAAAGTATTTTTAAGGCGGCGTGGACGTTATAATTACAATGATCGTGAAAACACGTACTGCACGTTGGAAATAACAACACCAAGTACACGATGTAAATCCATTACTAGCCAATTGCGGTATCGAATCAGGAAACAGGAAGAAAGTTTCCTATCCAGGGCTTACTATTGGAAACGAGGTTGGAAATAAAGTAAGCACTGGGGACGAGGTTGAGTCAGCGTCGTTTACGTGTTCATCTCGGCCAGGGGTTAGTGAAGGAACGCGGACGCGCCCATGGAGACGATGCTGCGGGCATCTTTATTTTCCCCATTCAAATCAACGTTACCAAAGCGAAGGAAAAATAGTCTGGTTTCCTTTTGCACAAAAAACCCATTATCGTTCGGTACTGTTATTGGATACATGAACATGACTGAAAATGGTGGCAGCATGATAAAGGTCCATAGTACTGATAGCCCACTGTTTTGCCGATGCTCCCATTGGTTTTCAATGGCTTTTTAAAGCCTCCCTTTTCACCAAGAATTCGCTTGCAAATAGTCCCCTATTAAAGGTTTCCTGCTTTACAATTTGGGATGGAGCAATACTGGTCATATTACCAACCAAATGGTATTTTTGATAATTATATAGGGTGCGTTCGAGCGAGTTACTCTTGCTACTCTCCCGAGTGCAATAAAGTGCTGCGTGCGCATCACCCGCGGCGCAAGAGTACTCCCGGTCGGGAATTTCTTTTCCGTAGGCACGGTTGCTCAAAAGTCATAAATAATTCAACAGTTTCGATCGGGCCAGTATGTTCATACAGTTCATTCATGAAACAGAACAATGATATCTAGAGTTTTGTTGTTATTTAGTAAACAAGTTTCCTTTAAAGCATTTAAAAATACGGACGTCGTCGAGCTTACAGTAGCGTGATGAGCTATGGATACAAAGATCCCTGGTTGGAATCCACGTCGTCACTGATGCTCGACTATTAAATTTTTCTTCTCTGATATTTATCGTTGAGATAATTTTATTTTAAGGGGAAAGAAAAGAGAACGAGAACCTCAGTGTCTTGCAACGATTCAAAGAAAAACTGATTTATGCATGACATTTTGAGCCACCCACCAACGAAAACAAATTTGTCTCCTTGTCTGACCGAGAGTTAGACTTGGCCCAAGTCTGGGTTGCGCTCGGTCTGTGCCTATATAGTAAATCCACGCTGTACAGTGTTATGCGTTCCCTCATGCGTCGAATCCGGACATCATGTTAGAAACGTACATGAACGTGTTTTTTTTTTCAAGTGATGCAGCATTTTGATTTTTGTGATATTTTTGTAAAGTTATTTTCTAAGATACCGACTTAAAGCAATTACGACCTGCGTCATTCTACTATAGATACAGACCGAGCGCAACCCCGATTTGGGCCAAGTCTACGATGAAGTAACACACGGAGTATACAGTGTTTATACGTTGGTGAAGGGCAAAATCAAATTTGATTTACATCACCCCAACGCAAAATTCCATCGTATGAATAAATAGCACCATGCTATTTTGTTGTTTCTAGACACCATTTTGGCCTCAGGTTTATGAGAAATAGCTACCCTTCTCTTCTGAATCAATGAATCTTTGTTTCTCTCTCTCTACAAACCTTCTTGTGCAAGTATTATTGGGGATTTCCAATCTGGAATGTGATGTCCTTTTAAACAATTATTTTTGAATATTTTAAAATCTTACAGATTAATTCCCATTTTAGCATGAATACTTTTTACCATTTCAGGTCTCCAAAAAATGTACAAATTTTCAGAAAGTTTGCATTAAAAAGGTAATAATAATAATAATCCCTTGTCCTTTTTCCACGAATTTCGGTATTTTTAATAATTAGACCACGAGCAAAAAATATAACCTAATTGCGACAGCCGGTGTCTCCCTATTATCGAAGAAATTACGATAACGTGTCCCCCTAATGGTATATTTGTAGGAATAAAGGCATTCATAATGGCGTTTTATGTAAAATACCTCAAAGCGCCTCACAATAAAAGTTACTTAAAGTGTTACAGTGACAAGTACTAAACAAGGAAGCAAACAAATCTAAAATGCAAGTTAATATGCCAGAAAAAGAATTGAAACCTAAAAAAAACTTTAAAAGCCAAATCAAAAGTATTCAAAATATCAATTAAACAGTGCAGCTTGGCTACAATAGCAAAACGGCTACAATAGCAAAACGGTACCATGCAACACATAAACACCCGACCAAAAAAGCAAAATGCATACAAATTAACCACTGCATTGTGTAGCAAAAAAATTGTATAATGCAACATGAAACAACAAGCCATACGATACAAGACAAAACACGTGGTAGCAAAAATCAACAAGCCAAAAAGGCAGTTAAATTACCAGGGAAAACTATATAACGAGAGACATAAACACAAAGTGAAAAAATACAACTGTATAGGCCAGGAACCGTTTGCATAGGTAAAAACAAATCATGGAAGGCACTAAAAAACACCACAAATAAACCTTAAGTCGAAAATAAGCGAGTCTTAAGCAGAGATTTGAATGTGTCGAGTGGTTCTGCTTGACGAAGCCTGGTTGGCACATTACTCCACTGGTAAGCTGCAGCGTAGCATGTAACAAGTTCATGCAGTTCACGTGAAGTGTCATATTAAGAGATGAATCCATGCCGACACCAAGGTTGCGAGCATGGTTGGCCGGATGAATAGCTGGGACTCCAATAGTGATGGTTGGCGAGCAAGAGACGGTGCTAAACTTGGAGGTGAAGGGTAACAGCTCAGTCTTACTTTCATTCAAAACTAATTTATTGGGAATACACCATGATTTGATATAATCGATACAGGCCTTCATTATTTTGATGGCTTGGTCGTGATCCTTAGGGTCAAATGTGAGATAAACTTGAACATCATCAGCACAAACAGCACACTGAAGACGATAAGCAGCTATGATGTGCTGGATAGGGGCACTGTGCACAGGGAAAATAGCACTGCGTTACACTGCAGGCGACAGCAACAGACACGCACATCTTTAATGGCCACGGATTGAGTTGGATCAGCCAAATGTAGAACCTTCAGCAAATCACGTCAACTTCATTTTTCTTTGCAGAAATCATTTATATACATGTATATTCTATCACAGTTGTCTTTGCTACTCCATTTTCCAAACCTTGATTTAAAGCTATAGTCCATCATTTGCAGCCATCCGAAAAGTAACTGGCGTAATTATTGTTGAAAAACATACTTGGTTGAAAGATAGTAAGGGGACTAAACTCCCTGTGAAATTATTTTTTCTGGCAAGCTGTCATTTTGAAGTAATCCACGAAAGAAGGCCTTTCCAACGGTGCTTCTTAAGACGCATCGTATAGGAAAATTTAAATTAGTAGTTCGTTTTATTTGAAGAAGCGCGCGCAAGCATTGGCACGTCGCACACGCACTCCCGGTTGCTATAATTCGTCGGATCAGTGCGCGACATCGCGTAGCTGCAATCGGCTCAGCGAGAACGTGTCTCGGACGCTGAATTCAGGCGCAATTCATAACATGATTCAGCTACTTTTGATTTGAAATTGAGATCCTAGAATGCTGGTTTTTCTCGGAATATACAGCTGAAGCTGAGCTGAAACTTCATCAGGTTAGTTGTTCAGCACCCTTCTTTAGAATTTGAGCACTTTTGTTGCTTCAAACGAACAAAATGCACAAATTACAAATGATGGACTATATCTTTAATCTCTGAGTTGAGCTTCAGGCTCCAGTGTAATGATTTTAGGTTCCTGACCGGAGACACGGCCCTGTAAAAGAGAATGTTCTGCTAATGAATAAGAGACCAACAACATGTCGAATTTAGTGTAATCTCCTCTAAAAGTGGGACAGGCGAAAATCAGAGATGAAACTGAGTTGGAAAGTAACCCAAGAATTACAATTTTGATGAATGTTGATTGACGAGTTCCCCCAGAATAGCAATACACTCAATTTCCACCAGGGCTCCCTGAAAGCAAAGAACAGGGCAACTGTGAGTGACATGTTATAAACAATAATAGGGAGACACTCCAAAAGACTTGTATACTTGTATAAGGGAGCGTCTCATATGTCAGAACCCTTGGAACGTTCCATTAGGAACCCACTGACTGTTCTTTGTTTCCCCGGGAACATCGCGTGTTCTACTTGGGAACACTCAGTGTTCCCAAAAGGAACGTTCCGATGGGAACATTTGATGATTTTTGGGAACACGGGCTTACTTGTGAGTTCCCGGCCAACACGAATGTACTCTCCTTTTCCTGTGCATGTACATGACTTCATGCAGTAAAATGTGCACGTTTATTGTACCTCTTTGCTTGTTTGTGTTGTCCACTGACGTGACCCGGCTATGTCCCCGTCGTATGCGACTGGCGCAGCACCAGTTTCACAACAAACGTGTGTTATTCATATTCCGTGCACCTCGCACTATAGTACTGGAAAGGCGCGTTCATGGGATTGCCTTGCCCGGGATGCCCAGGTGCACCGGTACTCTTCGAGTATCGGTAAAGATGGTTGGAGATTGTTTATTTTGTTGTGGTCACAAAAATGTTAGTATTATCAGAGTTCAGGCCCCTGTTCAAGTCCCAGTAACTTGGACCCTAACGGTACGGCCACATCAACCGGGCAAGCGGGTGCACAGGCCCGACAAAAAGATGTGCGTGGACAATATCTCATCACTTGTGCTCTCATCACTGGTGATCACCCGATCAGTCTGTGTTCCAAAAAATGAACATTTGAAATGGAACGGGAACGTTCCGACTTATATGAGACGCTCCCTAAAACTAACCCCAAACCCTCCCATAAGCACATTTTTAACCCCAACCCCCCATTTTCAATTATACTACAGTGTACATGTATTCTCAACCTACTAATTTTTAGGTAACTTTCAACAGTAAAATTCCGTCTACAAATGATAGTTAAGGCATTTCTATATAGTGCCCAGTGTCTCCCTAATGTGAAATAATTTACCACCAAGGATCTCCCAATACAAGTGTCTCCCTATGTAAGTGCCATGCAGACTTGTAGACATTTCTGGGATAACTTGGGCCTCAAGCTTTCTCAGGGGAGCATTCATTTTTGTTTGCTTATATAGTTTGAATAGTTTATATTACTTAAAGGGGTGCAAAGTCTTTGAGCTGGTAGGGTAGAATCCCCCCCCCCATAAAAAGGCCTCAATTTAATATACCTCTGTCCCCAATGTAGATGAGTACAAAGTTTAATTAAATTAAGAAGTGATTTTAGATTAAAGAACTTACAAGTGGAAGTGCACCAGCTTGATATGCAGCTCTGGCTGGACGGTTGGAAGTGAAAACTGAAAACACACATATAAATGATTTTAAAGGGAATGTAAAACATTTGCTTTTGCTGCAATTTTCAAAAATTAATGGATTTGGAGGATTAGTATGTGACTTGTTTCACGTTTTGGGCTTGTAGATGCTGGAAAAACAAAGAAAACCATTCATGTTCTTGCAGTCTGGTTCCCTGACCCCACTTAAAATGAAACAGAGAATTTATAGACTTTGGGGATTGTAAGGTCAGATAATAAGTCTAGCAGTCTTGTATCCCTTCACAGGTGTGTAATCAATTGTAAAAAAAAAAATGCGGAATAACTAACTATGAAAAATTAGGAGCAGTTTTTGAAAAAAGCCAGTTTTCGCCGGCCGTTGATGGGGTACTTGTGCATGGAGCCCATACTTGACACCACTTTCAATTTACCATTGGAAATTAGCAAGCATAGAACGGTATAGACAACAACTCACACTTCTGATATATTTCATTGACGACACCATAGTCTGCAATATTGGCCAGCAGCACTGTTGTCTTCACAACTGAAAAAAATTGAATAAAAAATATTGGGTGAATTTGAGGGAGATACATCAGTATATTGCACGAGCTGTAACAATATTTCACTAATCGATATCCCCCGAATAAAAGCCATCCAATAACATTTATTTATATTTATATCAGGCTGATTTGATTCGCAAAAAAAAATACATTTCAGGACACTGTCTTCATTTCTCCTATTTCAAAAAATGGCTGAATAATTTTTCGAGTCCTGGAATGATGTTACAACAATTTAAATTATACTTATTACTTCCAACGTTCAAGTGAAATTTGACTTGTCTCATTTAAATACCTCTGAACGGAAGTGCTTGCCATATTTTGGACTGAAATAACTTGAGTTTGCCCTGGTATCAACTATCTAGTGTTGAGTGATTCAATAAGATCCTCAAAACAGCCTAGACTGTGGAATTAAGATCCCAGTTTACAGGGAGATATCAGTATTTTTACATAGAAAACAAAAAAGCCTTAGACCACAAAGTACCTAAATCTTACCATTATCATAGGTAATGTTCTGCGATTCCAAAACAGCACCAATGTTCTTCAATGCCTGCAAAACCAATGTAATTCTTTCTTGTTTGATTAAAGATGTATATTTTGTATTTGTACTCTTCAACAAATTCAACATTTAACAATTTTTTTCTGGCAAATTTTCAACTTGTTTTTATTGCTAGAAATATATACAATTTAGAAACATAACTAATTTTTGGGGGTCAACCTTGAAAAAAGCACTGAGAGTACATCTTTCACTAAACAATCCTTTGGTTTTGATTTTCAACGAGCATCAAATGCTATTCGAAAAGGTAAAAGTACAATAATTACAATGCAACAGTGCCCAATTTCACGGGACTGCTTAACAGTCAGCAGGAAAGTTGTGCTAACCTGTAAAATTTGCTAACCTTTAAGCTCTATCACGGCGTGGATGTGCTGACGGTTGCGCGTGCATGGAGATATATATTGTTACGTCACCAAGTTAAGCAAATTTTGTCCTCTGAAGTAAGCGCGCCTTTTGCTGTGCTTACTGCTTACGGTATCCATAAAATAGACGGAGGTTCTGTTAGCATAAAATTGTTTGCTTAGCAGCGCCGTGAAATTGGGCCCAGTAGTTTTTATCATGAGCCTATTTACGTCAGGTAGGAAGGAAACGTAGGAAGGAAACGTAGGAAGAAAACACAGATTTCAACAAACTTTTTTTTTAAATTTAAATTAATATATTTTGTTTTTAATAAAATAATAATTGTAATAATTGTTGAATCACAACTTTATATTTCGAATAACTTGTTAAGTTATTATCTGCACTTGGGTACCCAGTCCACATTTCTTCCTTTCACAAATGTAGAATCAAACTGACGGCAGCGGTGATGGAAGAGGGAGAAAGTCAAAGCATGATCTGCAAACCTGAGTGGTCTGAGCTGATATGCCATCCACTAATTTGGAAGTCGCGGGGTCAATGCCAATCTGACCAGACAGGTAGAGTGTGTTACCAACAGCAATAGCCTGGCTATAGGAGACCAAAAAAGAACAATTATAATCATATAACTAAATTAAATTTGACCTCAACAGGACAAATAAAGCAGAAAATTGAGGGACAGAATGCACACGATGCAGACATGCAACTGATAGTTGGTCATAAATTCAGATTTATGGCAAAACATAAGTCTGATGAATTATTTACAAATTCAACTTTTCAGAGAAAGTACTTCAGAAAATTACTGTTCAGCATAAAATATAAGTTCCGTACGCAAACAACAAAATTGCCCTATTTTTAAAAGTTTGTAAATGGTTTTCCAATTTCCTTTTTGTGATTTGTGGCTCTGGAGTATTTTTTTTAAGGTAAATAAAGTCCGAAATTGTAGAATGGTCTGATTCCAGGGGAATACGAAGTCGCGACGACAATGTTGGCGCAGAACCAGAATAAAATTGTGAAGGTAGAAATTTCTGAAGGCCCTAAAAAAGTCACTGCCCATGTTCAGTGATTAGCCGGCCCAAAAAGAAACCGTTTAGCGGCTAAATACATGTCTTGTCATCAAGGACAGAGATTTCCAAAGTTAGGGTACATGTACCTGCTCATAGAGGAACCACGTCCGAAATATGTTCCTGTATCTAGAAATCTTCATCCATCTGGCCAAGAAACGACGATCAGTCTTCAGCTTCCACAAACATCGTCTCAAAACGGTTTTGGTTTTGTGCGTTGAATATGTATTTCGCGTGCGCCCTTGGGCAAGGTTATGAATATGCATTGCACAGATCATGACCTTGTGTTGTCGGGGGCTGGGTGCGGCCGGCCATTCAAACACGAGATAATGAATTGTAAAATGCAACCTTGCCCAAGGGCGCCTGCGAAAGCATACATAATCAACGCGCAAAATCAGTCCGCCATTTTGAAATGGAGGAACATCATCATCATCTACCAGTGAGTACTGGGTATAGGCCTCTTAGAATCTAAATGCTCCCGAGGATTGCCGTACTGTGGGTGCTAAGGTGCTGGTACGGGAACACGTAATTACAAAAAGGTGCAGAAACTGGTGGTGCTGTAGTTGAAGTGTGAGTAAAAACGGCCGCTACAGCCAGATTTCCAGGGATTGCGCAGATACGACTGCGGCAAGGAGGGGGTTCCATAGGCAGATACATGTAACATTCAGGAAGAAGCTCTGTTGACACACACGTAAGCCTGGATTCTGCGATGCTGATTACGGAACTGGAGGTGGTGACCTCTGGTTGACTCACTCGTTGGAAAAAAAAACATAAGGTGGTCTGGTGGGGATGGGATGGCGACCAGTCCGTTCTTTAAAGCATTCATGGAGGATGACTTTGCTATGTACGCATTGCTCATGAAGAGTTTGCCACTGCAGGTTACTGATGAGCATCCGGGTCACACTGTGCCAGGGGTGGTAATCAGCCTTCACAAATCTCGCTGCACCTCTCTGCACCGTATCCATCCTGAACACAAGATCTTTAGAATGGGGGTCCCAGACTGATGAGGCATATTCAATATATTACATTTGTCCTGTATAGGATTGTTCCTTGATGAAGGGTGGACACTTCCTCGGGTTGCGGGGAAGAAAGCCAAGTGTGTAGCTGTTTCCCTTCTTGCAGATGTTGTTGATGTGCGGTTTCCACTGTCCAGATTTCTTTGGATTGTGACGCCAAGATATTTAGCTTGTCAACTGTGCGGAGAGTTTTGTCATGGGTGGAATACTCGGCTTGATTAATGATCTTTCTCTTGTTGCCGATTCTCAATACCTAGCAAATTGTCTGGCTTGAATGACATTAACCATTTCTTTTCCTATCTTGAAGGTTGGAAAGATCATCTTGGAGGATGGTACTAATTGGCCGGTACAGACGGCAGTCGTCTGCGAATAGGCGTATGTCTGATGTATCATAGTCCGGCAGATCGTTTATAAAGACTAGAACTAAGAGGGGACCAAGAACAGTTCCTTGTGGAACCTCTGACGACACATTAGACTGGTTACTCTGCCTTCCCTCAAGGATGACTTGCTGGGTATGGCTTGACAAGAAGTCCCTGATCCAAGATAAAAGGATACCATGGACACCAACATGATGCAGCTTCAGAAGGAGGCACTCATGGGGAACTCTTTCGAAAGCCTTGGACAAATAAAAAAGGGCATCAATCAGGTTTTTTTTTATCTCGAAGTCCCCGGGCAAAGTCGTCAATAGTAATTAGGAGTAGTTGTAAATCGCATGAGTGCTTCTTTCTAAATCCAAACTGGCGGTCAGTCAACAAGTGATGAGAGTCCAAGTGGTTAATAATCTGGCTATGGATGATGTGTTCCATGATTTTACATTTTGCAGGTTTGTGGTTGTCGCCTTTCTTAAGGGTGTGACATGGGCTGACTTCAATTCCTGAGGCATCTTCCTCTGTTGAAGAGAAGCTTGAGAGAGCAAGGTGAAAACTGGTGAGACTTCTGCTGCACCTTCTTTCAATAAGTAGGCAGGCAAGTTATCTGGACCACAAATAGTGTGCGGCTCAATGTTGGAGAGAGGAGCTTCCGGACACCATAACATCTGATCTCGAAGGATGGCACATTAGGATGCGGGCTTGTACTGAGATCGGGAAGGTTAATAGTCGTGTCCTCACAAGTAAAAACAGAAGCAAATTGGTCGTTCAGCAAGTTCGTCGGTAACATTTCACGGTCGCTCATCACACCAGGAATGGGGGAACACTTACTCACAAGAGATAAGTCCAGTGTGTTGCTCAGTCTTGTTGGAAAATTCACAATCTGGGCAAATCTGAGGTCATGAAAAGTTGTCAAAAAGCAGTTGTTGATGGCTAAATTGTATTGATGACCAGTGATTGAATCAGTAGCCAAATCAATATCGGGAAGATTCAGATCACCGCTGATCCATAGTGTTGCAGAGGAAAACTTGGTTGTAGCTGATGAATGGCTTGGCACAGATTCTGTGTATAGTTAAGATCACTTTTTGGTGGTCTGTCGACAGACACTATGATCAGGGGTTGTTGCTTAGTCAACTCAATTTTGGTGGCAGTTATCTCGCAAAACACTTCTATTTGGTATTTCACTGTCAATAAGATCACCTTTGGTGGCAAATAGAACTCCATCTATCTTTTCTCATAGATCAATGAAGGGTTGTGGCCAGGTGGCATCATTTCACTACTTAATATGTCCGGTTTTAACCAGGTCTCATTAGCAACGATAATATCTGGTTGGCATGAATCCACTGCTTCCCAGAAGGCTTCTTGCTTGGCATTCATACTTTGTAGATTGACAAAGAGTACTTTCTACAGTCTTGAAGTATTTCTCCTTCTAGTTGTTTTCTTGATGGGAGAGGATTGTTGGAGTGGTGGTCCAGCTGGCAGATGTATTAAAGATATAGTCCATCATTTGTAATTTGTGTATTTTGTTCGTTTGAAGCAACAAAAGTGTTCAAAATCTAATGAAGGATATTGAACAACTAACCTGATGAAGTTTCAGCTCAGCTTCAGCTGTATATTCTGAGAAAAACAGCATTCTAGGATCTCAATTTCAAATCAAAAGTTGCTGAATCATGTTTTGAATTGTTCTGAATTGCAGCTATACGCGATGTCGCGCACTGATTAAACTCTAAGAAATCCACTAATTACTATCTAAACTAATTAACATGGAAGTATGAGGAATCTTTACACTAGTTTCTGTGTACATATGAAACATGAACATGAAAAACATAGAGCAAGATCGGACTTAATCAGGATTAACTAGTGATTACTGAACAACAACAGAAATATAGGCAAATTGACAAAATGAACGTACGACTTTGTTGAACTTGTCTTATGGTGCCTCAAATACAGCAAAACGTACTGGTGGTGCTGGACCAGGTGATTGCAATGCTAGTGTAGTTGTAAGATGGGGACGCATCAAACGTATAATTTGCAATTAAATGAGGCAACTTGGCCTTTACTCAAGTTTATCACTGTACTAAACAACATTGAACTTATAAGAAAGATATTTACGACTGGTCATAAGAAATAGGAATATGGCTCAAGGTAAAGAAATGCCAAAAAACAAAAACAATTTTGTGAGCCTGCGTTACATCCCGGCCCCTTAAATGAAGTAAATTAAACTGTACATCTCAACCTCTTGAGGACGGACAGAGCACACTGTCCGAAACGTCGAGTGTAGTTTCTACACTCGACCAACCGGTCCAAAGGACACAACTTGGTGACTGGTCTCACATGGCTTCCAGCAGCCGTCTGAACCTCAGCACTTCTCACTAGACCATCTCCTCCGGGGAAGATCTTTTTATTGATCCTCGCCAATGGCCACTGGTTTCTGGGTGAATTATCTACTTGAACCAACACAATGGCACCAACTTTGACATTTGGTTGAGGCTCAATCCAACGTTGTCAACGTTGCAGAGATGGCAGATACTCTGCAATCCAGCGATTCCAGAACTGCTCAACTGAGTACTGGACATGCTTCCAGCGTTTACCATACTTGTCGGCCTGTTTCATACCACCGAGTGAAAATGGATGACCATGTATAACTCTAACTCCTGATCACTGGTAGTATCCACGTAGACAGCAACTTCAGGCCATAGGGGGCCCAGGAAAAAGTCTAGTCAGGAGCTATGGCTAGACTGTTTCCTGGGCCCCCTAAAGATAAGGACAATGGAAACAGGGAACCAGACTAGCTCATGGCTATCATCAGATAGACCAATCACAGGGCGCTTTGATGGTCACCTGGATTGGTCGCCTCAATAGGCAAATTCTTTTGAGCGGTTTCACGGCAACCAATTTAAGTGCCCTGTGATTGGTCTGTCTGGTGCTAGCCAGGAAACAGTCTAGCCAGGAGCCATGCACAAGTAAAATTTTCCTGAATTCAAAATGGAAGTCCTCAAACACGGTGCATGCGAGGAAGATGTTTCCTGGTATGTGAACCTAACCACCACCATTTGTATTTTGAATTCCTACTGAAGCCTACATGCAGGGGCGCATAAGGCAGTTTGAAGACTGTTTCGGGGGTGAAATCTGAGGATTTTGATTGGGGGAACGAATTAAAATGGTCAAAAAATATTACTGGTAAACACGATACAGCTATGAATCTCGGACTCTACTATCGCCCGACCATGTCCAAATGTTTAAAAAGGCAATGTGTAGAGCCCTAGCTACTCGGACTAGCTATAGCCACGTTTTGATCTACAGTAAAAAATACTCTATTGTAATCCACAGTTACTTAAATGGAGTGACCGTTCTAGCCGAATTTCGGCTAAATACAAAAATGAGTTGCACCGTTAATTCAGCACTGGAATATTTTTTTCAGCAGAAGTATGTACATAAAGATTGGTGTTTTTGAAGAAAAAGAAAAACATTAGAGAAAATAATAGCACATTTGGTTTGAAAAGGCTTAATTTTTTTATCAAAAATTGCCATATTTTTCATCAAATTTCTTGGCAACGCCCATGACACAGATCCAACACTTGTGAAAATTCACGGAAAAAACGAGTAAGTGTTTAGGGCAAATTGTGTGTCACGGATCAAAAAATAAAGTGATACAACGCCATGTTATGGGTCTAGCGCGCGGCTTGCATATCATAATTATGTCTGCGTTGTTTACAACGCTATGTTCATGAGCGCGCGGCTTGCATATCTGCATGTCTAGATGTTATCAGCGTCAGCTTCCTGGTTCGATCTGACATGTCATTGCGCTTGCGCAATCGCAGTGCCGTAACGATAGAAAATGGGAGATGCGTTACGGCAGCCGTAACGATAGCCACTGCGTTATAAATAACAGGAGACTTGGCTCCTCGGCCTCCGTCATGTCCGTGGATATTCACTAGCGCCTATAGGATATCAGAGTTCAGACTAGCAATTTACTTGAAAAGGCCGACCGCCTTTGGAGCTTTAGGGGTATTGATGATCCTCCTCACGAGCCCTGTCCCTGACCCTGCCATTTTCGTGGAAGTTGGTGAATTTTAACTCCGGTGTGATATGGAAAATCGGACTAAATTCATGCTACACGGGTACACACTGTTGGGGAAAGTGCAGTGCAGACGTCGCAATTTCTCGCAACGCGTCATGTGACTTAGGGGTCACCTGACCAAATGTTGTTCGGTCCTGTCATCTGACTAATGGGGGCGCTATTTAAAGCAGAAGACACTGCACTTCGCTCCCCCCCCCCCCCCCATTCCTTATTAATAACTCTTTAGCAACAGCTCTCATTGGTACACGATTTTGAAAGTTCTGTCAATTAAATCGTAGACGTATTGTTTGTGCCCCAATCCTGTTGTCCACGATTGCCGGTGTTGATACTCACATGTGCACCCACCCAGTCGTGTTTTGCTATTAATTGTTGATCAACCTGTTGATGTACTCTAACGTGGCGTGGCCTTAAACTAGTCCGAGTAACTTATAGGACTCTACGGATCGCATTTTTAACATTTGGACATGGTCGGGCGATAGTAGAGTCCGAGATCGATGGCCTTATTGCGGTTACTTATAATTTTGGGGGCCCATTTTTCACTCGTACCCCCCAATCAAAATCGTCAGATTTCAACCCCCCCCCCCCCCCAAAAAAATGGTCTTCAAACTTCCTTATGTGCCCCTGTAGGCTTCACTGAGTGGGAATTGAAAATACAAATGGTGGTGGGTTAGGTTTACATACCTTTGGGAAGAAAAGAGAAATTTCACCTTCAATTCGGGAAACATCCTTGTCACAAACGCCTTGTTTGAGGCTGCCATTTTGAATTCAAGCCTGCTGCATGGCTCTGGCTACACTGTTTACTGGCAAGCATCATACAGACACTTTGATTGGTCACCTGGATTGGTAACCTAATAAAAGTGCCCTGTGATTGGTCAGGTGACCAATCAAGGTGCCCTGTGATTGGTCTGTGTGATGCTTGCCAGGAACTTGAACAGTGTACCCAGAGCCATGCACAAGTGGCATCTGCCCTAACCCATCTGAACTTCTGAAACATCTTTAAGAAATGTTATTCCTGAAATTTAAAAAGTAATTCAAATTTGATGCAGCACCAAAAAGGAAGCAGGTGGGCCGTTGAGTTATTTGTGGTTTCACGGAATGGACAGAGCAACAACAAAATAAGGAATCGGTTCTTAAAACAATATTCAAAATAATAAAATCAGCAAAACGGTTTCAGCTTAAACAAAAATTGCCTGGTAATGCAGCCACTCACAGCTTCCAAATAGGGGAATATACATTAATTTTCTCTTCTTAAAAAGTTTGCAAAAAAAAAGTGGGTCCTTCAATTTGATGAGACTTTTGACATGTTACATTCAACAATTATCTAACCGGCCTGTAATGTGTACATGTGCTCATAATCTCGTTTTGTTTAGTCGAAAATAAACAAGTAATGCTCATTCAGGACAGATTGAACAAACGTATTTACCATTCTTCTTGTGTGGGTAACAACTGTACAGGCTTAAATCCCCCCAACAAAAAGAACAAATAAATGAATGGATTAAATTAGATTATATTCGTTTTCCCGGCTATTTTAAAACGTTCATCATTCGAATTCACCGTTTCTAACGTTCATATTCGCCCATCACCGTTGATTTAGTGCACTTCCAACGTTTAATTTCGTCTCAGTTTGTGTGACAATATAAAATTCAGTTCAAGCACTAACAAGAAGTACACGTTTTCGTACCGGAGTATCGATTTCGTCTAATCTAAGCCAAACATTTTTAGTCAAAAAATTAAATTCATCTAATTGATTTATAAACAACGAATTGGATTTCTGAATGCTGCCATTCGGCAACAGTTTAGACGAATTTGATCTGTAATGATCTTCAAAGGGAACGTGAAAGAAGTATTATCTGGCAAGCGCTCAGCGCCGTGCGAAAATGTTCGCTCGTACCCCCGCCCTGTTTGCAGGGCGGGGGGTACGAGCGCGGCGAAGCGGAAATGTTTCTGACTGCGCCAATATCAATCAATCAATCAATCAATCAATCAATCAATCAATCAAATCTTTAATTTTTCCCAACGCATACGAGTACATAATAATATTACTTAACATTTGAATTATTGTGTATGGATGGATGGATTAGAGGGCGCTGTTTCTTATGTTTTTCTCATGTAAAATTTTCGGCGTTTTTATCCCAGATTTTCTCATTCCCAAACAAACTGTGGATCGGGGAACAATGTTTTTTAGATAGGGTACATCATAATCTTACGAAAGCCCATTAGCGCCACTGCAAGTATATATGTGCCAAGGCAAGTATATATGTTGCGGATTATTTAATTCGTTATTACGGATTATTAATTCGTTATTACGGATTACTAATTCGTTATAACGGATTATTAATTCGTTATTACGGATTATTTAATTCGTTATTACGGATTACTAATTCGTTATAACGGATTATTTAATTCGTTATTACGGATTATTAATTCGTTATTACGGATTATTAATTCGTTATTACGGATTACTTATTCGTAATAACGGATTATTAATTCGTTATTACGGATTATTTAATTCGTTATTACGGATTATTTAATTCGTTATTACGGATTACTAATTTGTTATAACGGATTATTAATTCGTTATTACGGATTATTTAATTCGTTATTACGGATTACTAATTCGTTATAACGGATTATTTAATTCGTTATTACGGATTATTTAATTCGTTATTACGGGTTATTAATTCGTTATTATGAATTACTCATACGTTCTGAGTCATTACTCGGCAAGTATGGCACATGCAGGAGTGCAAACGTTGTATGCAAAGATAGCGCCGCCTAGCGGCGTCATATACATAGGCCCCTGGTCACGTGCTCTCCACGTGTGAGAACATCAGACTTAATTCGTAATAACGAATTAATAACCCGTTATAACGAATTAATAATCCGTAATAACGAATTAAATAATCCGTAATAACGAATTAATAATCCGTAATAACGAATTAGTAATCCGTAATACCGAATTAATAATCCGTAATAACGAATTTATAATCTGTAATAACGAATTAATAATCCGTAATAACGAATTAAATAATCCGTAATAACGAATTAATAATCCGTAATAACGAATTACATAATCTGTAACATATATACTTGCAGTGCCGCTAATGGGCTTTCGTATAATCTACATGTCTGGAAAGTTTTGTAAAATTCGGCGGACCAGATCGCGTATCTCGAAAACTAAAGCGTTTTCGGCCTCTCGTCCCACGGACTATATAGGCTAGGATAACCTATTTTCACGAGTTGCTCCCGGGCCTCCAGTGCGAAAAGATGGCGATGCAAAGCCTCGTTTTTCATATTTTTAATATCACGTTCAAGAATTTGATGACCCCGGACTAGCAATACTTCCACTCAAGACAATTCCTCAGACACAGAACACTTCCGGCTAAGTTGAGAGAGTATACAATTCCAAAGGAGAGGGAGCAGGAGGCACGGGAAGACGATCTCTCCCCAAGCCTCGAGTCAAGTAAAGAAATACACCCATACAGAATTCCACCTGTTGCTAAAATATATATCACTTTTTTTTAGTCAAGTTAGAGGGGTTTTCAGTTCTCGACAGTTGACAAAAGACAAAATGCATGCATCCATTCTGAATAATAGACCACACAGGATATGTACGTATGCGACTCGGAAAAGTAGCCATCCAAATTTGTTCCCATTTCTATCATTGATTTTAATTATGGACAGAACTGGATTTATTTCAGTTAAATCAGCTAAAATCAAATCAAACAAGGACATTAAATTACTGGCCATTTTAAACACTGTGCGATTAATATTATATTTATTGCAAAAAAAAAAGGGTACATGCAGTGGCATGTGTTATTTGAAATAAATCCTTTTCAAAAATATTTTTAATAATTTGAAAGTTCTATATAGCTTTATCAAATGATGCAAATAATTATGTCTGATAACCGCCGACCAATTAGGTCAGCATGACCAATAGCACTGTGCTGTTTTGTTGTTTCTAGACACCTTTTTGGCCTCGCATTTAAAAGAAATAGTGACCCTTTTTTCTGAATCAATGAATATGTGGTTTCTTTTCTCTTTCTTTTGTTTCTGTTACTCCTACGATTTCTTTGTAGGCTTTTCCTTTCACTCTTAATTCAATTGGGGACTTCCATTTAACAAAGCTTCTTGTGTAAATATTATTCGAATTTCTAATCCGAAATGTGATGTTCTTTTAAATAATTCTTTTTGAATATATTCAAATTGTAGAGTTTAATTCCAATTTTAGCATGAATATTCTTTACCATTGCAGGTCTCAAAAATGTACAAACTTGCAGGAAGTTTGCATTCACAAAGTAGCCACATATAGAACATTCAGAAAATCACATCAAGTTCATTTTCTTTGCATAAAACATTGGGGAATTCTCTTCTTTCACCTTGATATTCTATCACAGTTGTCTTTGCTACTCCATTTTCCAAACCTTGGATCAATCTCTGAGTTTAGCTTCAGGCTCCAGTGTGATGATTTAAGGTTCCTGACTTGGGAGGCACTGCCCGGTATAAGGGACTAGTTTCTGCTAATGAATATGAGACCACACACATGTTGATTTTGTGTAACTTCCTCTCAAAGTGAAAGGACACCAGGACAAAGTCAGAGATGAAGCTGAGTTTGGAAAGGAACCCAAGAATTACAATGCTGGTGAATCTTGATTGACGAGGTTCCCCAGAATAGCAATGCTCTCAATTTCAACCAGGGCTCCCTGAAAGCAAAGAAATGGGCAAAGAAATGTGAGTGACAGGTTTATAATACATATACATGTAGTATATATCATAATAATAGGAAGATATTCCTATCGTCTTGCATACGACCTAAAACCAACCAAAAACCCTCCCATAACCCCTTTTAAAAAAACTTTCTCCGCCCCAAAATGTTCAATTATACTACAGTGCACATGTAGTCTCAACCTAATCGTTTTAGGCAACTTCCAACAGTAAAATTCCTAGTACAGATGATATAGTTGTGTCTCCCTAGTGCCCAGTGTCTCCCTAACGTCCAATAATTTACTACAAAGTGTCTCCCTAAGGTACTGTTTGTTGTTACAAACCAGGTCAATAATTCTGACCGGCATCGACTGCACTTTACTAAATAGTTAAATAGTTTTGCCATTATTCTGGATTGTGATACAAGTGCCATGCAGACTTTTATGCATTTCTCAGATAACTTGGACCTCTTAGTTTCTTAGGGGATTATTTGTTTTTGGGGGAAAAAGGTGTATGCAGGACCCAAGGAACACGGGGTGCAGTCTTTGAGCTGGGAGGGTAGGTTGATGAAGGCATTCCCCCTAAAAAGGCCTTCACTTAATTATGCCTCTTTCCCCAAGTGCAGATTGTCAAATCTAGGGGGGGGGGGGGGGTACATAGTTTAATGAAATGAAGAAATGATTTTGGTTTAAAGAACTTACAGCTGGAAGTGCAGCAGCTTGGTATGCAGCTCTGGCCGGATAGTTTGAAGTGAAAACTGAAAATACACACATAAATGATTTTAACACCATGGCAACATTATGTAATCTTTGATTAATAATCATAAGAGATTACTATGCATATTCACAACTGATCCAATATCATAACTCTCTATCTGTAGTGGGCACAATTCAAAGCTGATATACATAGATTTGGATTTAGAATTCAGGCTAACCACATACACATATGTGGGCCTATGAACTTTATCAAAACACCTTATGTGAAACACTCTTTCTGCATCCTATCCGGTTAGTGACGTTGTTTCAACTTACACACTGGAACCAGAGGTAGTGTACAAATTGGTGTGTTTAGCCAATGGGCGCTAGTAATCAGTGGTTTGTGTGCCTGTTGGACGCAGTCACTTACGAACCAGATTTTTCTCAACACAAACTTGCTCTATCTATGGATGAACACTAGGGGGCGCTACGTAACTACCCATGAGGCTGCAGACCAGTAAATAGGCCCGAAATTGCCTACGCCGGCCAAATCATGATTTGCATGCCCTCAAATTCTCCAATATTAGAACATTTTGAGGGCTGCGAACTTTTGAGGGAAACCGGCCGTGCAGATGACTGTGAGCTCGTATTTTTGTGAAATTTGGATGAAATTAGGCCCTAAAATGGCTGTATTTTGCAATGGAGCATAGGCATCCTTTTACAAAATGGCGATAGGCTTCAGAACTACTTTTAGGAGTGATCATATTTGGATGGAATTTTCTCCCAAAAGTCATGGTTAACTCATCCAAAAATTGAACAGAAAATGAAAGATGATGAAATAAGCTTTAATTTGATATGCGTCTCAAACACCTTGGAGAGTTGTGAGTATGTTTAATACGTTTGGGAATTGCGCGTAATTATCACTGACGTCTATGCCAGTCTATGGTCTGCAACCATGAGAACCCCAGTATCTGAAGCACATACATTGTGATGTGCAGACAAAAGTTACATGCCCAAGGTACTGAGGACACACACCTTATTTTCATCTGAGTGTGCGTGAAGTCATATTCATAAATGCACCAAAAACCCAGCAGCACTGATGTTCAAGTGTAATATCTGTAATTGTCACTCTTGAGAGCGTATCTGTGTGCATGTCATTCACATTAAATGTTCTTTTGTAGTTCTGACATTTTTGTGGCCTTTTGGCCTTGTGCTTGGAAATATCAAATAAGGAAGTACAAATAGACAGGTGCCATTGCCAGCTATCAACATGTTTGTGGCAGGCAGCAGAATCACCACTTGAGCATTAAAATTAGACAGTAAGAAATCATTTGGAGATCACAATTCATCACAATACTTGACACAACTTTCATTTGCCATTGGAAATTAGCAAGGATTACAAAAGTCTAAACAAAAGCTCACACTTCTCATATATTCCATTGACGACTCCATAGTCTGAAATATTGGCCAGCAGCACTGTTGTCTTCACAACTGAAAAAAAAAATATAGTAATAAAAATAATAATAATAAAAATGAAGAATGAAAGCAAGGATAAACATAAAAGACAGTATATTACAATTTATCAAATTTTAAAACCAACCACAAGAGAAAATGGACTAGGTAAATTGTTTTATTGACAAGAAATTGATGGGATTTGAGGCTGCACCTTAACCTTCAGTGCTCTCAAGATGTAAATGAGTGCTCTGGCCAAATGTTGGTGGACTCCCATCAGCATTTTCAAATTGGGAAATGTCCAAAAGAATGGCTTAGTAATTAGCAGAGTCCTGGAATGATGTACTAACAATTAAAGTTATACTTATCACTTCTAGGGTTCAAGAGAAATCTGACTTGTCTCATTTAAATACATCTGAACAGAAGTGCTTGCAATATTTTGGACTGAAATAACTTGAGTTTGCCCTGGTATCTATTATCTAGTATTGAGTAAATCCATATGATCCTCAAACAGCCTTGACTGTGGAAATAAGATCACAGTTCATAGGGAGATATTATTTTTTAAAACAGAAAACGAAAGCCTTGGACCACAAAATATCTAAATCTTACCATTATCATACGTTATGTTCTGTGTTTCCAAAACAGCACCAATGTTCTTCAAAGCCTGCAAAACCAAATTAATTCTTTCTTGTTATATTGAAGATATACCAATGGTGCTCTTCAAAAAATTCAACCGTTTTTTCTGACAAGTTTTCAACTTGTTTTGTATTGCTAGAAATATACAATTTAGAAACATAATCATTTTTTTGGGGTGAACCTTGAAAATAGCAGTGAGAGTACATCTTTCACTAAACAATCCTTCAAAAAAGTGTTTGTTTTGATTTTTCAACGAACATCAAATACTGTTCGAAAAGGTAAAAGTACAATGATTTCAATGCAACAGTAGTTGTAATAATCATGAGCCTAAATACACGTCAATTAGGAGGGAAACACAGGATTTCAACACAGTTTATTTGTATATTTTAATCAATTTATTTTATGTTATTTGTAATTTAGGGGTAGGAATTGGGGTAGAATTCTTATAATAATAACCAGCAGCTTGTAAATCACTCAAATTTGAACTTGCTTCCTACTATGTAAGAATAGCTCTGAGGAAATCTGGAGTGGTTTCGAGTGTTTTATCATGAAATTACTTTAGAGGAGCACTTTCAACCACAATATGACCTTTACACTTTTAGAACAAACTCACCATGAAATGAAATAATGATAGTTGGAGAGGTATTGAAAAGTAGAAAATCAGTGTGCCCAAAACGATTTGCATTTTTTGCGCAAAGGATCATTGTGCAACGTAATTTCAGGGTAGAAAGTTCAACCGTTGTGGAAGTAGAGCCGTTCCATTTGAGTGCTTGTCTTGAGTAAAGTCACACATGGTTCGTTTTGAAAATGGCTGAAATCACTGATGGAAATATGTTCATACAGGCAAGGAAAAACAACCCACTGCATCAGACGTAAACAACCAGGTTCTTTTTTACATTTTCCCCGAAAGCCTTGTAAGATATTATGTGAATTTCTTGTAACCTGGAAAAATAATTGTTGAATGACAACTTTATATTTCGAATAACTTGTTAAGTTTTTATCTGCACTTGGGTACCCAGTCCACATTTCCCCCTTTCACAAATGAAGAATCAAACTGACGGCAGCTGTGATGGAAGAGGGAGAAAGTCAAAGCATGATCTGCAAACCTGAGTGGTCTGAGCTGATATGCCATCCACTAATTTGGAAGTCGCGGGGTCAATGCCAATCTGACCAGACAGGTAGAGTGTGTTACCAACAGCAATAGCCTGGCTATAGGAGACAAAAAAAAACAATTATAATCATATAACTAAATTAAATTTGACCTCAACAGGACCAATAAAGCAGAAAATTGAGGGACAGAATGCACACGATGCAGACATACAACTGAAAGTTGGTCATCAATTCAGATTTTATGGCAAAAACAATGAGTCTGGTGAATTATTTACAAATTCAACTCTTCAGGACACTAGGCCTACTTCAGAAAATTAATGTTCAGCCTAGCCTTGGTCAATGCTCTCGTCGTTATTCGTCCCGTACGCGGTCAATCGTCGGCATATATCCTCACGCGCTATGCACATGCATGTAAAAATACAGCGCGAACAGCGACCTCACGCGGCCACTTTTTTTATATGCAAATCAGTTGGGGACGATTGAGAGCCTTGGTTCAATCGTCGGCAAAAGCTTTTGTTTTTCTTTATTTTGCTTATGTTTTTCTTTAGTTCATGACCTCATGTTTGTATGGCCAGCCGCGCCGAGTGTCCGACAAACGTCATAAACTATGATGCATATTCATTATCTTGCCCAAGCGCGCTCGCATACTGCATACATTACAGCGCGGCCGCCATTTTGAAAATCGCATGGGGGAGCATTTTCGGGACGATATTTGTGGAAGATGATGACTGAAAGTCGTCTTTTGGCCAGATGGATGAAAAAATTGAAACCAAAGAACGTTTTTCCGAAAAGTATACTATGAGTTGCTCTACGACTAAGAACCTTAACTTTGGACATTTTTGTCCTGGGTGGAAAGATAATCTCGATCGAAATCTGTAGCAAAATCGCTACATCAGCGGCCAAAAATATTCAGTCTCTGTGGAAGCATTGGGCGTCTGGTCGTACTGTCACGCCCCAACTATCGCATCGGTCCCAACTATAGTTGGGCCTGTCCCAACTATAGTTGGGCCTGTCCCAACTGTAGTTCCACAGTTGGGCTAGCCCAACTATAGTTGGGCCTGTCCCAACTATAGTTGGGACGGTCCCAACTGTAAGTTCCACTGTTGGGCTGGCCCATCTATAGTTGGGCCACTCCGATCTTTTTATTTTGCGGTGTCCCAACTATAGTTTACATTGATGTACAGCTGTAAAACGTTCCCTACAGCTCTGCTACACGTCTGACTTTACTGGGGACCACTGAAATTAGTTATTGATGGGGCGAATCTATAGTTGGGCCACTCCAATCTTTTTATTTTGCGGTCCCAACTATAGTGTACATTGTTGTACGACTATAAAACATTCCCTACAACTCCTAATACACATCTGACTTTACTTGGGACCAATGAAATTATCTATGGGTGGGGACCATCTGTAGTTGGGCCACCGCAATATTTTTATTTGGCGGTCCCAACTATAGTTTACATTGATGTACGACGACTATAAAACATTCCCTACAGCTCTGTTACATACTGTCCGACTTTACTTGGGACCTTTGACATTAGCTATGGGTGGGGCCCATCTATAGTTGGCCGGCCATGGCAATCTTTGAATTTTGCAAAATGTTGCTGGACAATCAACCCAGCAGCTGGACAACTCATCCAACTAGGCAGTACCACGTGACCGGCCAGCCTTGCGGCATGCATGCACGACGAATACACGGTGCCAGCGCCGCGGAACATTTAATCCAACAAGACCTATCAAGCATGAAGCATCCGGCGCAACTCCCGTCCTAACTATAGTTGGGCCGACCCAACTGCCGCACTATAGTTGGGACAGTCCCAACTATAGTTGGGACCGATGCGATAGTTGGGGCGTGACAGTACTACAGAGCTTGTGATAGATAGTACTGTACGGCCAGACGGGCTAAAGTAAAGTTAAGTAAGACTCGAGAGCGCCATTTCGATTAAAGATCATCCCTGCCAATTTACTTGTATGGGCCGATCGCCTTTGGAGCGTTGGGTGTATTGATGATCCTCCTCACGAGCCCTGCCATTTTTTTTGTAGAAGTAGGCTTTGGTCAGTAGGTGGATTTCAACTCCGGCATAAACATGTGATGGTGTAAAGTGTAGGCGTTGCAACGCGTCATGTGACTTGTGGGTCACCTGACCAACGCAAAGGTTGTTCCTGGACGTCATCTGACTAATGGGGGCGCTATTTACAGTGGACGACACTATACACTATGGGACAATAGATGGCGCTATTTGTTTCTGACATCGACAGGACATCTTCGCTGGAAAAAAAATAAAAAATAATAATAACAATTATTGTCTGTTTGCTTGTTCGGTTGTTTGTTTTTGTTGCACTTAAGGCCTAAAAACTGATCATCATTCGGTAACTTGATGAGGGCTAGGGGCCTTCACATGTACACAGTTCACATTCTGAAGCAAACATCACTTATAAAACAACTGGATTCAAGCAAGGGCGGATCCAGAACACAATTTTATTTGGGTTCTTTTTTTGGGGGGGGGGGGGAATTTGGTCCCCCCAAAAGTGCTTGGGAACAAAACATTACGGCGTGGGGTTCGGGGCACGATAACTGGTGGAACCGCAGTGCGGACGTCATTCAGGCCTCTGCAGACATGGGCGACCAGGCCTCTTTCAATAGGTGGGGGGCGAGCTCCTGCTATCTCGCCTCACGCCAGTTGCCACATCAATTCTCCCAGAATCACAATGTGGTTTCAGGGCAGCTCTACGTACCATCGACATGATCTTCACTCTACAACTGCAGGAGAAAGCCATTGGACAGCAACAGCCTCTCCTGATGCTGTTTGTAGACTTTCAAAGCAGTTGAAACTGTTACTATAGTCGAGAGGGCCTCTGGTGCCGCTTCTCTAGATACGGGATACCTCCGAAATTCATCGGCCTCCTTCGTCAGTTTCATGATGGTAATATTTATGTTCGCCCATGTTTGCTCTGGTGCTGATGTCTGCGACACATATTCCTGTGGCACATGGAGTGAAACAGGGCTGCCCTTTGGCACCAACCCCTTTTCAATCTTCCTCCTGGAACTCACTAACCAACGTCTCGCTGAGGGAGTCTACATCCGCACCAGATCAGGGCGAGTTTTAAATCTTGTCTGACTCAAGGCCAAAACTAAAGTTCGACCTTCTCGTTGTTCGCGAGCTGATGTATATATCCCGACGATACAGCCTATGTTGCTCACATCCACGATGATATGCGAAAGATGCTGGATGTTTTTGCCCGAGTTGCCAGTGACCTCGGCCTCTCCATCAAAGCCAAGAATACTCAAGTAGTCTTTACTCCCTCCCATACACCCATACTCACTCGAAACCATCCCACCCGTTCTAATTAACGATACCCCCTTCGTCAGTGCTGACAGTTTTGTCTACCTTGGTAGTAATCATTGCAGATGGCAACACTGACAAGGAGATTGATGTTCGATCAGAGCTGCTTGTGCAGCCTTTTTACGTCTACATAGCTGTCTTTGGTCGCAGAGAGGCATCCGGCGATCAGCTATAAGTGTAAAGTCACAGTTCAGTTGTTCTTGCCAACCTTCTTTATGCTGTTAAAACCACTCTTTACCAGCGCCACATTAGGAAACTCAACCAGGTTCAAATCCGTCATCTTCGCTTCATTCTAGGCATCCGCTGGCGTGACAGAATCCCTAACACTGTGGTTCTTCAGCGTGCAGCTGCAGGCCAGCCTATAGTGTTGCCAAATTACTTGAGATACGGCAGCTCAGATGGCGTCGTTGCGAGAATGGATGATTGCAGACTCCCAAAAGCTCTACTCCGAGCTTCAACTGGGTGTGAGACCCATCGGCCGACCTAAGCTCCGATTCAAGGACACACTTAAGAGAACACTCAAAGCCTGCCGCATGGAGGTAGCTACCTGGGAGGATCAGGTGGCAGTACGATCCCGTTGGCAACTCAGCATCCATAATAATGCACATCAGCCTCTGAGGCATCCCGCATTGCTTTTGTCGGCTGAGGAGAGTCGCCGTCGCCATCATGCTCCCCCTCCACTGGCCCAGCAGGCTCCTGCTGATCCCAAAACTTGTGTGTGACAGGTGTGGGCGTGTCTGTCGTGCCTGCATAGGCCTACTGTCGCATCAGAAATTTGTCTACGACGCTGAGGACGCCATGGTCGATGAACGACCGGCTGCAATGATGTCAAGGAACTTACGACGCGTGCAACACATCACAATTTTCGTGAAATGGATCGTACGCGTACGACGAGGGCGCGTCGCGAGTTGCGATCGACGTATATTACTCGGGTTGCGACTCATCGCAGCGCTTCGTGAAATCGGGTAGCTTGTATGGGCCTTGCTCGGCTGCAAGGCGCCCCCATGACGTTAATTGGGTTCTATCTCCTTCCGACCTTAACTCCTCATTCACAGCCCCCCCCCCCCCACACACACACACTTTTTCCCCCTCAAAATTGCTGTAATCAGCTGCTGGCCTATCGGTACCCTGAAGGGTTGGGTGCATTATTGCGGATTTGCCCTTGGTGGCACCTTTGAAATGCTGGATGAAAAAAACCACACGGTCGCATCATGCGTGGCATGGCAGCGTCCATTTTGAAATTAAGTCCTGTAAATTGGCCGAAATTTTGCTATTTCCCCAGACCACTTTTACGTCAAGAGAAAGGATCCCCGAGTCATATTTTTTTCCTTTAAAAAAAAAATGGGGAGAAAATATCTCTAAGAAGGTCGGCATCAGGCCTGAACAAGGGCAGCCTAAGGTGCACATTACCAAAAAGCTGTACTGCGCGCGAACTCGCGCTCATTAATATTTTGTGATCTCACAGGTAATTTTTAATTATCCTTGTAGTCAGGCAGCTTAGTGAATGGATGTGGACATTCTGGACAAAAGCGCCAAATTTTCCATACATGCTCCTCAATGCCTTAGAACCAACTTATCCAATGACATTATGGCGGCCATCTTGGATTTTAAAGATGGCGGCCATTAAAAACCTATATCTACCAATATCTCAGCTTCTACGCCACGTAGGATTAATGTTTTGGTGTCTAAATATACATTTTCAGGATCAAGGAATGCAACTGTACCATTTGGGATAGTGTCAAATGGTTAGTTTGTCCAAATACAGTATTGTGGCCATCTTGTATTTGAAACATGGCCGCCATTTAAAACCTAAATCTCCGAATACGTGTACTGCATCTTTAAGCCACTAAGGATCTTAATCTTGGTGTCTAAACATATATTTTCAGGGTCATGGAACGCAACTAAAAATTTGGATTAGTACTACATGTATTTAGGATCGTGTCAAATGGTTAGTTTGTCCAGATACTAACTTTTATTAAAATACGGCGGCCATATTCAGGCTTTGTACCTTTTTGCCATTATGGTTTGACTTGAAAGGGCCGGCACCGGTCTCATTCAGGTTGTGTACCGATTTGCCATTATGGTTTCCAATAAAGGGACCAACACTGGCCTGAATCAGGCCTTTTACCGTCTTTTCATCATGGTTTATCGTAAGAGGACCTGCAATGGCCCGGTTCAGGCTGTACGCCGTCTTGCTGTTATTATTTGCCTTATAAAGACCAGCACTGGTCTGATGCAGGCTCTGAACGGTGTTACCATTACCGTTTGCCACTTAATAGGGTGAGCACTGGACCAACTCCGTGGTGTTTTAACCGTCAACACGGAACCGTTTTGGTGCAATCGAGCCAGCATTAGCCCGCCTGGTCTTGTACAGTTTAAACTGTATGGCACTGCCACAACAAACCCATAATTAGCTGGTATCGGCCCAATACCGTCCCGTTTACTGGGTCAATGCCATCTTTGAACCTAGGCAGGTAGAAATCTCTGGCACTACAGGATGTGATACAACTCTGCCTCTCCACAACTACATGCAGCTGAACCACTTTTGTAGCCACATTTTGATTAAGGCGGGTCTGTGATCTGCTAGTCCTGGTTCTCAAGCGGCTGATAGTTTTCCATTGAACCCATGTCAATGTAGCACCTAATGGGAGGTTTTCCGCCGTTGTTATAGTATAAACATGACAATCGGTGGGCGTTTGCTCCCAGTCGTTGCTCCCAGTGTTGGAGTCTTGCCACTTCCCTGGATCTTGTGAAGGAGTGGGCATGGCTGAGGAAGCTTTTCTTGACTTCAGCCTTTTGTGCCGAAGCTTGTTGTCCCTGGAGGAGGCGACACTCGTCATTTATCAATTTGGATATCTTAGGTCAGCTGGCAACTTCCCCTCGGAAATCAGAAGAGGAAATGCCAGCAAGGAGGTGCAAATTACTTGTGTTGGTGGATTTCAAGCATCCAGGGATCAAACTGCATGAATTGTTTTCAGGCTGTGTCAGGTTTCATGGTATGGGCTGATCTCTCCCAGATGGGGCACGCATACTCTGGTGAAGAATGGCACGGAGCCAAAACGGTTCATCTTAGGGTGTGTGGTTTGGCTCCCCTTTCGGAGGTTGTTCAATTTCTTTATGATGTTGTTACGGGGAACTTAATTTGGATGACTTGAATGACAGGATATGATGGAGGATCACGCTAAGGTAGACAGGATGGCTACAAGGGGCCAATGGTGTTCCGGACCATTTGATGTTAAAGGGTCGGTTGGCTTCGCGGTTAACGTTCCTGAGATGGAACGAGTAGACTTGGGTCTTAGCGAGATTGGCACGGAGGTGATTGCACTCAGTATAAAGACGGCTAAGTGCTGAGGTAAGTTTTGCTCCTTTGACTTCGAACGGAATCTTTTGAGATGTAACACAAAGATCGTCTGCGTAGATGAAACGCTCAGTGTCCTGGTCTATTAAATTGTGATTTGTTTTGTGTAGACGTGATACAGCATAGGAACTAGCACAGTGCCTTGAGGTAGGCCGTTTTCTTGCCGTTGACAGCGTTTTTGTTTTGTTCTGAACAACAAAGAAGCATCTGTTTTTGAGAAGGGCTCCGATATGAGCCGTAAATGCGAGGTATTGGGTCAACTCCAAGATCTTTTTCAGGAGGCGGCAGTGGTTTACAGAATTATATGGGACCGAAAGATCCACAAAAATAGCTCCACTTATTTGTCGTTTTGAAACCCATCCTCAGCTTGCTGTGCCATATTGCAATGTCGCAATCCAGGTTGCTGAGGGATAAGGGATGTTTCAGCAACGGGGACAAGCCTGTTGAGGATCAGGCACTCGAACATGAACAAAAACAGTAATGGGTTCCTGTCTGGACCATGTTACCTGTGGCCAAAGCCTGCAGTGAACTTATTCCTCCATGATGTGTGGCTTCAAGAGTCAAAGTGTATGCGGTGCAAGACGTGCATGCAAGCACCTTGCTAAGTGCAATAAACTCTCCGGTTGCAACTGTGAGAATTAGGGCGAGCACTTTTAAATTGTAAACATTTGTGAGTGATGACATCTATTCTCACATAATGTTGTTTAACTCATACTTCATACAGTATTTTCGATGACTGCAGTATATATCAATGGTATTGTGTTAGAGATTTTATCTTCAGTTTGACTATTTTGTGTGTATAACTAAAATCATCTTGGTCTCTTCTGAATAAAAGAGTTGTATATTTCCTGACCCTGAAAATGTATGTTTTGACACCTAGACTGTAATTTGATATGGGGTAGTAGCTGAGATATCAGTAAATGCAATTATTATCTGGCGGGTGATCTTTAAAATCAAAGATGGTCACAATAGTGTACAAACTGACCATTTGACACTGTCATAAATGGTAAAGTTGCATTCCTTGACCCTGAAAAATGTATGTTTGGACGCCAAAATTTTAATCCTAAGTGGCTTAGAAGAACAAATATTGGTAGATATAGGTTTTCAATGGCGGCCATCTTTAAAATCCAAGATGGCCTTCGCAATGTATCTGGACAAATAAACCATTTAGCACTAACCCAAATGGTTCAGTTGCGTTCTTTGACCCTGCAAATTATGTTCAGACACTAAGATTTCAATGTAAAGTGGCTTAAAGATGCAATACATGTAGTTTTCAATGCCGGCGGCCATCTTCAGAAATGAGATGGCAACAATACTGTATCTGGACAAACAAACCATTTGACACTATCCCAAATGGTACAGTTGCATTCCTTGACCCTGAAAATGTATGTTTAGACACCAAAACTTTAATCCTAAGTGGCTTAGAAGATGAGATATGGGTAAAAATAGGTTTTCAGTGGCAGCCATCTTTAAAATCCAAGATGGCCGCCATATTGTTTTTGGATAAATTGGTTCCTATCCAAAATTGAAAGCTAATGCAATAAAGAGCATGAATGGAAAATTTGGCGGTTTTGTCCGGAATGTCCACATCCATTCCAAAAGATGGCCTAAGCTGCCTGACTATTGTGGGCATACTGGGACAGACTGTAGAAATATTTCTGGAGGTCAAGCAATAATATTGGGACTTGTGGCTTCCAACTCGGGGGATTCGGTTCACAAAAACATTCAACTTCAATTTCTGGGCCTATTTCGCATAGATGTGGGGGCTACATTTAGACCGTATTGGCCCGTAGATTGGCAACCGTGGTCTTTTTGGGGGGGGGGGGGGGGGGGAGGGGGGAATATATACAAACAAATTGACCGGGCTATCTCTGGTACATACAATTGAAAAGAAAATTGTCCTAGAGGTCATAATCTTTTACTTTCAGTGAAAACACATGCCGCCTTGCTCCTGAGAGCCACCAGGCGGAGTTTTACATTTTCTGTCCGGATTTAGTGTTGTTTTCTATGAGTGCGTATTTGGTGGAGTTATTATGCGCCTCATTCGGCTGTAGGGCGCCCCCGTTGCGTTAATTGAGTTCTAGCGCCCTGAAGCTTGGTAGCTCTCATTCCAAGCTAGCTCCAACAGTAAGAAAGCACATGTAAACAAAAAGTGACGTCATAATGTCTCCGGCCTATTAATTAAGGATATCTTTATTCAACTTTTCGACCAATATGCCTGTGTACGTTCTCAATTATTGTAGCAACCCTATTGCCCATAATATTATGCATGGAAGGACTGAAAATGTAATAAGCATTTTAATTTAATGCGATCCCTCTGACTTTTGGGAGGCCTGTGTTGAATTGCCAGAAATAGTCAATGGGTGAAAGAATTTGTACACCATGATATGATGTTAGTACATGTGGTAGTTCAGAGTATGAAAAAACAAAACAGGCGGGTAAAACTGAAAATAAATGGACAGAAGTTAGCAAGGAAATTGATCATCTTAAAATTAAAAAAAAAATGTGTGGGAAGATTGTTTAGTGCGTTGTGGTCCTAGTCGTATAGTGCAAATTGTCAAATATTATTGGGGATTTTCCATGAATAACACAAGTAAAACATGGACACACGAAAAAGAAATTAAGAATGGAAGTCGGCTTAAAAAGACATTCGCTTTTGCCAGTGAAAAAGCGACGTAAAATTATGTCCCCGCACTAGTTTATACTAGTTTTAGTGCGGCGCGCTTTTTATGTAACGTTGGCCTAGCTTTTAGCACCTTTTGTGCCAAGTGGCTGCCGACTCGAATATTTATTTGTAATAAACCAGACAAATAATAATAACGATGAGGAATGGAATAAACAATGGGGGGGGGGGGATGGCAGAGGGGCCACGCTTGGCATGTTGCATGCCGGGAACGGGTCGTTTTCTTGTACACACCAGTACGGTACGTATACGGTGAGGTCATCCAATAGTCTCTGTGAGGTCATCATCAAGCGGCCATTTTGTGTCGCGAACTTTGGAAAGTACACCTTGTCGAGCCAGCAATGTCCACGTAATACACGGATCAGTGCTTGTCAATTAGTTGCAATTCCTGACTTGTCGAGCTGTGGTATGACGATTCATTTGTGACGGTAACATGTGCAAGAAAAAATTGTGAAGATTTGTGGACTAGACGAAGAGTAAGTCATGTAAGTGATCTCATCGCTTTCCGCCTGTTTCTAGTGATGATCGACCTTGATTTCATTGCATGATTTTGTGCGCAGACAGCAGACCGCAGACTGCAGTGCATGACTGGGGAACCAACATTAAGCAGTGTAGCCCAGTTTCCGGACATGGGAAATTTCTAGACAAACGTTTGCACGTGGCCTGATTAATACCATAACATTAAACCACTTTTGTTATATTTTTGAGGCGCATTGTTTAGAAAAGTACCTACATGTACAATAGGCCTAATTAGGCTTATTTCATTAGGCGAATTAAATTTTTTAAAGAAAGAAATTTCATGTTTTGTAAATTGTTAGTACTGAAAGGACTGAAAAGAGAATTAGGCCTAGCTAGGGGCCTACACCAAAATCAATGGTGTTTAAATCAGCTTCATAGGTGTTTGCACATTGGAGATTGAACTATTTAAATGGCCAAATTTGGAGTTTCAATTCTGTAATGCGCCTAGCAAATGTTCCTTCAAGTTCAAGCAGAACAAAAGTGACTAACATATTAAATTTTTTATAATTTTGGTGGCTTCTCTAAACGGCTGTCGTGCGTACATGCCAGGGGTGTGATATCTCAGCTTTAAAGCTGATTTCACTTTCAGCTTTTTTTGTTTTGGATTGCAGCTTTTTTCCCGCACTTGCTGTGTACAAAGGTATAGGAGATTTCCAAAGTTCAGCTTTTTTGCACCTTTTTCAGCTGTTTTCAGCTATTTTTATCAGTGGTCACTCACACCCCTGACATGCTATGATGTTGTGTCAATAAAAAAATATGCGCGATGTACAATGTATGTGGGTGCCATACCGCTTTCAGGTGCGTAAGTGGTTTAAAGTTGGTGCGATGTCGTGGAAATTTAAGACAATGACTGTTTTATGTCGTGGAAAGCAAGACAACGCCTGTTTTGCATGAAACAGTCGATGTCTTGCTTTCCATGACATCGCATTTTGAACAGCTTCTTCGGTAGAAATGTGATTTTTGCGAGTTAACCATGCGTTGCGGTGATCACCCTCTAAAAAAAATTAGATGGGAGATACTTGGCCAGATATTTAGCCCGCTTGATTGTACGGCGTCTTCTTTGCACAGTACGAGTAGGCCTACATTATAAAAAGTATTCATAAATACCTCAGACAGTTTAGCTATTCCTATTGGTCTAGAGCCCGTCACGTGGCCGGTCTTAAACGGATGATAAAGACATGGCTAGCTGGTCTTAAACACTTTTCCAGTGTCTCAATAAAATGTGGACTCCTAAAAATCCAGTGCCTCTTACCGTTTCATTGGTTGAACGTTTACAATCCTCACGTAGGCATGCGCAACACTACCAGCGAGTCAGAATTTTATAGTTCTAAATTCAAAACGCAACGCCCCAGGTGCGTTCTGCGCGACATCGTGCAGAACATGCTACGCGCGCGTCAACCTCCATAAAAGGGTTGTTTACATCTTACTCTCCAGCTGAACACTCCATTATTTTGCTAGAGGGATGTTTCAAAAAGCATGAAGTGAACTTGTTGAACAAAATCGGGATTTTGTGAACGAATTATTTGATATTTTTTACCGAAAAGGTATTTATGAATGGGAATAAATATGTGCTCGGTCGGTATTTATCACTCTGTTTAATACCGCTTAGAGTCTGGGTGCTGATAATTACCCTCGCCTCCGGCTCGGGTAATTATCAGCACCCAGACTCTAAGCGGTATTAAACAGAGTGATAAAAACCTCCGGAGCACACATTTATCCCCTTATTAAATTACCATTGGCCGAGTGGGTAGCAGTTGTATCTCAACACTGAGAGATCCCTGGTTTAACTTGCGGCTAGCGACATTTTCGATTTTTGTTTTAATCCCCAAAAATTAGGAATATGCTTCTTTTATTATTTTAAATTGACTCCAACATTTAATTTCAGAGTAGTACATTTTCTTTTTCTGATTCGTGGCTCTGGAATATTTTTTTAAACGGAAATTTAAGTCCGAAATTGTAAAATGGTCTGATTCCCATCTCGTGAATGTGAAGTCACAACGACAATGTTGGCGCAGGCAGATTTTTCAGAAAATAATGTATGTGGCCTTAGAACTTGCCATGGATTTACATTGTATACAACCAACAAAGTGGCATTCTAATGTTTAATCATTTCCCAACTCATTTTACAAAACCATCACTCTCTATCTAAGATGAGGTATTTAGTTGAGGTGTGGGGATGGGGCAACCTCGTTCCCAGGGTGTCAAGCAGTACGCTCCCACCACTACCTGCTCTCTCACCCTGGTATTGGATCATTTGCATGCTCAAAAATCTTGCACACATATGCAAATTGGGAATATTCTGGTATGCAAATTAGGAATAGTCTGGTGCCTGGCTGTGCGTTATATCAGCGTTTGTTTTTGTATAATGTGGTGTCTGGGGTAAAAACAGAGTCAATTCATTGTGGCGTGAGTTACTAAAACACAATTTTTTTCAAGTTAAAATGTTACAATCTTATCCAGCCAATATGCAGTATCACATAATATTGAGCAAATTGGAAAGGAACGGATTGTTTTTCAGTGGACGTAAGAATTACAATGAACGTGAAAACACGTAATACACGTTGGAAATAACACCACCAAGAACACGATATAAATCCAATACTAGCCAATTGCGGTATCGAATCAGGATACAAGAAGCAAGTGCCCATCCCAGGGGTTACTGTTGGAAACGGGGTTGGAAATAAAGTAAGCTCTGGGGACGAGGTTGGGGGTGGACGAGGTTGGGGGTGGGAGATATTAAGGGAATAAATGTGTGCTCCGGAGGTTTTTATCACTCGTTTAATACCGCTTAGAGTCTGGGTGCTGATAATTACCCGAGCCGGAGGCGAGGGTAATTATCAGCACCCAGACTCTAAGCGGTATTAAACAGAGTGATAAATACCGACCGAGCACATATTTATTCCCATTCATAAATACCTTATCCATAAAAAAATATCAAATAATTCGTTCAAAAAATCCCGATTTTGTTCAACAAGTTCACTTCATGCTTTTTGAAACATCCCTCTAGCAAAATAATGGAGTGTTCAGCTGGCGAGTAAGATGTAAAAAACCCTTTTATGGAGGTAGACGCGCGCGTAGCATGTTCTGCGCGATGTCACGCAGAACGCACCTGGGGCGTTGCGTTTTGAATTTAGAACTATAAAATTCCGACTCGCTTGTAGTGTTGCGCATGCCTACGTGAGGATTGTGAACGTTCAACCAATGAAGCGGTAAGAGGCACTGGTTTTTTAGGAGTCCACATTTTATTGTGACACTGGAAAAGTGTTTAAGACCAGCTAGCCATGTCTTTATCATCCGTTTAAGACTGGCCACGTGACGGGCTCTCGACCAATAGGAATAGCTAAACTGTCTGAGGTATTTATGAATGAAGGATGTTGGAGGGTTCATTGTTGCCAACTATTGCATTTAATTTAAAAAGAAATATAACGTTTTCAATATTGCAGTACTTAATTGACGAAGGATGGGGACTTTGAAGAGACGATATGATGCCTTGGAGGTCAAAGTGTGCGACCCCAGGTCAGAGTTAAACCATGAGGCCCTATTGGTAAGTTTTTATAATTCCAAGTTGTTGAAGGTCTCTACATGTATACATCTTCATCTCTATCGTAGACTGGGTCTAAATAAGTTTGTACACTGTGGGTCAATTAAACACAAAAACTGATGTAACAAAATGAACTACAATTTTTGAATTAACACCTGTATCTGTTTTTGTTTGGGAAAAAAAACTGTAATAAAATGGTCAGAAAATATCCGGTGTCCAACCATAAGATTACCCTCTTCAATGCTCATGATTTGTCTACTTATTGAGAGGATACCCAGGGTTATTTTGATTCCCTGTGAGTCATTAGTAAAAGTGGAGACCCTCGTGCTTTACACACACATCCTGGAAATTGTCCAAGGCAAGGGGTTAGTAGGAGAGAGGATATCCCCCTCACATCCTGCCCTTGCCGAAACATAGAGTATACCCAAATGTTTGGACCTTTAAATGTGTGCACTGTGTACAGAAAGTAGTAAATTTTGTAGTGTCATTTAACTTGGTACTAGTGTAAAGTAAGATTTTGAACTGAACATGGCTGCGAGTTTGGAACTACGTGTACAAATGTACGTGTACACTGTGAAAAGGGAAACAAGTGTGTACCAAATTGTCATGTTGTCCACATGATCAGCTTACACACGTGGATGGCATGTACAGGCAGTGCATGCCATGTCTTAGGGGCTGCACCCACTTTCTATTTACAGACTAAAATGGCCCTGGCTATTCAACAATAGAGGATTTACGTTGTATTGTCTGCTCGATCATGTACACATGTGGGTAAAGCAATGGACAACGTGTACACTACACATGTATGTCTACATGTTATGCAGGGGACCAGCCAGCCATTCATAATACATGTAACTGTATATATTCAGTTACCCAGCTCAATTCAGGTCTGCTTTTTTTGCTGTCATTTTTTTTTAGGAAGGTGTAAATAGACCATCACAAATTTGGATGAGTTTTGTGCTGAGGGGCTGGTATGCAGGCCAGTTTTGTAATTTCATGCGTATATATAGTAAGTGAGCAGCGGTTGGCAGCGGATGTTCCATATGGAGGTTATGTTTCATCATGTACATGTATACATGTAACTGGAACTTGACTATCTGTACTTTTGTGGTACTGTACTTGACTTTTCATCCAGTGAACAGGAAGTTTTTCAAAGTGCTATGGAATAGTTTCCTTTCTAAATGTTCATACTTGTTTTGTGCATAAATTGTCTATGTTTAGTCTTGCATAAAGAGCAAAGTGCAGATCTGTGGTCAGTCATCCACCCAAACAAACAACTCATCCAATAACCAGATTAAATGCTTGTCCTGAATAATGCCAGAGGCCTCTAATCTACTCACATAGGGGTGCAAATAATCCAGTTATAATCAAATGGTGCACAGATGCTGTAGAGCAGTCTGACTGCTCAGTGCACACTCTAATGAATCTCCTAACCAGGCTTGTAACAAGGTTGATGTTTGGCTTCTGGCAAATGTTTGGGATTGTTTTATGCATACAGTATTTCATTACTTTTGTAGGTTGGAATGTTTGGAACTTCTGTATTGTACATTGACTTGTGTTACTGCAAAATTGCAAGTACGTTTTCATTGATAAAATTAGTGCATGTAATGTACAAGTTCTAAGTTGCGAATCAGTGTTGTGTAGTTTTACGTTTTAGTTCTATGTATGACCTGAATTGACCTCATATAAATAATTTATGTTTTACAATTGTGAAACATAAATTATTTTGATATTCCCTTTGTGTTGGCACTTGAACAACAAAGTTCTACCCCGTCCCTTAGTGATGACAAATTTCAGCTCTTCCAGACATTTTGGCATGAAACACTTTCAGTTGAAGCTGAAAGTACATGTATACATTTACAAGGTCATAAATAGTTACAACTAAAACTACACAACACTGATTCGCAACTTAGAACTTGTACATTACGTGTAATTAATTTTATCATTGAAAATGTACTGAAATTGTGATAATTTAAAGATAAATGTCACAAATCAGCCCTTGTAGAAATGTTCCAAAATATTGGGAACAAATCCTTCATTTGTTGACATAAAGTATAGGGCTGTAATTCCCAAATTGTTTTGCTAAATTTTGTTTCAATTTTTTTTTTTTAGTTTAAGGGCCCATGCAATGTAATTTTTATTAATACAATCCTTGGAAATGCACCTTTGTGTCCCTTTTAGCCCCATTTTCAATATTTGTTTTCCCATTTTCAAGGCTATTTTGGGACCTTTTTGTTTTTGGGTTTTCATGCTCATGCGAATTTCCATAATCATGAGCAAAAGTGTGATGTCATTTCAGGTAGAACCTCAATGTTGGAACTATTTCAGCACCAAAAGTTGCCATAAGTTTGGATATTTTGCTGTCGTAAATTTTCTTTTCTTTGGTGATTCATTGCTGTGCCAGTACATGGCAGTAAGCCAATGAGCAAACTTTTCTTGATTTTCATTTAAGCACATTTTGGGTTCACAATTTGAACAGACGAACCCCTAAACTGAACAGTGTCTTCCTGAAATGACATCACAGCACCAACACCCTCAGTTGTCATGAAAAGCATGGACAATTTAAAATGTTAAACCCTATTAAACAGAACTCAACCCATCAAACCCCAACCATGCCCCAACGGCATGTTTTGTTGGAATCTGTCAGGATGGGTACAGTACCCCTAAACTGACAGTCTTTTACATTGGGTTGGCACACCACGCATTGAGTTAATGTAATAAACATTGCAATTAATGATGGATTGTTACAAACACAAGTTTCTGATTGTATCTCAAGACATTATCACACTCAGAGCTTCAAGTAATTAACATGTTTCATCTTTGGGAGTCTATCATCACCATTGGCCTCCACAGATAACATGTTTATTAAATCTGACAATACAGTAATTGGTACAGCAGTAATTGGTATGGCGTTACGGCTGTCATCAACAAATCATGCCTCTGACTGAGATCTTCTGCTTAGATGCCTAGTCACACACTCACACTGGGTCCAGCAGCGTAAACTGTGACTAACACAGGGAATGGTTGTTGAGCAGATAAAATGCAACAGCTGCAGAAAAACTGAGGATTAAAAGGTCTGGATACACTATCATTTGAATTTTGATGGACATACTTTGCCACTCCTTACAGAAATCTTGTTGACATTATTTGGTTGCAAATGGTATTGGTAATTACAATATTAAAAGTTGTGAACATTACATACACATGTACCTGTGGTACATGACTACATGTACATTATACATGTACCGTACTTGCAGGTATACAGGTATACATGTACATTGTGGGACTTGCATACACCGGTAGACGTGTACTGTACATTCAAAGCTGCTATTAAAGATGCAGACATAAACTTTTGTTTTACTTTTTTTCATAAACTTTTGTTGTTAATTGTGGCCCCCTTTACCATACATGTACACTTAAAATTACATTTACTTTTTATATCTATTGGTAATTTGTTTTGCTACATATTGTAAAGCTCACTTCTATCCAATTCCTTTAAAGCAATGGTGTCAGGTACCATGTTGATCAAGCATTAGGCCCTATTTTGTTATAACTTTAAAGTTGTTCAGTAAACTGTTGCTGTGCAATCAATGACATGTACTGTATACATGTATACTGTATTATAAACCATAAAATGTACAGAATTGACTGTAAGTACATGTACAATGATGATTGATGGAGGAAGAATTCCAGAGTTGTACCATAAGTGTAACTACAACACAAAGGTCAGCAGGTGACATGCGAGGTAGGGCTAGTCTCTGCCTCTCCCGTGGATCCCTTTTCAAGTGAGCACTGCACCAACAACAGGGTGCCAGACTCTGGCCTACCTGTAGCGGGGTGGATATGAGAGGAAATCATGCCAGCATGATAGGGGCATTGGTTTCATTATGCCAGGAAAAAGTCATGACATGTCATTCTAAAAATACCTAATTGCTGCCCATTTATACTTAGTTGTGCACTTGGAATGGGTTTACATGTACGCCTCGGCCTTAGGTTAATGACCTGTGAATGCTGCGTTTGGACAATTACAGTGTATGTGTTTGGCTTGTATGTTAGTGTGCAGTGCTAGTAATTTTTGATTGACTTCACATACATTTGTACGCATACAGTGTTGTAGTCAAATAGTTTTCCCCGAGTATGGATACTTTGCCATGAGTACAAACTGTCCGAGTACCTTGCCATGACTAGGAGTATGATCACAAGGCAATTTTAATCATGAGTACGAGTGTGAGTATGAGTTCAGGTCCCTGAGTATGAACTCGTACAATTACTTTTCATGAGTATGGGACTTTTCAATGGGTAAATTCAATGTTCTCAAGGGCTTTTTGCTGTCAAACTAGGATTTGGACAAATGCAAAAGCAAACATTAGAAAATTGGTTCTTTTCCTGCATGCAGCCATGCACCTCTAAAAGCGCCAGTACATGTACATGTACATACTACGAGAACAAATTTCACAACACTGTATGTTTCTTTAGAGTGAACACATACCGGTACGCATACGTTGTACATGTACCAAACCTGTAATATTATAGAGGGAGTAGGCCTACACGTACATCATAAAAGGAAATAAATGTAACTACCAGTACATGTACACAAATGTACATAAATGAGGCCAAAAAAAAAAAATAGTTCTGCTTCCGATTGCATGGCATATAGGGTGGGTAGGTAGGGAATTTGTTTTTTTTGCAATTTTTTTTTTGTACGATCAAATGGAGGCGTCTGCGTGTTGTCAAGGGTAAAAGGTAGAAATCGATGGTTTTGGGTGTTTTTTTCTCTCATTTTCCAGTAAAAAAATTAGGGTAGGGGCTGTCAGAATAGGGTAGGTAGGGAAACCGGAAGCAGAACTATATTTTTGGGGCCTAAGTAGACTACCGGTACATGACTCAGCCAATAAAACAAAAATAGTAATAATATTGTATTGTACGCACTACATGTACGTACATGTACATGTACGAACATGTACCATGGAGGTGGGACTAACTTGGAGCCATTAGATACCTCG